AATAACTCAAGATCTCCAGGATACAATTAAAAAAAAAAGTTTTTTTATCATGTCTTATAAGGGCTTGTGTATATACTAGTTTGGGGAATGGGCATATTTTGTGTTACGAGTGTAGTGTCTTTTTTTTCCTGGCTTATGTTGTTCTGTGTCAGGCCTCGAATCAAGAATGCAATCATATCACTGACTTGATTGAGTGCTTTATGAAAGGACGTTATTACCACAGTGACAGCAACAGATGCTAGGCTGTCACCACAGAGACTTTTTTTCACTGTAATCATGAAAACTACACATCCATCACTGCACGATTTTATGTGTTCACACTGAGCTGTTGTCTCTCAGATTATGATGATTTTATACTGACTGTAATACATCAATGGTGAAAGATGACAATCAAATGCAGCCCAATGAAAAAGATCACCAAATTACTCTGAGGCAGATGAATAGGAGCCGTCAGAGCTGATTACCACTCTGCTACGCTTCCACTGTTTCTGTTGAGTAATAAACCTTACATAAGCCACAGTGCTGTAGCATTTGACTGATGTCTAGAGGTGATGTGACACTACTACGGCCCAGCTAATCGCAGGGAGAATACTCCCATTCATTCCCGCTCAGAATGAAGTGCCCCCACCTGTGTTTTCATGGGGCTCTAGAGGCCTGGAGAAAGCTTTCTAAGTCAGGGAGGGAAACAGTAGTTCTGTAGCCGAGCCATGCTGCTGCTTACTGGGGCTTTTATCGCAGAGTAATCCCTCTACAACAAACAGAATGGTCGGCATGTGCATATGCAGCTGTCGCCATCTTAGTGCAAGTGGTGTCATGTTAAATCACAGGAATGGACTGAGCCCCAGAGCCATCCGCTGCCCTTCCCTTCCCTGGCATCCCACTCACTGAGACACTCTGGCACACATGGACAAACAACCATACATACTCATACCTACATACATAACCCACTTCCCACTAACATACTCTGGAGCACATGGTAGTCCTGAAGATATTTACTGTAAATAATCTGGCTCTGCCGCTACAAACAACCACATTATTGACATGATGGTTTGTCCAATAAAACTATTGGCTATGTGATCATTTCAAACAGGCCAGGAAAGAAATGGCATTCATTATTTCAAGATCATTATTTTAAGATCTGTGCTTCAAATGTAGGAGGTTTGTATCATAGTGTTGTAATTTTCATTTGTAGTATGTTTATAGTTTTAGTGGTATTGACCAATAAAGAATCAGTAGGCTTCGGTTTATCCATGAAAAACAGTCCATATAGAAAGTGAAAGCAGGTGAAATGTAGTCTGCTTTAGTGACACCCCGTCAGAGATGTTGATGGTTTTACTTACTCCGTATACAGACGTCTGTGTGCAAGTGCTGTTAGCAGTCTGTCCCAGATTAAAGCCTTTAACAGAGGCAACAAATCTATTTGACGGTGTGTTGAAAAATCAGGGATTAGATTTTCACCCTGGAAGACATTAGAAAAGATCAGAAATTAAACCGAATTTGTCACCCCTTTGAGGGAAAATTTGACGAGGCTTGAACCTTTACCTTTTACAAATCCGCATCATGTCATTTTGACAGATTTAAGACCAATTCATCTCAATTGAGAACAATCACAGGATTTCTTTTAGCTTTGTACCACTAAAGTAAGACAAAGTGAAGCCTCTGTGTAACTAATGTATATTCCACATATCATGATTTACAGTGAAACTTGGACCCGCAAGAAACATGAATGGCTGCTTCTATGCAGTGAACCAAAAAAATGACAGTGATTACTTTGCAGACTTATCTGGAAGGAAGTTTGTTTGTTTTGTCATTTCTCAGGCTGCTAATGTGAACCTAGATGACGCAGGGCATGGAAAAGAAGTCTCGGCAAGACTCTCCAACAAGTCGGTCATTTTCCAAAGGCTTACAGATATTGTTGAGAACAGCCCATGGATTTTCTGAGATTGATCAAAAAGGTATCTGGCAGGTTAAAGATAAGCCCATCCTGTTAGACTTAAAGGCAATTTACACCTTGGCATCCCCTGGGTGTTGAGCACAATTAGCATAACTCCTCAAGGACACACGGCCGGATCCTGGCTGAGGCTTGTTATCACTGGTGTTAAACTAGTGATCCAAGTCAACCCAGATTTTTACAACTTCCTCACATTTCTCCTGCTAAGGGTACAAGAAAAATGATAACGCTTCTCTTCTACTCTTGTTAAACATACCGTACTCTTTCCTTGTCCATTTCCTCAATTTCTACTCTTATTGAAGTTTTCTCTCACTTTATCGCATCTACTCCACTCCCATCTTTGTTTTTCTCTTGCTCCACTGACCTTCTCCCATGTCACCAGTGGGACAAATTTAGCGGCCGGGTTTCTGGAGCGACCAAATAGTCGGACACAACAGAGGGAAAGTTTGTGTGTGTCCGTGTGTGTGTGAGCATTCATGGGGTGGAAAAGAAAGGTCCTGACCGCACATATACAGTTACAAATATCCAGTCATACAACCAGAAGAAAGCATAAGAGGGTAAACAAGCTGAGGCTCGCCAGCTCCTGGAGGTATGCAGGAAAGGCAAATATATTCAGTGTATTTATAAAGGTTTTTTTTTCTTTAACGTACAAGAACAAAGAAGCTTATAAACGTCAGTAGGGGCGATAAATTGATACAAATATTCAAAAAATATGTGAGCAATGCTTCACAGAGCGCTCCCATCCAAACTATTTTACCCTGTAGGAAGTGTTGCATACGCCATAGGGGATAAAAGGGGAATGTGTTAAGTTATTCTGGGATGTTGGGATGAAGGAACTGTCGCCATGGAAACATGTAGATCCCCTACCACTCCCTGGGCTGCGCCACTCTGGAGCTGCCAAACTGTGGGAGCTATGTCACAGGGGGTGTTATGCCATTCGTTTGTCTCTACCATAGACTGTTTATACTATGGACAACTTGGTTCCGCCTCCCGCCTGTATATGGATACGGATTTAAACGGACGAGCAGGGGGAGAATCATTTATGTTCGGTGTAATAAATTTCTGAAGTTTGTCCACAGCCGCATAAGCTTTGCTGGCGGAGGCGGGATTTATGACCTATACTGCAGCCCGTCACCAGAGGGTGCTGTTCTCAGAGTGGCTTCACCCAGCGAGGAGGCAGACTCTGTCCATTCTATATACAGTCTATGGTCTCTACACTGTGTGAGGTGCCAGACGCAACGGACAAAGCAGGGTGCCATTCTTGAAGTGGAGGAAGATCAGGGAAAAGCATTCTGTCTGAAAGAAGCCTTTAGGACTGTAGTGTAAATCACAGGGATGTCAGCAATGCCGCCTATACTGCCTACACACTATATGACCCCTGCTGGTGTTTGGATGAAAATAAGTACAGTACTTTAATAAATTTGTGTAAAATTAAAATATTTCACATTTCTGACTCTGTTCAGGTATAGACTATTGCGTAGACAGCTCACAAATGCTTCAACATTTTAAAAAATTACAATTATTGATTAAATTTACTGGGAAAATGGGTAGATTATTGGATAATTACTCATCTTAACCCGATGCAATGCACAATTTATACATCTCAATACAGAGAATAGGCCAAACTTAGTATCTTTTTATCACCTTCCCTCTCATTTTCTTTTCCAGACATTTGCTGAAAATAAATTCAATCTGTAATCTGATGTAACATTTTTAACCCAGTGTCTTCATTAGGGAAAGTCTTTTCCTTCAGTTTGTGTCACTTTATTTTTTTCTCACCTTTTCAGGATTCTATTTTACATAACCTGCTCACAAACCAGTATCCTGTTACCTGCTAAAACAAGTTGACACTTTGTTCTGATTCAAGAAAAAAAAAAAAAAAAAGTACTGCTAAAGAAGTAGTCCCTCAAATTCGACAGTATAGCACCTCCATGGTAACAGTTTACTAGCCAAGATCAGATGGAGGTTAAATTAACATTTAAGTTAAACTTGAAATACTCATTTACTTGCTGGTCCTAAAATGAGGGTTTTTCCACTGATGGAAAAAGTAACATGTTAAATTTTTATAAGGTCTTTCAAAGTCTGTCGGGATTTTTTCACTCAGCTAGTCCTGTTTCTCTCTATAGCATGTTTCAGTTTAGGCTTACTCCTGTTTCACTCAGCTCAACACCTTGTGTGATTTAACATCTCTTTTAGCTGCCAGTGACCGTTAAGCCGTTAACTGCTAATCAAAAATGTTGTGCTCCTAAAACAAACTGATGGTATTATCCATGCTGTTTAATTTTTGCCACATTGTCAACAGGAAGAAGGAAAATTATAGACAATAAATGTGAAGGATTTCTCCCTTCTGAATGATTTGATGTTTGGTGTCTGATGCAGTTATCTAGACTTGCCATTGTTACAGGATAGCTAGGTGGTCTTTAGTTCTCTCTTGATAGGGAGGTTCTCTCCCAACTGGCAGGCCCAGGTTTGATCCCAGCCCATGCCTCTTTTTCTACTGTCACCCCTCACTTTCTCCCTCCACTTCCTGCTCTGTCCAGTGTCCTCTCCGCTCTAAATAAAGGCAGTAAAGGCCCTAAAATAACACTTTGAATATCTGCTCGGGGGGCTTTAGTGAATACTTCTGTGGTTTCAGATGGTTAGGGACTTCATGAAGGACTTAACCCACTCCAGGAATATTCCCTAATGACTTTTCATTATGTTAACAGCACCATGGGGTAACAAAAGCTGCTGTATCAGTGCACATAATAGCAGCAGTGATACAGCAACATAAACTGTGGAGGGTAGGGTGTCTGTCCCACTTCTGTACAAGGGCAAAAATAAGGCAGTCACATGGAGAGAACGGGGAGCATGCAGAGGAGAGTTGCAGGTGCTGGAGCTCTGTCAAGAAGCAGAGGACACATGACAGCTGGCCCGTCATACAATGACTTATTCTTCAGGCCAAAACACACACAAGGCACCCCACACTCTTCACCAGTGGGCACTGCACATCAACTGTCCCACTGGTCAGCAAATAAACTTGATGAAACAAGTGACTTCCAACTCTTAATAGCTTTACAAAACTTATTTTATTTCATGACAAGTAGAAAAAAAAAACTACTATATTAGCTGTACCATGTTTGAACACATAAGTCTTGTCATTAATTGCAACATTTAAGTCGTTCTGAGCCTGTATCAATAGTATAATATGAACTTTGTCATTTTTTTGAGGTCAGTAACCAGAGAAAGTTTGTATTTCTTAAAGCACAATGATGGTGCTAAATATCATAGGCTACATACAATTTTTTATTTTTACAGCTACTTTCGTTCCTACACCAGCTCAGTGCTGGGTGTGGTAATGACAGAAGACATGCTCTAAATATTTATTACACTTTATTAACTGGTACTGTACAAAGTCTGTGGGCACCAGATACAATATTGAAACTTCTCACCATCTGCTGGCAGAAAATATTAAGCGCAAGTTAAAGATCAAAGAACTCAGATGCTCCCTGCACGATACGCAGAGCCAAAAGTTAAATGCTTACTGTCACTGGATATTTTCCTTGACAGCACTGCAGAGCATACTGTACTTGCAGTCATCTCACACACTCAAGAGTATATAGTACTACATGGTTCGGCAATACAATCTAAAATAAACTTGAAATACACAAATTAAAATTTAGGTTCATTACATGGCAGTGTAACGCTTAAATCAAACTCCCAACTCCAAATAAGTACTATGCATTCATTTTCAATGAGGGTACATTTGGTAGCTTTGCCTGTTTTCTCATAGACTTTCTTTTCATCTCTAAAAAGCGAATAAACTACACATTAAGGCTCTGTAACAAAGGCAGCCTTTTAAAGTGATCACCAAATAATTAACACATTCATTAATAAGTTAAACATGAAACAAACAGAAATTTGTTGCAAGTTTGGGTAGGGGTGCGAGGATCACTTTCCGATGATAATATTTAAACACGACCCCACCATACTGTTTTACATAACTTACTGCCAGCATAACTCTTTTTATATGCTTAGAACTACAACGATTGAACATTTTTAAAGTCAAATTACAGCCCCAAGAGAAAAGAACAGTAAATACTTCAGTTATGCATTCTCAAGCAGATTATATTCAACAGTTTAGAATACTTGGTTAAGAGAAACAGGGTTTGAGCCACCACATTTGTGTCTTACAGTACATTCACTGATGCCATGTACAGTTTTTAAAAGAAACTTTGAGAGGATTTGTAATAGAGCTACAACTGTTTACAAGGTTAAAAAATAAACACAATTTTAAGACTATAGTCGCTCCCCCTTTTTTCAGTTTTTGTCTTCATAACTCAAAGAGGGCCTAAGAGATGCTTGAGGAACGATCATATACTTACATCCCAACTGACTCCCATTTTTGTCCGGATGATAACTGAAGTGAATCTAGGGAGAAACAAAATAACACTAACAGAAGTAAGGCAAGCAATGCAAGTATTAAAATGGCACAATTCAGAAAAGGTCTATGCAGAGACCTCTTTATATCATAGCCTGAAAAAAAAATAAAACAAAATCAAGCCTTCATGAAACATGTGCACTCCTGCATGTTCTTCTAATAAATAAATAAATACTTCTGCATTGGTATGTCCCTTGTTTATATGTGGCACCAAACGTTTGGTAGAACCAACTCTTGTGTTTCTTCTACAAATACTTCTGAGGCAGTGTGACGCAAAATTAAACATGCAACCAAAAGCAAACTTCACCAAGTGCTAAACCTTGTGTGTGTATCTGTGAAGGTTTTTAGGGTTAAGGTGCATGTTTGATGTGTGTGTGTGTCTACCAGCAGAGACTGTACCAGAGTACATGCAGCTGTATTTCTCAATGTTTTAAATTTTTGGTTGTATTTTAATGTTTTAGTCCTTGGAGCCTGGCATACATTTGTGTGCTTTTTAGAGGATGAATATCTTTATAACTTTCTGAATGATCTTTCCACAACCTGGACAAGGAGCTTGAAACTTGTGCAGCCTTCTTGCACACTGAAAACAGGTTAACAGGTGGGCTGTACGTCCATGTATTATATTTCCATTGCGTGGACGCACTCTGCAGAGCTTGCAAGGCTCCAAGAGTGCCTCCGGCCTCACTTCTTCAACCTCCATGCCCAGGTTTTCCTGACTCTCTCCTCCTGATAGCTGCTCATCCTTCAGAATGTTGGAGGGCCACGGCCCCTTGCCTTTTCCTGTAAGCATAGTAGGTAGTGGACGATCAGCTGTAGAGTGGGAGGGCAGGATGACAGGGTCAGATACTGTCCTACTGCAGTCTGGGACATCGATGCCTGTGTCGCTGTCATCTTCCTCATCATGGGTGGTGAGAGCGCTGCATGCTGGGATGTCAGGGACAGAAAGGGAATGAGCAAGTCGGGGGACATCTTTATACCAGTTCTTACGCAGGGCCCAGCAGCGAACGCAGTACTTCTGGAGGGGTGTGTTATACTTCCTGCACTCTGTGCACTGCCACGCATCCTAAAAGAGTGGAAGATACAAACCACACAGTCATCTTTTGTGCATTTCGTTTGACTTCATCTTTCAGCTGAAGACCTCAACATTTCAGGGTTCCTACACAGCTGTAATTTCCATACTTTTCCATACCCAACTTTTTAGAATTATTTTTGTAAATACCTACTTTGCTATTTTAGAAAAAAAGTATTTTTTAACTGTGGTAATAATCTAGAAACATAAATAATTTTCCAGTCTTTAATTTTTATTTACCGAACTTTTTAGGACCTGGACATCGATCAAATTATTTCCACACTTGCGTAGGAACCTTGACATTTACATGGGAGGGATGAAAACAAACCTGTGTGGAGATCTCTATATCTGTGTCATCACTCAAACACTGTGAGTCCTCATCAGGGTCTTCCTGCATCTGGAAAAGTACACAGGACATTTCATCAAAAATCAGAATTGTCCTCACTTTAACAGCTTTATACAAATATAGACTCTAAATCAGCCTGATTCGATGAGTCAGTTCAGTCAAAAGTGAGCTCATACCTCTCCATCTGCTTTCTCATCCTTTCCTCCCCCATCATCATCGTCAGGTAAGGCTTCCCCTTCTCCACCACTCCCTTCCTCCAGGGCAGCCTCTTTCATTTCCACGCTCACCTGTTCACTCTCGCCCTCCGTCAGGAACCAGAGGTCATCTGTGGTGTCTGACACGATGGCCGTGTCCTCTTCCTGTGCAGGAGACAGCTGACACATCAGTCAGACCAACACTGTTACTTCTCATTTATGTCATTTTTCAACAAGCATAGACGTCTTTTGTGAGTTTTTTTTTCCTTTTTCAGTCCGATATGTGATCTATTTCTTACTTGGTTTGTGTGAATATCTGTGGACCCATTACTCCTGCGGCTGTAATTACTACGGAGATTACCCAGGAACCACCAGGGCAAGCCAGAGAGGTCCCACTCATCCAGAGAGACATCCAGTTTGGGCCGTTTGCAAGCTGACCGTGGCAGGCCTTCAAGGGAATCTGAGGAAGTATCAAACCATTAAGATATGGTAGTTTTGAGCATCTTGTCCAGGCACAGTGGTCAGCATATACCAGACTTACTTACCATCGTCCGGCTCCCGAGGTCGTCTCTGGGAGGGGGTCTGCAGGTGAGGGCCATGATTGCCAGCCTCCAGACCTGCTTTGACCACACCCCCGCATATCTACAGAGGGAGGAAGAACAAAAATTAGAACATAGAGCAAGAACTGGCCACTTGGAGGACTCGCAGCTCCTTTTTAAGATCAAGATGGCCTCTGTGTGATGGGTGGGGGGTTCAGGGGAAAAAGGGGCTGGGCAATTAGGGTATGGGCCAGTGGGGAGGGAGATTGAGGTAAATTTCATTGATAAAAAAAAAAAAAGCCACCAGAGAAAAGTGAGGATTAAAGTCATAAAGACAAGGATTTAGAGAAGGCAGGTAGGAAAGCCACAGTACTAATTAGCACAGTGATTAATCTGAAGAGTTGAAGAAAATTTAAGAGAGGTAATTAAAAATATGATGATAGCAAACTAAATCAGAGAATTAGGAACCCCCATTTTCTAAGATACAGAAAGAAGAAATAATGATTTTATAAAGTTTAGATTTACAGAAAAGTAGGAAAGGAAAAGAAACTGGAGAAAATTTTGTGTTTCATCCCTTTAATTTATTTCTATTGATCTGGGCTGGTTGATTGTGTGCACTCAAAAAACTGTTAAGATGAAATCATTAATTTTATAGCAAAGGCAGTGAATGAAAAATACAGTAACCCCTGTTGTTCATAATCTAGTATGGGCTGGCTATAGCTCAACAGAACTGAAAGTGAGTTACATTAGGCCCACTCAGTGAGTGTCACACAGTGGAGTGTGGGAGTGTGAGTGGGAAAAGAGATAAGGAACATGGGGATGGGTGAAGGGGCTTAGGGTTACTGCTCAGCCTGTATCTGAATCGGGAGCTCCGATCCTCCAGTCCGGAGCAGAGAAGAGAACTCTGACACAGACAGAGAGGGTGACTCTGCCTCCCCATCCATTGGGTGGTGCTGGGGATCACAGCTTGGTGCTGTACCACCACCAGACCAAACCACAGGATGAGGTTGTACAGAGACGGTGCCACTCTGTACAAATTCACACCAATGGAGACAGCAGACCTAACCTCCTCTGCTCATTACACACAAGCACATCACATTATCACTTTTAGTCTTTGGGATTTTGAGCTACACAAAGGTCTGATGGCCTGCATCAAACACTGTGATCATTTAAGTAAAACCCTGAGACAAAGACTCTTATCTTTGAGCTGTTTTCAATTGTTCTTGCCGCTTTCATGAGAGTTGTGCATAATGAGGTAAGAAAGGTTGGGGGTCTCTGTTTCTCCTGAGCACCATGCTTCAGCTTTACCTGACCACGATCCTCCACTCCGCCCTCTACACATTCACGGCCCACAGAGAGATTCCCTGCAGCGTCTGCATTTAGGATGAGACATAATAACAGAAACAGGAAACCCCTACCCTTTTATTATGACATAACAAACTCTCGCACTAAGGCCTTCTTCCCGTGTCTTTGTAGAATAAGCTAGGAGAGTCAAACCGGGAAATTGTGATCGTCTTCTGGTCCCTGCATCCCAGGAAGTATGAAGACTATCACAAGTTCTCACAATGCATGACATGAGAAAAACTAATTTAAATTAATTAGAGGGGAGAGACTATCTACACTAGATTGCCAAAGATCCTAGCCTCAATACAGATAATCTTTTGGATGAATATATGCTGAATCCATTAAACACAAAGGGAAGAAGAAAAAGACACAATTTAATGTCAAGTCAACATATAAAACCAATGTACAAACCACATAAAATAAATTCAATTCTTGGTATCTCGATTATAATAACCCTAACATTATGATTTCACATAAAGAATGTTTAAAAGGTAGAACAGTGAGTCGAGACATCACTTACCGGAACAACCAAGCACAACCAAGTATTTCTTCAGCATTTCATACACTGGACTGTAAAATGAGAATGACAATGAAGAATGAGCTTTTATTATTGATGTGTAAATTGAATATACAGTCCAGCATTAAAAGTATTAAAGGGATATTCCGGCGTAAAATTAATTTAGGGTCAAACACAGTGTAACACCGAGTTTTAGCTGAGGCTTGTTTATGGCTCCTCAGACCGCTGTGTGTTGCTATCGTGCGGTCGTTACTAAAGTTGGTATAACTAGAGAAGCAAGAGGTCTGCAACATTCATCTCTAGAGGGGGTGTCTAACTCAGTGTTACTGTGTGTTTGACCCTTAACTGATTTTGTGCTTGAATATCCCTTTAATGAGTCGTGACATTTGTTCTGTTCTTTTTGTAGGCAAATACCTCGGGTTTTTGACAGAGAAACTCTCCACCTCCAGTAGTTCTCCCAAAGGGTCATCCTGGCAGTGGACTATGTGCTGCCTCTGTTTGTCATACAGTTGTTTCCCCATGATGTATTGACCCAAGTAGTGCATCACCTACACAAAATAATTAGTTGATCACAAAACACCAGCTGAATACACTGGATGTATAATCTGGGTCAGCCACTCTTCAGTGTGTACCTTATGATCCAGCAAAACCTACTGAATGCAAGCAGGATGCTCACCTCTTTAAGGGTGAAGACTTCTTCCTGGGCCCCGGCAACACGCAGAATCTGCAGTAAAGGGGCCTTTGGCTGTACCTTAAAAAGGAAAAAATGAAACATCAGCTTTGTGGCGCATGTGAAAGGGAGCAGGCTACCTATCTTTCCAGAGTCCTTTTGCAGCTGTACCTGGTTTCCTTCTCCGGGTAGTGGCCTGCATGATGGGCTTGATGCGGGGACCTGGGCTGATAGGGAGCTCATAGTAAACGAACAAAGTCTGAAAAATACATGATAAAAAAGATGAAGTGTTAGCTAGTTGTACTAATCATCACACAAAGCTCGTGCTACTCATCACGCCACCGCACGCGCAGCCAGAAAAACAAACTGGCAGATTTAAGTCAACTTGAAAATTCCTAGTCTAGGATTTCATCAAACATATCTCATACGCTTGTAGCTTTTATTGGTACAATTAAACATATAAGTATCATAAGCAGGTAATTCCTCTATCAGCGTTGTTAGCATTAGCTTGCGCAACCGTCAACAGAGCAGCTAACGTTAGCAAAGTTAGCAAGCTAGCATTTTCCTCATCATTATGTTCGTTTGAGAAAGGTCTCACCGTGATAAATTGACATTACTTCACAGCTGTAACACTGTTCATGACGCATGGTAGTCTTGATATGTGGCCAGCATCTTACTTGTATATATTAAACTTCACAAATATAGCGCTTCAAGCGTTATCTCGCCCTAAGTAACAGGTTAGCATTTAGCTGAACTACAGATTCAAAACGATGAGTGTGGATACGCGTCTTCCGGGTGCACAGCTTCATAGGGTGAGAGTGCGGCGCCCCCTACTGTTTGATAGACTTCATTGGATGATTACAAATGCTGTAAATTTAATATTACTCCTGCAGAGAATAAATCCAAAAATTACTTTTTTTTAAAGCAATATTACTGGTTTTTATTCTGATTTTATACATTGATTTGTCCCACATCTACTGCTTTTATTTACGGTGGCCACTGCTGCATATAAAAAATAGTGCCAAAAAAAAAGCCACAACGGAAGTAACCCATTCAAAAAAAAAAAAAAAAAAAAGAAGCCTGCTGCAAATAAAAAAAGAAATGGCGCTGATAAAAAAAAGGTACAACAGTTAACGTTGCAAAAAATGTGGCACTGCAAGAAAAGAAAATATTACTTACTGCTAAAATAAAAGTATAAAAATAAAAAAAAGCCACAATGGAAGTGAGTTGCCGAGGACCAATAATGATAGCGCACCGGTGTTTTACAATCTAAGGCGACAGCGAGAAGATGAGCAAAGAAGTAAGTGGAAATTATTGTATAATTTCGTTTTGTGTGCTTTTCAATGAATTTGCTTAGGCCATGTAGCGCCTGAGTCAATATGAAGTTGATCTGAAGCTAGCACTACATCAGCATCCAGTTCAACCTCATATCGACTCAGGCTAAAACACAAGTGCATTATCATTATTGGTCCCCAGCAGCTCACCTCCGTTGTAGCTTTTTTTTATTTGCATCCTTTTATTTTTGCAGTAAGTAACTTTTTTTGTTCCATTGCCACTTTTTTTTTTGCGTTGTTGACTTCCGTCGAGGCCTTTTTTTTTTTTTTTAATTAATCTGCGCCGTTTCTTTTTTTATTTGCAGCGGGCTTCGGTTTCTTTTTTTTATGCATCGGTAACTTCCACTGTGACTTTTTTTTTTTTTGCATTCTTTTATTTGCAGCAGTGGTGGTTCTCGGCCACCGTATTTATTCCAGTCTGCACAACCCGTCCGCGAAAATCTTCCACTGAAGAATCTTCAACAACCAAAAATATTTATATTTGGTAAATATTTGTTAATGCCTCAACTGTTAATGAGAAACACATCTGGCTACTTGTAATTTAACGCTTTAGTGTCCTTGCTATAGCTATGACTATACTTGGACTTGATTATAGAAGACCTTAATGAATCAATCAATAATTCAACTTTATAAAACTCCAGAACACATACAGAATCGAAACAAGTGCTCAATAAATGCACACTTTAACACAAACATGTTTGCTAAAGAATAGTTTAATCCAAAGAAACTCCTCTCTGATACTCCAGAAAACAGGATGGAATGAAGAGCATAACCCATGGCCCTAATACTTCACAAAATTATGTGTACAAGGAGGCACATGTTACTTTTTCACAGATCTGTAAATACAGTGCAAAAATATATTTAACTGATTCCAGTTAATAGCTGGGTTTGATTTACTGACAGTTATGTAAATAAAGAAGCATGAAGCAAATAATTTTGCTGTCATATCTGACAAAGTCCAACCAACATTCCTTGAGAATATGCCTCTATATCAGGCCAGCTTATTACAATAGCTTATCTGCTGGGATATTATTGAGTATGCAGAAGAAAGTAAGCATTAGCCCTACGCCCTGCATATATTAAAATTTACAGTTATTACACTGCAGATAAAAGAAACGGTGGCCAGCAACTTCCCATTCAAAGAACAGAGAAGGGGTCTATGGAAGATGTAACCCTGCCAATTTAGCAAAGTGTATGCTCTTCATAGCCAGAAGACACATTAATCTGATAAAGAAGTTCTGTTATTCTCAATGCCTGTAAGATTATAACATTTAGATGCACTGATTTAAGACTACATATACAGGCTATAAATAGCATCAATATAATCCTGCAGATGCTTGTTATGCTTATGCAATTCTTCTGATGTTTTCTGCTTCCTGCTTTCAAACTAGTGACAGAAACAATACAGCAATTCTTCAGTCCTTCTCAAAAGGGACACGATATTATAATCATTGTTTGAAAAACGTAAAATGGTTTTGGCAGGATAAGGAAAATGTTGGTCCAGTTAAAGTAAAAACAAAAAACAAATAAACAAAAAGAACAAGAGACAACAATGGTGTCATTGATGCATGCTGTTTAGCAAAAATATCAGGAAGTTCAAGTAAAGAGTTTGGGTTAGCGTAGCCTTCATACTGATATAACGATCCACTACAATAGCTGTCACCTTTACAATCTCTCTTCTAAAAGGAGAACATCAAACAATAAAAGTGCTTTGGCAATAATTCAAGTCTTTCATTTTTCACCACACATACAGGGGGGTAGAAGATGTTTGTTTTATGAAGCTGCACTATGTTATAAAATGTCTTCAAAAGAATGTGTGGCCTTTTAAACCTTTGGTCCAAAAGTTTCACAAGGCACTAAAAATTAAAACACAAGTAGTTTGAGGTTGGTCCACATTAGTTTTCTTAGTAGCTAATGATATTAGAGATTTTTTAATTCAGGTGTTTGACAAAAGGGCTACACTACAACACAAAAGTAACTACACCTAAATCTCAGTCTGCAAGCTGACATATTTATGATTATTACTTGGCTTTCTCATTAACCACCAAGCTGTTTAACACTCTACTCTTTAAACTTGTGATTAATGTGTAACATGATTCATAACAGCGAAGAAGGATAATGTCAAGACTTGAACAAGAATGAAAACATCAATCCAACACACCAGTGGAGTGACAACGATATCGTTGCCTTGTCTGCAACCATAAAATCTGACAATTTTTTGCAGCATAAATAAAATGTTTTGAAGTATAAAATCATCTAAAATCGGTACTCTGAGTCAGCTCCTCTGTTTGTTAAGGGAGCTGTGATTAATGTGAGTGAGTGTGGTGGGCATAATCACACCCCCACTCACTATATTTTATTTTTACACATGAGCCAATAACACCAAATTGATACTGAACTATAAAAATATGCAAATGTTAATTTTATCATAAAATTGAGTTATAGAAGTAGCAAAGAATAAAAATAACCCTTTATTTTACTGTCAGGTGCATCTTTCTATGGGATTCTGTTATTATTAGGACACTTTCCGCTGTGAAATCTAGAGACTCTGTATGGTGTGTAAAATAAAAAAAAAGTGCTAGTATGAAAAAGGGTCCAGTACCACTACAGAAGCTATTTTTCTCTGAGTATGCGATTGAATAAAAAGGTACCTAGCAAATGCTCACAGTGAGAAGTCTTTCAAAAGGAGATCTGTCTAATTTTTAGAGGCCGGTGAAACTGGCAACAAGCATATTCAATGGCTGCCACACTCAACAAGCTTTAAAAAACAATAAGAAAACCATAACTACCTTAATAACAGCTTATGTTGTCTGCTATGAGCTAAAATACTGGTTATTGTTTTCTGTGCTCTTCCCTAATGCTGTATCAAAGTTTCTGTAACTACTGTCTGCACATCTAAATCATAGACTCTGAATTGTGTTTCCGCAGGTCATCACACTGTGACAGACCATTTTTCTCAGGTCAACACTTTTTTACAAACACTTATTACAACAGAGCACATATTCAGAGGTAACAGTCTCTTTGTGGCAGAAACAACAAAAGCTCTGTAGGGACTCCAGAGGCCTTCTTTTGTCCAGTGCAGGGATTGTCCCCCCTCTCAAAGCTACAGGTTTCCCTTATTTTGGGAGCCTCAACTGGTACAAAGAAGCAATGCGAGTTGCTGCTAAGTCCTCCAGCCACCAGAGGGACGGGGAGAAGTAAGAAAATGTTGTTAATCAGCAACAGGGGCGCCCAGGCATCAAGAAAGACCGCAATAGCTTTAGTCTGGAAGATCCAATGAGTGAGGAATGTCCACTCTATTCTAAGAGATCCTGTAAGGAGACAAAAACTGATTACTGACACTTGATAACCTATTGATCACAGATTTACCAGAGGCAGAGTCTTTATAGACAGCGTCAAGTACCTGATCTGAATCTTCATTGTATTGTGCTTTTCCTGTCTCCATGTAATGAGGGTCAACATCATCAACCCCCTCTATTTTGTCAGCTTCAGCATGTTCCCTCATGACAGAGTATCGATGCACTAGGAACCTGATGAGGGCAGAGGGGCACGTTAGAAATTCACAAAAATGAAACGCAGTATCTAAAAAGACAGAGATGCAAAACAGAGCACCTACCGTCCACCGCAGACATATTTCTTTACCAGCCAAACGCCTGTAACAGCGCTGGTGAGCAGGATCGCCATGATAACTATCACTATGATCGCTGTGTTTGCTGAGCTGTCATCACTCTGTTACAGAAGAAGAAGAAGAAAACAAGAGGGATTGAAATCATTAAGAAGCTGCACAAAACAAGATAAAATGCATTAATCAAATAACAAACAACTAACCAATGTCTCAAAGCTTTCAAGTTTAAAGTTCCATACCTGCTAAAAAGTCTTTTAAATGTCATATGACCAACCAAGAGTGGTGAATAATTACTCTAAATGGCTTTATTTTTTCCTTTAGACACTTAAGTGCAATATAAACTCTCATCAGGACCTGCATTTCTATACTGTGCAATCCTATGAGCATAAACTAGAGGTGGAAAGCTACTAAACACTCTGCCAGATCTCGGCATGACTTCATCTGTATTAGTTATTTACCATTTCTGTTTTAAACAAACCAAAGGCTGCTCTTGTTAAGACATCAGACTTTGTTTGTAGGTCTGAGAAAATCTTTATACATATAATACAGTGCTTTAATTGACAAACTTGAACTTTAAGTTGGTTGAAACTTTGGGACATTACTTTGGAAATTGAAATGTTGTATTAAACCCAGATTGAAGACTTCAAACATCTGATGTCTCATATAACACATGATTCAGACTTGAACATGAACAAGATCTTCTAGTCAACTGCAGAGCAAAAGACAGTGGGATACAAAACCTCTTTGTGGTGACACAGAGACTCTAACCTTCCTCAGACACATGATGAATTCAAAATTTTCAATCTTTTTATCACATTTTGTTCTAATCTAAAATGCACTGGATCTTGCTGGGATCATGTTTTCATGAACTGTTTAGCTCAGCGTTACTAACTTCATGTATCTGGAAGACTCTGAAGTGATATTACGTTGGTTTTTTTTTCTTCTTTGGCTTTCAACCTCGCATGTGACTCTGCTTCTGCTTTTGTGTTCTATGTAATTGTTTTTAAATTTGTTCTTAAAAATAATGAAAACAGTATTTTGGTGTTTATTATCTGCTTTGATTTATCTATTGTTTTTAATTGTTTTAATTGTTTTTATGTCTGAGTTGTTTTTGTCTACTTGTGTACAGCACTTTGTTTCAACTGTGTTTGTTTTAAAGTGCTCTATAAATAAAGATGAGTTGAGATGAGTTTTCCTTCGAGATTAATTTTAGAAATTCTGATATAATTTGTATGAAATTTTGTTTGAACTAGATAGTCCAGTCACACCATAAGAACTCTTTCAAGATTTCTGTATTAACCGGGTAGATGATGTTTTAAAGTTCGAAAGAAACCTGACCAGAGAATTTGGATGCAGGGCGTTGCTGGTACACATTCTACCCAGGTTTGTCTCCTTCCTGTCTGGCTGGAAACCGCCCTCACACTGGTCTCCAGGAATCCTCCGGTAGCTTAAATGTTAAAAGAAACAGAAACTATGAAAAGGGGAAAAGAAAAGTCTCACTGAAAGTGACACTAAAACACTGGAAACACAGAGGTAACTATGCAAAGTCGTTAAAAGAGGCGGAAAAAAAAAAAAACAATCTCCGGTTCTTTTTGACACCAGCACTTTCACAGTCAGGGGAAAAGCAGACACCAAGCTGGTGAGGCTGAGAGAGCTAACTGACATTCTGGCATTACTCTGAGATTTACTGGAAGACAATCACATACAGCATGAAACAGTCTCAAAAATTAAGATTTCCTCTTCCTTTAGGTTTGTGGTTAATACGAAGCCTTGTTTAGATTTTTGGAAAATTTTACAATTTAATTTGAGACTCAAGACCAACCTGCTCGATGTGATGTGTGTAGTTTATCAAATCAGAAAGATTAAGAAAAAAAAATGTTGTTGATCTACATTTTATAGCTGCTGACCTTGTAAATTCAGGCCACAACAAAGATGGTAAAATGAAAGTAGAGGGGCAGAAAAGATAACCTGATTGGTCAATACATTGAGCTCAAGTTTTTATAATTGTCTTTACTTGATTTCAATGACCTTGATGTTTATATCATAATGCCACCAGCAACTGAAGGGTTCTTTACTAGCTAGCTGTTCGTTACCCTCTGACTTAAGTCTTACAGAATATATTCCCAAAATTGTGCATTCAATTTCTATATTATGGGTAGGTTTGGGTTTTTTGCCCCCTCTGCATGCACTCAGAAAAAGAGAGAAACATCCACTCAAATAGCATTGATCCTTACTTCAGGGTTTCTGCAGGTTTCAACAAGTCAAATCTAAGACTTTTAAAGACTTTTTAAGACCATAATGAATAAAATCAAGATCCATTTTACATTCATACTGGCAAAAAAGTACAAAAGACATGAAGGGAAATCGGAACATTTTTAACTAACTTCAAATCAATCTTTATTTGTAAGTAACATCAATACATTTTTTAGACCTTTCACATTTGTATTCAAGATATTTTATTAGATTTTATGAGAGTTTTAGATATTTTAAGGCCTTAAAATCAAATTATTGGATCTTTAGACGTTTTGAGACTTTTTAAGACCCAGCAGAAACCCTGTTACTTACCCACTGGTCTGCAGCTCCTCTGTGGTCCCATTTAGGCAGAACTCCAGGGGGTGACCCTTCAGCTCCTCCTGCTCCACACACTTGGAGCTGTTCTCTGGACGGTAGAACCCAAAGTCACTGTAAGCCAAAGAAGAAGCACAGTATGATATCCATGGACAAGAGTCAACTTGTCTGGCATCATTAATTCTGATGATCTCAAAATTACACGTTATATGCTGAAAACATCCTTAGAAAAACTTACCAGTGATAATCATCCTCTGTGCATGGACAAGGAGCCAGCTTTTTAGTGACGGCATAATCCCTGCCCTTCCAGCAGACAGAGTCTTTTCTCAGGCGCAGGAAGGTCTCTTTATAGCCCAGAACACAGCCATCATTAGCTCCGCTGGGGTCTGCAGAGTGAGACAGCCACTGCACAAAGTCCTCATCAGCACCTGCATGAACAGAAACTAAGATTTTAAGTATTAAACTCAACACTTACCAGAACATCTGCGTATTTTCTTAAACACTTACAGTCTCTAGAGAGGATCTTCCTGAAGTCAATGGTGATCACAATCCATTTGCTGAAGTCGTTCCGGTAGCCCCACAAGCTGACGTTCATAGAGCGAGAACCAGGTTCGCTGTCCATACCGGTGAAGTGGAACGGGTCGCTGGCAAAGTTGTACGTATGCCAGCACTGACCCTCATCTGTGGAAAACCTAAGAGCAATGGATAAATTAAGTTCAAGTTTTTAATGAAAAACAAACACATCATGACACACACTCACTTAATCTGGTTGACAGGGGAGTTTGTGTGCTCCACAGCCACGAGCAGCCCTCCAGAGTCCAGTATGGCGTAGTGATGGGGGCCCTTGAGAGCCAACATCCATGTGTAGCCCCCATCGTCAGACACGTACACGTCTGGGGAAAGAGCTGACTCTGCTTCTCCAACACTGCCTGTCAGGGCAGGAGGCCACGTCATGAGAAACATAGAGACATGAAAGAATTTGGAGAATATTCTTTATACATGTATTTACTTTTACCATGAGCCAGAATGAGGCCCACAGCATTGGGCTGAGACAGAGGCAGCATGGGGACGTTCATCTTCATTGTGGTGCTGTAGGAGGCGTGGATGTGAAGTCTGCACTGTAAAGACACTATCATTAGGGGAATGTTGCTTCACTGGCAAATAACTAAAACAGCCTGATTACACCCATAAAACATAAAAATACATCTCCCAAATATACTGGGAATAAATCTTATAAATCTAAGCGTGTCTCACTCTGCTAGGCCTGTTCGTAGAGGTTTCAGCAGCACAGTTACTGTTCTCCGGTCTCTGTAGGGTCTGCCATCTTGCTCCTTGGTCATATGTGATTACTGTCTCCACTACACCATCTGCAAAATAGTTCAGAAAGTAGGGTCACGGCCAACTTAATACAGAGATCACAAAACATATTTTGTATGCTAAACCCACAGGCTGCAGACTCAACAATACTTTCAGTACTTGTACTGTAAAACAGGAAAATAGCAACTTAACACCTGCACAGCAAGCATCAAAAAGTTTTTAAATGGACCCTACAAAGTACAGGTGCACTGATTTGGTCCTTTCTTCATCTGATCTGCTGCTCAGAGTCGGCTAAGTAAATCAGCATTTTCAACAAGAAATTCAAAATTATGAGATTAAAAAAAATCAAAATTATAAGATCAAAAACATCAAAATGATGAGATTTAAAAAAATCAAAATCACAAGATTTTAAAAAATCAAAATTATGAGATTAAAAAGTCTGAATTATGAGATTAAAACAAAATCAAAATTATCAAATTCAAAATTACGAGATTAAAAATTAAAATTTATGAGATTGAAAAACTGAAATATGATTAAATGTCAAAATTCTGGAATTAGTCAACACTACAAGACTGAACCATCTAAATTATGAGATTAAAAATTCTTAATTATGAGATTTAAAAAAAAATAAAAATTGTGAGATTTACAAAAATCAAAATGATGAGATTAAAAAAAAAAAAAAAATTATGAGATTAAAAAGTCAGAATTTTGAGATTTAAAGAAAATCAAAATTATCAAATTCAAAATCATGAGGATTAAGAAATCAAAATAATGAGATTTAAAAAAATCAAAATTATGAGATTTAAAAAATCAAAATTATGAGATTAAAAAGTCTGAATTATGAGATGTACACAAAATCAAAATGATCAAATTCAAAATTATGAGACTAAAAATTAAAATTGAAGAGACTGAAAAATTGAAATATGATTAAATGTCAAAATTCTGGAATTAAAGTCAACATTATAAGACTGAACCATCTAAATTATGAGATTGAAAAATCAAAATTATGAAATTGAAAAATCAAAATTATCAGGTTGGAAAGTCAAATAATGAGATTAAAAAAATCACAATTCTTAGATTATAAAATGTCAATTATGAAATTAAAAAAAATAACAAATTATGAGATAAAATATCAAATTATGACTGAAGTGCAAAATCTTGAATAGACAAAATTAAGAAATATGAAATGGAAAAGTCAAAATTATTATTAACAAGTCAAATGATCTATTATCTGTTATTAAAAATTAGTTTCTAAGAGTTGCAATTTTTGGCAAACTCAGTTGTTTTTGCATGTACCATCCACGCGTCTTAGGGTACAGAGTTTCTTTAGATTGCAATATATTTGTATTTTATTTTATCTATGTACAGTATGTCATTTCTGACTTCATACCGACTCACCCTTTGTAAGTATGCTGGTCATGTAGACGCCCCTGAGTGCAGAAACGACTGTGAAGTCAGTCTCACTCCCAGTGGTTGTGTAAAGATGGCGCTCTAGAGACTTGGAGAACACAGTGCCTCTGTCATCTGACACATAGATGGTTCCAACCCCCAAGTCTGGTGAACAAAGTACACATGAGCATGAGTTTGTTCAGTGGCAGGTTTTTCTTCCCTTACCTGTAATGATTTCAGAACCAGACCATCACAAAACCACATCTACTGTTCAGTATTTCGCAGCTTCAAGATCTTTTTCAAAGGACCTGTATCTTGTTCAAACAACATCAACTATAAGAATCAACTGGAAAGTACAAACACTGTCAGCATCATCATCCTTCCATCAATCATTGCTGACAGCATCCTTACCTCCAGGGTCATCCACATGCATGAATATCATGTCCTGATTGGCTGTCAGAATGGAGTAGAACTGCTCGTGGTTGACGGTAGGAAGCTGAGCCATGTTCCACACCTCACCTCCGTCCACTGACACATGGATCATACGCTCTGTACCCTAACACACACACAGGGAAAAATAATAAACATGGATCTGCTACAGGCTTATTTTTCAGGGCTTTTGTCAAAGAATGAGTCATGAGTGTCTTCCTCAAATGACAAAAGAACCTGATAACCTTGGGGACCTTTTAGGAGTATTTACATTTGTGTTTTGTTTAGTCAAAGGGGCAGGATCAGCTGATCTCTACTGTGCAAGAATCCAGCTCCATGTGCACAAGTTAAATGTTGGGTATTTTGACATCACTTTTGTATGACACTAGGATGTAGGGGTGCAATATTAAAGGGATATTCCAGCATAAAATTAATTTAGGGTCAGACACACCATAAAACCAAGTTAGATACCCGCTCGAGAGATGAATGTTGCTGGCTGCTTGCTTCTCTAGTTTTACCAACACAACTCACCCACTCTTTTCCAGCAGCCGCTTGTTTGTAGCAAGACCTCAGGCCAGTCCATTACTGACTGCTGCAGGGTGACGCAGCTCAAGGAAGAACATTCATGATCATTTCTTTATCATTTCCTCGAAGTAATAATCCCCATATTAATCATTTTCCACTGCAGACGCGGTAGTTCTTCTGCCTCAGCATCTCGGTCTGATTGCATTTCCATGAAGAAATGATCATAAATGTTCTTCCTTGAGCTGCGTCACCCCGCTGCAGTCCGTAATGGACTTGCCCGAGGTCTCGCTACAAACAAGCGGCTGCTGGAAGAGAGTAGGTGAGTTGTGTTAAGTCTCTTTGCCAAAGAAATTAGACAAAGTTAAAAAGATGTTTGGTGGCTAGTGCTGTGGCTGGGACCCTACATGTACTGTTGATGAAGTTAGGTGCTGTTCTGAGCATTATTTGTGGCTATAGAGTGGCTTTTTGGTTGAGCGCATGGCTCTTTGTCTTGCTATTGTGCGGTCATTACTAAAGTTGGTATAACTAGAGGAGCAAGTGGTCGGCAACATTCACCTCTTGACGAGGTGTCTAACTCAGTTTTACAGTGTATTTGAACCAAACTTAATTTTATGCCAGAATATCCCTTTAATATCCATCTATATACACAGACTATGGTCATCACATCTAAATCAAAGCTTGTAAACAAGAGCCACTTGTATAGCTTTACCAGGCAGTGGCTGAGTTATGCCATCTTTTAGATCTTAAACTGCACAGAAGACAAAATTTGGACAAAATATTACTGGTTGTCTAAATATGCATTGTTATCACAAATGAACACAAGAAAAAGGAAAGAAAACATAAAGACACACAAAGTGATGTCAAAGTATAAACATAGAAATGCATAAACAGAAAACAAGACAGAGGATGCAAACAAATTCACACACACATACCGTGCCGGTCATGATTGAAGCAAAAACAAAGCGCCCTCCAAGAACAAAGGAGTAAACTCTTGTTGCAATGGTTTTAAAACTTTTCCCATAGTCAGTCGTCTTCCTCAATTCCAACATTCCCCTAACACCTGACAAAAAGAGAGAGAATTATTACTGGATGTTTTTTTTTTTTATTTTGTATAAATTTGGGTTACCATGTGGTCCTCACTTACTGCATGATCCATTGTAGTTTGTTGTAAAGTAGATGCTGTTTTTTTTACCCCTGTATGGGAAAAAAATAAAAGAATCAGTGGGGGATAGACTTATGAGAAAGCCGAGATCTCATTGCACTCAAATTTTTTCACATCTAAGAGGTTGTGTGATTCCAAATGTAAATCCATTTATGGAATTTGTCATGATCATAGATAATAGCTGTGGTTTCACTTAAGTGGGTCTAAGGCACACATTAACCCCACAGGCCGCACACCAAGCCCTGTCTGGTTTTGTTTCCTGCCAAAGAGGGCGAAGGTTTTCACACTGCTAAGATTCAGCTGGTTCAAGGACTGTGGTCTGAAAAAGAATGCTGCCGCTGACTCATGATTCGCTCTGACAGCAGCCGTGGCTCCCCTACTCTGCAGTCAATTTCGGTTTGGGGCTTAAATGACAGCTGTGGTCACGCAAAGCTATCAAAGAGTAACCCACAATGCACCGCCAACAACCGCAGGCTGACACCACAACCCTATGTGAACTCAAATGATAGCAGTGTCAGGAGTCGGTGATCATGGTTGGTGTGAGGGAAACAGTTGGAATAACAACAACGGACAATAAAAGACACACAGTGCTGTTTTACAAAAACAAAGACCAACAAGGAGGCTGTGTATGGAAGCATTAAGTGTGTTTCAAATCCTAAAGTGTCCACTCATACCTCATTTAGATGAGCCCCTTTTATATAAGCAAAGCAGGGGGTTTAAAGGCTGCAGCAAGTGATTAAAGCTCCAGTATGGAGTTTTTAGCTGATTATCAAACATATTTAAATGTAAAGAGATGCATTTTTGACCTATATAGGCAAATCAAGACCATTTCTTTTTTGTAAATTAAATGCCTGTAACTGCTGTAAGAGAGTAGGTTAGTGATATCATGCTAAAGAAACAGTCCATTTCCATACATTTTTGTGGCAAATATGTACAATTAGTGAAAATTGATACAAATGCTTTTGTCAGGGAAACACAAATAATGCAAGTACAAGAAACAATAAACAAAGAGAAAAGAGTTATCACTTTGTCCCTAAAGGAAGCCAAACCAACACGAGGGCCTTCTATCAACAAGGAGGAGAAACTAACTACACTTGTTTCTTTGAAGAGTAGAAACTGTAATTTCCAAGTCTAGAGCTGTTACTGATGTGAAGACAGAATGTGAGCACTCAGTCTACGAAACAATTCAACACTGTCAAATTGCTAGTTCAATCCAGATTTCCAATCTGTTTAATCAAGTTATTATTTTCATTGTGGTCAGCCTTGAAATGCAACTCATATGTAATCTCACATTTGTAGCACACAGCTGGTTCAAGGACTGTGGTCTGAAAAAGAATGCTGCCGCTGACTCATGATTCGCTCTGACAGCAGCCGTGGCTCCCCTACTCTGCAGTCAATTTCGGTTTGGGGCTTAAATGACAGCTGTGGTCACGCAAAGCTATCAAAGAGTAACCCACAATGCACCGCCAACAACCGCAGGCTGACACCACAACCCTATGTGAACTCAAATGATAGCAGTGTCAGGAGTCGGTGATCATGGTTGGTGTGAGGGAAACAGTTGGAATAACAACAACGGACAATAAAAGACACACAGTGCTGTTTTACAAAAACAAAGACCAACAAGGAGGCTGTGTATGGAAGCATTAAGTGTGTTTCAAATCCTAAAGTGTCCACTCATACCTCATTTAGATGAGCCCCTTTTATATAAGCAAAGCAGGGGGTTTAAAGGCTGCAGCAAGTGATTAAAGCTCCAGTATGGAGTTTTTAGCTGATTATCAAACATATTTAAATGTAAAGAGATGCATTTTTGACCTATATAGGCAAATCAAGACCATTTCTTTTTTGTAAATTAAATGCCTGTAACTGCTGTAAGAGAGTAGGTTAGTGATATCATGCTAAAGAAACAGTCCATTTCCATACATTTTTGTGGCAAATATGTACAATTAGTGAAAATTGATACAAATGCTTTTGTCAGGGAAACACAAATAATGCAAGTACAAGAAACAATAAACAAAGAGAAAAGAGTTATCACTTTGTCCCTAAAGGAAGCCAAACCAACACGAGGGCCTTCTATCAACAAGGAGGAGAAACTAACCACACTTGTTTCTTTGAAGAGTAGAAACTGTAATTTCCAAGTCTAGAGCTGTTACTGATGTGAAGACAGAATGTGAGCACTCAGTCTACGAAACAATTCAACACTGTCAAATTGCTAGTTCAATCCAGATTTCCAATCTGTTTAATCAAGTTATTATTTTCATTGTGGTCAGCCTTGAAATGCAACTCATATGTAATCTCACATTTGTAGCACAGCCATCCGCCACAAGCATGGTGCTACAATGCTCTACTATCCAGATGTAAATAAGCACGGATGATTGATGGTGCAGCTTTTTTTGTGATTATTTTTCCTGTTGGTTTCACTTCATATGGACTGAAGCTCAAATATTTCTCACCATATCATGGCCTTACTGGATTTTATTGCCGTGTTCCCTTTTGTCTGTCCTGTTTCAACCATGTCTGCCACAGCTCTGAGTTCACAGGGGCTGCATAATTTAGGTAATCATGAAATTTTTAGATTTATTACTAAGGCTGTTTTTAGAGCTACCAGAAAATCTGAGGAGCTCTGATGTAGGGATTTATCTGACTGTACTATTCATATGTAGACCCTCAAAGAGTGGTCTCCACAGTAGGGATGGGCAATAAATTATCGTTCACGGTTTTTCATCAGAGAAATCCTCTATGATAAATATTTGCCATCTCACGATTAATGCGATAAAATTTCCTTCAAGATCGGGGCTTAGACAAGTGCAGTCAGGTATGCCTGACATCGGACAGTGGATCTACTGCTGCTGTTCTCTCTGAGTAATAAGAGTTTTCAATAAATGTTGAAAGGATTTTCACATTTCAGACTTGTTTGATGTCACTAGTTTTCTCCATAAACTACCACTTAATCAGTTCAAGATTAGACTATTGTAATGCACTTTATGTTGGCATCTCCCAATCATCTCTTAGTCGCCTTCAACTTAAGCAAATGCTTCTGCCTGTCTTTGAACCAACACTAACAGACACGAGCATATCACTCCTGTCCTTAGCTCCCTACATTGGCTTCCCGTCTCTTATAGGATTGATTTTAAACTTTTAATGTTTGTTTTTAAAGCTCTTAACGGCCTCGCCCCCATCTATTTAACTGAGCTTTTAACCATGCGGGAGCTGGGTAGAGCTCTGAGGTCGTCAAACCAACTTCTGCTGGAAGTGCCCAGATCAAAACACAAACACTGGGGTGACTGAGCCTTTTCAGTTGCTGGTCCCAGGCTCTGGATTAAGCTCCCCACCAAAATCAGACTAATTTCCGATCTGGGCCTCTTCAAATCTCCATTGACAACGTATTTATTTATGCTGGCTTTTAATTCCCAGTAGCGTGGGGACACTTTATTTTATTGCATTGTTTCTTATTCTTTTATTGGTTTTATTGCTTTTTATTTATTCATTTTTATTTACTATGTATTATAAAGCACTTTGGTTCACCGAAAGGGTTGATGTAAAGGGCTGTATAAAAAAATATATATAAACTATATAAAACTCTATAAAAAAGAACATTTACATTTACATTTAAACTTGTGGTTAAGTATCTTATTTGACTATGCCAACTGGTGAGTGCCATCCAAGAACAATGATTGCGGGGTTCTCAGAACAGAATGAGTCAAAAACATGGATAGATATTATAACGTTTTTTTATCGTGACTTTTATCGTTACTGCCAGAATGGCAAAACTTATCGTGGTAATTTTTTTTGCCAATATCACCCATCCCTACTCCACAGGATTCAAGAGGCTGATCATGATGTCAGACTACAGCTGTAGTTGTCACAGTATAATGTTTTATAATGAAATCTTACCCATGATTAAAACCATCAAGCCAGAATCCTTCAGTACTGGGCACTTGTCCAGTGGGAGTAACGTAATAGATTATCAAGACATGATCCTATTACTGAGACAGTGTAAGAATAAGAATAAGAATAGCTTTATTGATCCCTGAAGGGAAATTCAATTGTAAAGAGTAGTGGCGTGATATAAAGTGAATCTGTACTCTGAGCATTACCTGCCCTGACATACATCTCTTTGAGATCGTTAAATAAAAGTTTAGAATTAATGTACCAATATATGCCGTCTAACTCTTACAGAAAAGTCATCCCTGTCCATGATCCGAAAACATTACTCAACAGCCTGCATAATCAAGTACCACTACAGCAGCATTTCTTTATCAAGCAGCAAAACTAGACAGAACACTGGCTGCATGATAAACAATAACATCCCCTTACTGCTCCCCCTGCCACTATTCACGGGTGCGTTCTCATACAAGCTCATCAAGACTTCACTGATGTGATACAAGGGTGGGACCTGGAGGAACTATTCCAGGTGAAGATGGGGTGAAAAGCCTAGCTGACCTGGGTAATTTCAGGACATTTCCAGGAACTTTGTGCATGTCTGAAAGGGACTTAATAAAAACACATTCAGCATTATGTTAACGAAGCACTCACCATCGAACCAAACAAACACGTTCATGGATCCTCCTCCAGGTGGCACCAAAGTCCTCAGACAGCCAGAGTTCCAGCTAGAGGGAATAGGCTTAATCAGTCAAGAGGAGAGTGCTCCCAGACCTCTAGGTATTCACTTAAGCCGTATTGAGAATTCAGCAGCTTGAAATAGAAGTCTGACATCCAATTAAGGCACACTGTGGACAAAAACTCCCAAGGACAGGAGGTGTGGTTTGATGAACACAAGGGCTGTTACCGTGGTACTGAGCGTCAGCAGCACATTGCAGTCTGTAGGGTTGTACAGCATCTGAATGAGAGGCTCGAATGGCAGGTCAGTCGGGATAAAGGTCATGCCAAAGTCCCGTGAGCGAAACAGTCTGAATCCTCCAACTTCTGACACATCACCAGTGAGTATCACCTGGAGTGAAACAAGAAAGAAAAGCTCTTTTGTAGACCAACCTCAAATTCAAAGCACTTAAAACAAAGACACTACCGTTTCCTGATATGTCTCACCTTGCCTGAATGGTCAGGACTGATGGCGATGCCAAACTCAGTCTGGATGAAGGTGTGGTTGATCAGGTGGGTCACATCTTCGAAGGTTTTCCCATGGTCTTCACTGACACAGCGGCAAAGAGGCAGTTAGTGACCCAAACTACAGCTATGAGAATAAGTTTACTGCCTCATTTCTGATACCTGTGCTAACCATGAGGAATTTCTCACCTCCTGTGGAGATTAGACTGTCCAAAACGCATCATGAAGAGCGGTACCTGGAATGTTGTTAAGACTAGCAGCACCTGGAAGAAAAGAGAGTGTAAAACCACAATCTGTGCGACAACATGGACCAATTTTGACTTTATTTATTTTCAATTCGAAGCAGACTCACCCCTGATCCGTCTCCCACCCAGGCGAGTGACAGTGAACCCATGGTCCTCACTTTGAAGGTAAACTGAAATTTAAAATGAAAGGAAAATTTAATGCCCGAATTCACAAATAAGATTAAAATCAAAGTGTATTTTGACTTTCAACCATTAATTTCAAAACTCCAGTCCTATTCTGGGATTCAGTCTGGAATAGACAAAATCCCATTTGTGTTTCCATCACTTGCTCAACACTAAAACACACAGGCCAATAGGACAGAATGAATTGTCCTTACTGTCCCATGTAACTCGGCCATTTGGATGCACTCTGCGTGTGTGACCTACATTCCTGCTTAAATGACAAAGCTGGGCTACAGAACAAGACAATGACTGATGTCCCAAGCACAGCAGGAACAGACACACACATTCAAACACACATACAGCGCAGACACACAGTAAATGCAGCCTGAAGTATCCCATTCAGAGAATAAACAAAATATAATGGAACAATCTTCAGGTCATAGAGTATTTATGTTTGATTTAAAAACCTAAAAAAATCACAGGGTGGCACAAAATAAAAGTTATGAAAAAAAGTTGAAGTGGAACTTTTATTTCACAAGTCTGCAAACATTCCAATCTATTCATCATGAGTAACGCTTAGAAGTATGGTCATTTGCGCAATGCTTATCCAAAGTTCACAGTGTTTTGGAGTCAGAGGAAGGTTTCACCCTTCTCTTCTTCTGCTGGCAGAGCAGATATGTTTACAAGGTGAGACAGCCTGCATGCAGCGCCATAAAGCCACAGGACACAGCCAGGTCTACCCGCTGGAAACTCTCTGTAAATATGTCCAGTGGAAATTGGTCTGCCCCCTCTCTGTCCAAGTGTGTGAACACAACTTTCCGTCTGTCCTCTACATGAATCATTTCATCACAACCCCGCTGCATCTATGTTTGCTTCCTCACTTTGAGAACTTCTCTTGCCTACCTAAAAAGCACGATTAGTCCTGTCCTCTGAAGAGTGATAACCAGTCAAGTTACAATGACTGAGTCTAAGGTAGTGTCTCGTTCACCCAGAGAGCTTGATCTGCTCTGCCATCTTATTACATAATGCACGTAAAGAAAATATGAAAGCATCTTTGCAGAGGCGATAGAAACCTGTAGGTCCAAATAATATTTCTTTAAATGTCACTTTTGCTCCAAGATCATTTAAAAACTAAAACACCAATATAAGAATTAACTCATGACATAATATGTCATCAACAACTAAACAGAGAGAACCACTGTAAATACAAGGCTGAGATCACCATTATGTTTTCTAAATTAATTAAAAATACATTTTAATGGATTATCTAAAGTTTTGATTGCAGTATTTATTCGAGGTGGGAATCACCAGTGGCCCCATGATAAGATATTATCACGATACTTGGGCCACGATACAATATTATTGCGATTTTTAACATTTTGCGATACACCAAGTATTGTGATACAGTATATAGCGATTCATACAATTTTTTTTTAACTGTTTAGCTAATTTAGCATTTGTTTTTTCTTTATGTTTGTCTTATTTACGCTGTATTTTATTTTCATGTAGCACATCTTGCAAACCATATATATATATATATATATATATATATATATATACACACACACATTTATTGCACTCTTGCTCTATGATGTCACCTCTGCCAACCTCACTGGACACTTGATTTTATTTTTCCATTATCATAGATCTGACTACACATTAGCAATTTATTTAAAAAAAAAATCAATACTTGGTCAATGAGACGATACGATTTATCACCAGACAAAATATTGAGATCCTATGCTGTATCAATTTTTTCTCCCACCCCTAGTATTTATCTTGGAATTGTGTTTCTTTGTCTTAATAATCTAATAAGCCAGGACAGACATCCAAATTCCCTTTGTTGCAATATTTTTTTGTCTACAATTATTTAACTAAATGTTCAGCAACTTTGTTTTTTCATTTGTAAGTATAATTGAATTATTTGTCAAATGCAAAAAAAAAAAAATGTTAACTGAAAAACAACAATTTGATATCAGCGTTGTTTATCAGGCATCAATGGACCTGCTCTCTTATTTTTTGGTGTTGGCATCATCCACTGAAAAACTGTAATCGATTGATCACTTAAAATGACCAATTAGAAACAATCAAGAGAACAAAGTAGTACATATGCAGCCTTTCAGCACACTGGCTGTATCCTGTCATGGATCACACACATTTTATGATTTCAACGCTTGATTTGAGAGCTGTGTTCAATTTTAACAGCAGGATGGGGTTTTTTTTCATCTGCTTCCCTGAAACTCCTGACTGTGCAGATGCTGACATAACCAACTCCACGTCACTGAGACTTCAACACAAAACAAACAACGACTGCATCACACTGCATTACCAGCTATAGTAAAGACTGTGCGTATGTGAAACTCGAGAGAGATAATACAGGATTATGTAGCAAAAGAAGGAGAGAAAAAGAGGAGTTAATGTAAAGCTGCAGGATACATTGCCCTGCCATGAGATGAGGAAACCAGAAGGATAGAAGGAAACAGTGAAGAGAGAGAGAAAAGAATAGATTATTAGTCAGCAAATCTTAAGAGATAAAAGTCTGAGCCGTCGGGACGTGGCCTCACAAACCAGACATGACCTCATGCTGTATCAGGGCTTGTGCACAAGGGTTGATGAAGCCCTACAGCTGAAAAGGCTCCTGTAACCTTCGTCTAATCTGACATTCAACACGTGTCAGTACTTTTTAGCTTTTTATTAATACTGCAGCACCAACTAAGTATCTCACACACATTAAGACACTTACTCTTACAAACTCAGTTCTACATACTGCTGCAGGGAGGGAGCACACAGTGAAGTCCTCTCTTGGAGGTCAGATGCCAACACAATGAGCTCATTATTCCCTCTGTTCTGGGCTTTAACCTTTCTGCTTCAGCCATGTTTACACACAGAAAACTTCAGAGGAGGAGGTCAGGTTCTTTTGGCTCAGATCTAACATATAGAGCTCTGTAAAGCCAGCTTCTGATGTGGGCTGAGAAGGTTTCTGTGGGCAAATATGTAAGCCTTCCTTTTTTTTCGTTTTAGTGTTAGAGAAATAAGAAAAAAAAGAGTAAAACTTTATTTTTCAAATATGTTCAGAGTATACGATGTTGAAAAGAGTGAAAATATGTGCCTTGCAATGTCGGTCAAGAGATTAAATAAATGACTGCTGAAACCAGCAAATCAAACAGAAGCTTGTTCTTCTTACAGAAGGGCTATTTTCCTTTTTTTTTTTGCCATAAATAACACTGGTGCCTGCATGTTCCAGGATGCTCCGTGCACAAGCAGCTTCTCCTGGATCTGTGGCATCTATTGTGCCGTTTACTTCTACTCAGAAATACTCAAAGTTGCTTCACTCACTACACTAAATAATACACTCCAATAAACAGCATCCTTTATATTCATCATTTTGGATGCTGTTTTTTGTCAGTTTGTAGTACGGCTTTGTTTCCAGTTTGAAATCAAGGCAACGGTTTAGATGAAACCTTCCAGCTGAAGTAGATTTAACGGGCTACCAAGTTACATATGTCACATGACAATGTGGCAGACACAAGAACAAGAGCACTTGCAGCTTAGCTGAGCTGTGAGCCAGAGAGACAGGGGCCCTTGGCAACTACTGCAGGAGTTTTTAACTCTCTCCTGAACAGATGGAGGTAAGTTTGAAGACAGTGGTACCCAATTTTTTCCTCTGACACCACGGTGACTTCAACATTTGTGGATCTGAATCAATGACAGGAATTGTGTGTCTGAATGATATCTGACATCCTTTTTCCATATTGTGACAAATTTCAATACATTTCCATCAGCATCATGTGTTTATCATGTTAGGAGCTAACAGGGAAATGCTAATGTTAGCTCAGTTGTCGCTCTCATATTTTGAGAAAGGCTGTAGACAATCTGCTTTACTAATTGGATTTTCTGACATTTTAAAGAGCATTCAAGTGATTAGTCATGAAACTAATTGGCTGAATGAACTCCATTCGTTTCAGTCTTTATTTAACCAGCACTGTCACAGAGGACCAGCACATCCTTACAGTGTAGAGACTGCTGTCTGTACATTTCTCAGGCGAAGTTTACTTGACAGATTATTTTTACTATTAGAGTTGTCAAATTTCTGCATATGGGTGGAGGCGAAATGTGAGTGCAGTTTTATGGGAAACACTGAGTACAAATACTTGGTCATTTCTCAACCCACTGTTACAAAATATGAGAAAACTGAAGCACAAGTCTAGCACCAAGTCCACAAGAATCTCTTAATCTACTCGCTGTTTTCAACTCATTGAAGCCCTGTAAACAAACAAATCTATAACTCTTTTTATGTCACCCTCCTCCACCTCCTTCTCTCTCTCGCTCGCTCTCTCTCACTTTCTCTCTCACTCTCTCTCTCTCTTTCTCTATGTTTTCTTGCTGCTCCCACAGCTGGCTGCAACCCAGTTGAGCTTTCACCCTCAAAACAGAGCATGTTTTCTCCCTATGTTTTTTTGGGCTGGAGGGGAAAGGGGACAGGTTCGAGTGAAGAGAGAGAGAGAGAGAAAGAAAGAGAGAGAGAGAAGAAACAGTCAGCTGGTTAGCAAGCCGGAAGGAGTTTACTGAATAAATCTTATTCAATGAAAAACAAGGAAAAAGAGAAAACAAGGCAAATTTTGGAAATGCCAAAACTTCCTGCGTTGTTTATCAGGCCTAAATAGAACATAAAAAAGGAGCACAGAGGCAGGATGGATGAACTCATTTGCACAGCAAAACATGACATATAGAGCATGTATTGGTGCTCTAAATGCTCACAGAACCTTGTCTGATTTGGCCCTGCAGCTCTGATAACAGAAATGTCCGACTTGAGCCCACACTGGTGCTCAAATCAAGTCCAGCAGAAAAATCGTGGAGAATGTTTGTTGAGGGAGAAAAGGCCCAGAGGACAGAGGAGGAGTCTGCTCTCTGTGAGCATGCCAAATTGTTTTCATGCTCAAAAAAACTGCTGCCAGGTGTCTGAGCCTCAGGAATAATGTAAGGTCCACCTAACCATCACCCTCACACACACACATAAACACAAACACAACAGGAAGATGGTAGCTGTGGTGCTATTTGTTTTTCTTTAACATTCCTGTAGACATCTGGGTGGTTCTTTTGGTGCTTCCTTTTAAAATTCATTCAGTACTAAAATAACAAAAGGTCCTCCCTCTTATGTTTTTATAAGTTGTTGTTTTTTCTTTTAAATAGATCCCCTTTGAGTTTGATTACAGGTACAGTATCACAGGAAGCTGCTGCTCAGTGAAGCTGCCTTTACCCTGCACAGGAAACAGCAACTACAATCGTGCTTTCTCTGACTCCTCTCACTGCAGCCGACCTCATTAATTACTTCAATATAGATTTAGATACGCACTTCACTTTGAACCACAGCCTACAGTGATTGGGATAAAAAAAAACATAACAGATGAAGCTGTCACAGCAGCTGATCATCAGAAAATAAATCAAACTCTGTATTTCCTGGTTGAACCTGCCCCTGTCTTTGCTGCTCTTATGTTGTTAGTGTCATTGTAACTGGATTTGAGCTGCAACCAGCTGACAAACAAATGTTTTTCTATCATGTAAGTTTGAAGCCCTTATACAGATGTTCTTCATTTTCAGCTTTCTTCATGTAAGAATGTCCTGCATTTCTTTGTCAAATGTGACAGTAAATTAAGAGGTTTTGCTAAAAGCTAATATTACTGTGGCTTTATTTGTTTTGTTTAATTTTAATCATTATTCTGAGTCATCCAGTCCTTTTTTTTTTGCTGAGCGATGCTATTTTCTGAAAATGACAATAAAAAAGGTAAATCCAAAACAATAAATCATAATATCCAAAAACATGTCAAACCTCACACACAACCATAAACAAAAGACAGTGCCTTTGCCTTATAAGAAAAAAAGGACAGTAGCAAAGCAAGCCCCCAAGATCCTTGACATATAACATAAATGGTCCCCATACAATCTCAAAGAAATTGTGTCTGCTCTTCAACACATAGGTGATCCTCTCCAATGGAAGGGTAGACAACATCTGATGCCTCCACTGACCCACAACAGGCCCATGGGCTTTCTTCCAACACATTGAAACACGCCTCTTGGCATTCAGTGGGCTGATATCTATCAACACTTTTTCACTCTGTGTATGCTCTTCTGGGTATAAGTCAAACAAGAACAGTCTTCAGTCTTGTAGAAATTCTTTGACAATATTTTTTTTTTCAATTACACCTCTTACAACAATATGATTTTCCTACAGTACCACATACAATGAACCAATCTTACCCCACATTCAATACAGTTTGGGCACACATCAGGAATATTACCATTATGTCTATTATGTCTGTTACATAAATTTGCATTAATTATTTGAACTGGATTAATCTGAGGCATATGTTAATAGATCTGGTATGTGCCAAGTTGCATGCATCGCTCCAATCATCCTCTGATATATCTCTAAAGAACTGATGTTGAATCTATAAAATACCAGGAAAAACTCTATCTGGTTTTCCATGCCACAGAAGACAACCTAAAAAAGTTTTCTTACACATCTCAAAAGTGTACTTCATTTTAGTACAAAAATTAGGGGGGGAAAGTATTTGCACATAACAAGCTGGGAAAATGAATTTCTTCTGTTCTCTTTCACTTTCAGTTCAACACCCCAATAAACCGATTAACTGGATAGTGGTCGAATACCTGATAAACTACAGCTTTGGCTTAAGAAAGATACTAAAAACGTGCTAGATTCAATTTGATCCATAAATGCACCAAAGTGTTTAACTTTACACTTTAATCTTATACCGAGCACAACCTTATCTTTTTTATCTCCAATAGGCAGGAAATCTTAAAAAGAGAAAAATAACTGTTAAAATAAGTTATCTTATCAGAAGGAATCTTGTTTTAAGATTAAGTGAGCCTTGTTTCAAGATCAGCCTGCTTGGATTGAGACAGACTTTGGTAATTCTTCAGTAATACTGGGGTTTTTTTTCTCTGAATTTCTATTTTTTGTTTAACCAATCTTCTGCTTAATTTGCTAAAAGTAAGAAAATACTGTGTAATTGATTACATTTTGTATATTTCACTTATTTTGAGGCTGTAAAGGTTAAATTTCAAGTACTCTGATCTTAAAACCAGCATTTTATACTTATTTTGTGCATATGTTAGGTATATTTAACTTATTTTTGAGGCTGTGGAAGTTAAATTTTAAGTTCTCTGATCTTAAAACCAGCATTTCATACTTATTTGATGCTTATATTTGGTAAATTTAATTTATTTTGGGGCTGTAAAAATTAAAATTCAAGTAAGCTGATCTTAAAACTAGCATTTTATACTTAATTTATGCATATATTAAGTATATTTAACTTATTTTGGGGGCTGTAAAAGTTAAATTTTAAGTACTCTGATCTTAAAAACCAGCATTTTATACTTATATTTAGTACATGTCACTCATTTTAGGGCTGTAAAAGTTAAATTTTAAGTACTCTGATCTCAAAACCAGCATTTTTACTTATTTTGTGCATATATTAAGTATATTTAACTTGTTTTTGGGGCTGTAAAAGTTAAATTTTAAGTACTCTGATCTTAAAACCAGCATTTTATACTTATTTTATGCTTATATTTAGTACATGTCACTCATTTTAGGGCTGTAAAAGTTAAATTTTAAGTAATCTGATGTTAAAACCAGCATTTTTGGCTTATCTTAAGCCTTCCAAATACATTTGTAGACATGCTTATTTCTAGATTTAACAATCTTAATTCAGGAAATCTTGTCAAGTGAAATTACCTTGATCCATTGACAGATAATTTCACTTGTTTTTAGTAACTTTTCCCTCAGATTTAGTGTTTTTAGCCTCCCCCTTTTTGCAGTGTAGACGAAAGGGTCAGAGCTCCTCTTACCCAACTGATAGTGTTTTTTTTTTTTGTTTTTTTGTTTTTTTTAATTGGAAAGGTCCATCCATTTTCCACCATGGATCTAATAGACAGAGCTGTGTAAGCGTGCACAAGTTGTTTACAGTGTGCACGTTTATGAGCAGCCCCATGTGCTGAGTGACCATTGACACACTGAAGTAGCCCGTCAGAGGTCAAATCGGGAGCAGAGATTAAGCTCTCTCTCTTTTTTAAGTGCAGTTTCATGTTTTGATGTGGAATAAATAACTTACAGAGTGGGTGTTGTTCTGCAGAGTCGACTCTACTCCAGTCAGGTCTGTGCATGTCTGTTCATTCAGTCCAGCGCTTCGTTTCCAAAGCTCCGACCTCTCCAAACCTTGTCGCTCCACATCACTGCCAAACTCCTTCTGCTGCCCGCTCACATCTGACAGCCGTTCCCCCGGGAATGAATCTGTGCCCAGCGCACACGAAAACCAAGTGAGCGCCAACATGCAAGACACGGAGATCATGTTTACAAAGAAGGTTCACCAACTTAGTACCCAGCGAGAAACTCTTCTATCCCAGCGCTGGCTCCCCACATACCCCCCTCATCACCGACTGCATCTTCACCGACGGCCCATCTACCGCGGCAGCTGATTGGTCCGAACCAGAATAACCTCTGATCTCATTGGACGGCGGGAATCTGCCTCAAGTGAGACGTCAAATATTTTCTGGTGTTTAGTTGCCCCCTAGTGGAAAGACCGCTCAAAGCCAGGAAAAGTTTTTTTTTCTTTGAAGTGAGGACATCATTCTCTGAATTCGTTAATGGTCCCAAGAAACAATAACAAAATCAAAACAAGCATTTTGGAGACTCTTCTTTCCAGGACGGGAATAGTTTACAGTGAACTTGAGAAGTGCTCTCATATTATAATAATATGTTGTTGAAAGGAAATTTGCCTATCAAGCTTTGGTTTCAAAAATGTTACGACTTATTAAGAAATAGTTTAATGATTACTATGTGCAAGTGAAAATCAACAGGTGTACCTGAGAAGAAGACACATAGATTTAAATAATGACATGAAATGATGGGGGAATGTGTGAATTATACCTTTTTCTATGTTGTGATATTAAAGACCGAGATTACTTTGCATCATCTGACCCTCCACCAATACCAGATTAAAGGGATATTCCAGCATAAAATGTATTTAGGGTCAAACACACTGTAACACCCCCTCGAGAGATGAATGTTGCCGACCGCTTGCTTCTCTAGTTATACCAACTTTAGTAACGACCACACGATAGCAATACACAGTGGTCTGAGGAGCCATACACAAACCTCAACCAAAACGCCACTCTATAGCCACAAATAATGCTCAGAACAGCACCTAACTTCATCAACAGTACATATAGGGTCCTAGCCACAGCACCAGCCACCAAACATCTTTTAACTTTGCCTAATTTCTTTAGCAAAGAGACTAAACATGTAGGGGAATCTCTTCATACATTTAGGTTAAGAAATATAGAGTAATTATCTTTTAGTAAGAAGCTACAAATAATCTAGGTTGGCCTGCTCCTGCAGCCCCACGTCCATGAGATTGTAAGCACGGCTGTCTTGCAGGAGCCCGAACTATCTGTCTGTTGGAACATGTAATCTCTGCCAGGGTCAAGACGAACCTAAACAAAGTGTCGTGGGGCAGACATGTCATCATGGGCAGCCCTCTGCAGGATTCACACACACACACACACACACACACACACACACACACACACACACACACACACACACACACACACACACACACACACACACACACACACCTAACAGCATAAAAGAGAGTAGAAGAAAAGCTAGGGAGGCTTCCTTCGGTCCTGGTCGAGACTCTGTTTGTCATCTGTACTGATTTCTACATCTGTACAATAAAGACGCCCCAGGCTGCTCTTCAGATCTCATCCTGTCTCCTGTGCATTGTTTATGCTGGATTTTCCACAACAAACACAACTCACCTACTCTCTTCCAGCAGCCGCTTGTTTGTAAAGAGACCTCAGGCCAATCTGCTACAGACCTCTGTGGGGGGACGCAGCTCAAGGAAGAACATTCATGATCATTACCTTATCATTTCCTTCAAGTAATAATCACCATATTAATCATTTTGCACTGCAGACATGGTAGGTCTTCTGCATTAGCGTCTCAGTCTGATTGCATTTCCATGAAGAAATGATCATAAATGTTCTTCCTTGAGCTGCGTCACCCCGCTGCAGTCCGTAATGGACTGACCTGAGGTCTTGCTACAAACTAGCGGCTGCTACAAGAGAGGAGGAGAGTTGTGTTTAGTCTCTTTGCTAAAGAAATTAGGCAAAGTTAAAAAGATGTTTGGTGGCTAGTGCTATGGCTGGGACCCTATATGTACTGTTAATGAAGTTAGGTGCTGTTCTAAGCATTATTTGTGGCTATAAAGTGGCTTTTTGGTTGGTCAGTATTGCTATCATGCGGTCGTTACTAAAGTTGGTATAACTAGAGAAGCAAGCAGTCGGCAACATTCATCTCTCGAGGGGGGTGTCTAACTCGGTGATAAGGTGTTTGACCCAAACTTAATTTTATGTCAGAATAACCCTTTAAACACTATTCTACTTGGTAACTTCTTTTCGACCTCACAGGCATTCCTTACTACCCATAAGTATCATTTTATTGTGTAATTGGCCACTGAAAATGCCAAACATTTTTGCCACACACAAAAGACACAAGAAAAACACACACATTTTCTGAATACAACAGTATTTAATTGAAGTACTGATTCGTAACAAAAAATACCCCCCACCCACCCACCCCACCGCTCAGTCGTCAGTGCTGGTCAGACTCCTGTACAAAGATGTACAGATACTGAGAGACAGAAAGGGAAATCAGCACGATACAAAGAGACAGCTCTTATGCAATCCATTAAAACGTGACTGCAGCCAAGACAATGTGCTGATGGAAAGTTGTGTGTTGTGTTGTGACATTCTGCCCAGTTGATCTTCCCTCATCCTCTACTGTCCAGGACTCAAACTGAAGACGTTCAAATCTTTTATGCTCTAGATGTCCTTGATTACATCCTCCAGCTCCTCTTTGGAATACATGTGGAAGGTTTTACCGGGCTCTACTGTCGCCAGCTGTGGATGGAACACAAGATTATGAATGCATGTATGAAACCCAAGTGTTTAGAGTCTCTTTCCTTTTACAAACAAAACCACACATCTTGATTTCAGTAAAACGTCTTCGCAGATTCACACCTCATGTAATAACCTCAACAGTTTAGGAAGTGCATGAGCAATTAGGAACTAACCTCAATGTTGGTGGCGTTGAGCTTCTCCTCCATCACCTGCTTCAGAATGGTGAGAGACGACTTGATGGCATCTTTTAATGTCATGGACTGTGAGTCACCCATGGAGAGGAAGACAAGAAGGAAAAAGTACAGTCAACCATGGTGATTTGCATACATATCGGCTGATGTGGTGGTATAAATGTAGAAAAATCAATTTTTTGGCTCATTTTAGTTGTTGAAAGTCTATTTTAGAACTTGTTTTCTGCAGATAGCATTATTGCAGTTTGCTTTGCATACTTTTCCTTTCTGACATATGACCAAATGTTAGTACCTTGTGGTAAACCTCTTGCAGGGAGCTCTGTGCTCCTTCAGATGCTGAGCCGATGGCCCGGGCATCACACTGCACAAAGGTTCCTGATGGGTCCATGTGGTACCTACATTCACAAACAAATACAAATACAATAAGGTTAAGTCAGACTTCAAAGTGAATGTGCTTTAACATAAAAGTTTTGGTATTTAAGGTGTTTAGATGGCGGTCTCTTCTTACAACTGAGGTCCTTTTTCATCAACTCCTCCAAACAGAAGTGCCACACCAAATGGTCGACTCTGTACAGATGACAGCAGAACAACAGAGAATTCAGTATTATGTTTCAAGAAGCTTACAGGCCTGAAGCACTTTCAGCTCAGAGAGAAGTGAAGTGACTGACCATGGCACCAGGATCTGCATCCTCCTCTCCAAACTGCAACGCCAGGTTGGAAACAGCCTGAGTCACACTCTCCACTGTCATCGTCTCATTGTAAGTGAACCAGTGGTTCTGAAGGGGAAGATGTTTACAGGTCAATCTCACTATAAGATACAGTTAGTGGTTGGCCTATGTTACTGTGCAGCCAGAATTCATACCTGTGTTTCCACTCTTGCTTTGTCAATAAGAGTCTTGGCATCAGCTATCAAGCCACTCATGGCACAACCTTTGAGGAGAGAAGATTCTAAATCAAACACTTGACAATCTTGCACATCATTTATGTTATCTAAAAGTGGACTGAAATAAATAAAAGTGCAATGATGTAAACATGACACATGCACATATCTTGTTTTAACTCAAAGTTTCTTTATCTTTTCATTTTTCTCTTTTTGTATCTATACTTTGCTGCTGTAATTTTGGAATTTCCCCCTGTGGGACTATTAAAGGAACAGATTATCTTATGATTCGAAATATTTATGATTTCCAACAAACATCTAGTCACATGTGGACAAAATTAAAAGAAAATGCATAATATGAATTAAAAATATAACAAAGGTGAGTCTATCAATGACGTCTAAAAAAATTTAAGCTGTTGATGCAAGCAGCCTACATCTTATTTACCCGTACATAATCCAAACATGTTATGTACCTGTTCTGGCTCTTTCTTGCTAAGCTTTGGAACAAGCTGTAAGCAACTGGATTTACTTTACAGCATTATTTAGGGCCTCTCTTGTTTTAAAGAACCAAACAAGGGCAAAACAGCAGCCTTTAAGGATCAATTTCTTAATAAATGTACATATTTTCATGCACAGTAAAATCTTAAGACTCCCTGTGTGCTTTTCAACACTGCTTTAAAATTAGTCCGTTGCTTTTCAAATATTCCCTTTATTATTTTCCTGTAATAATGATCTTTTTTGTTCATTTTACCGTCTCTTTGACTCAGATTGACTAACACAGTGTTTTAATGTTCGTCACAATATAACAACATAAAGCAAATACACATGTAATAAACTGATTCTTTATCTAGTCGCACTGATTCAGTTTGTTATTGTCTCTTACCGATGTGACTGTCAATCTCCACAATCTTTTCAATGCTGTTGGGCTCCATCAGTGGAGAGGTGATCCTCTTCTCCACTGCCAGACACACCCCCTCTGCTGTCTGGATACCGATGGCCGTGGAGCCCAACTGATGAAACAGTGCGAGACCAAAATGATCAAATGAGGCTTTTTTTTTTAAGGCTTAGTTTCAAGCATAAAACAGATGACTGATTTAAGTAATTCATCATGTTAGACTCACCTTTATAGCCTCAATGGCATATTCAACCTGAAACAACCGTCCTTCTGGAGAGAATGTGTTCACACCTCTAAAAAACGAGTAAAAGGATAACAATCATTAAGAGCTGGTGATGTATATTATTAACCAAGTAAAACATGGTAAAAACATGCACAATCTACAGCAAAACTACAGTTTATACTTTCAGGATTCTTTTAAATTTCTAGTTTCTGTTGATTTGATCAGACAGGTGGTTATCAAATTTGAAAGGTGTTGTAAAGTGTTTGTCCTTTGTCCTTGTTTACCACTGTGTTACATCACCTTTCCTTTTAACAACACTCAATAAACATTTGGGAACTGAGGAGACTAATTGTTGAAACTTTGAAGGTGGAATTATTTCCCATTCTTGCTTGATGTACAGCTTCAGTTGTTCAACAGTTTGGGGTCTCTTTTATCGTATTTTACGCTTCATAATGCGCCACACATTTCCAATGGGAGACAGGTTTGGACTGCAGGCAGGTCAGTCGAGTACCTGCACACTTTTACTACAAAGCCACGGTGTTGTAACACGTGCAGAATGTGGCTTGGCATTGTCTTGCTGAAATAAGCAGGGGCGTCCATGAAAAAGACGTTGCTTGGATGGCAGCATATGTTGCTCCAAAACCTGTATGTACCTTTCAGCATTAATGTTGCCTTTACAGATTGAAAGTTACCCATGCCTTGGGCACTAATGCACCCCCATACCATCACAGATGCTGGCTTTTGAACTTTGCGTGGATAACAGTCCAGATGGTTCTTTTCCTCTTTGGCCCAGAGGACACAACGTCCACTATTTCCAAAAACAACTTGAGATGTGGACTCGTCAGACCACGGAACACTTTTCCACTTTGCATCAGTCCATCTTAGATGAGCTCAGGCCCAGAGAAGCTGGAGGCGTTTCTGGATGTTGTTGATAAATGGCTTTCGCTTTGCATAGTAGAGTTTTAACTTGCACTTACAGATGTAGCGACGAACTGTATTTACTGACAGTGGTTTTCTGAAGTGTTCCTGAACCCATGTGGTGATATCCTTTACACATTGATGTCGGTTTTTGATACAGTGCCACCTGAGGGCCTGAGCCTGCTCACCTGTTCCCAATCAGCCTGCTCACTTGTGGGATGTTCCAAATAGGTGTTTGATGAGCATTCCTCAAATTTCTCAGTATTTTTTGCCACCTTTCCCAACTTCTGTGTCAAGTGTTGTTGCCATCAAATTCTGAATTAATTATCATTTGCAAAAAAAGTAAAGTTTATGAGTTTGAACATTAAATATATTGTCTTTGCAGTGTGTTCAATTGAATATAAGTTGAAAAGGATTTGCAAATCCTTGTATTCCGTTTGTATTTAAGTTTATCACAATTTACCAACTTCATTGGAATTGGGTTTTGTATATCGTTTAAATGCGGTATATCAAAAGTATTAGAAACGTCTAAACAGATTAGTTCACCCAAGGATAGCATATTAATCCTTAAGTGTTTTCCTGTCTTATCAAAGGGTCTTAAAAATGATAACGAAAGTGAAAGCAAACTAACTTGTTGCGATGTCTCGCTGTTCGCTAAATACCCACCTACCATCCAAACAAGGCTTAGAAATCCACGTAGCTCAAAATTCATAAGGAGTTCCAACTTATAAGAAAAAAGTCTCATCCACTTACTTACACAAGTCGTTTTACATAACCTATATGTCAAGTTGTATCGCCCTCAGTAAGCAGCGCTCAATAAATGACAAAGCAGTTTGTGCTGCACTTACCTGTCATACTCCGATCTTGTCAAAAACATCTTGAAATCTTCGACACAGGAGCTGCAGAAAGAGAGGATTTATATCTCAAACACTGTTTGATCTTAAAAGTAAGCCAAAGCAAGAGAAACCTATTCTTTGAATGAAGTTTGCAGTAACACCGGGTTACTGCAAGTAGCCAGCGTTAGCCGCGATGCTGAGCAAGCATGCTAGCTAAGTGGCGCGGCCAAACACTTAAAAACGACAAGCTCACACGGGTTTAACAACAATTCTCCGACATAACATTTACATTTAAGAAAACACATGCTGGAGTATTCATGTTTGATCAGACTATTTCTACTTGTCAGACTCATTTACCTCAAGCCACAGACCCTTGAATGAGTTCGCTTGTTTTAGGGGAAGCGTACACGGTGTAACATCGGAACAAGCCGTCTGTAAACAACAACGAAAAAAGACACACAGTTCCGCCAACCCTGCACAGCCATAGACATTAAATACGTAGACGCCTCGTTACGTTCTGGAGCATAATCCGGCGTCGACGCCATATTGGGTGGGTCTCCCCACTCCATTCTCGCCCTTGAGCCAAACGGGGTCAATGGAGAACGAGCAACTATATCTGTATTTTTGCACTCTATGGTTGAAAAACCCGACGCAGTATTGAAACCAGATCACGTAGGATTACATATTACAAATACGATTTATAAATATATATTTTTTATTTTTAATGCGTAACATTGTCCTGTATTATTGATACATCCCTGCCCTTGTAACAAACCAAACAGTGTAAAAATCGGGCAGAGATTCGGAGAGTTATAATCAATATGGTTGGGCATTCCTACCTACCTTAATGCACTGGAGGCGCACGGGGGACCAATCCAAGATGGCGGCCGCGCTGATACGAGAGCCCCAATAGGCAACGTCAGGCTTTGAGGTGTCTACGTATATAATGTCTATGTGCACGGCCATATGAGTTCTACTGAGTCCATTTTAAATATTGAGTAACGAGAACATCTTTACTTCTGTGTGATTTAAAATTTATAAAGCAAATTAACAAAGTGTAGTTATTTTATTCTCATTTTACATAAAAGTAATATCAACCATGTTATTTTGAATTTACACACTATGCACATTATGACAGCAAAGGTTAGTTATACTCGGAAAATAAAGTTTAAAAAAGTCTGAATTTAAGATGATGTTTTGGAAGGACGTTAAATATTTCAAAGATTTAAGATATTACTGACTTTTTTAAAACAAGAAGGAAAAGCCTGTTTTCAGATATCTGTCTTTTAATCAGATTAATACTGACTGGACTGTCAATGTGGAGAGGCGTTTTTTTATCACAATTTTAAAAGCAAGAGTACAGTTTTAGGAGTAATGTGTTTCATTGAAGTATAAAAATAACCCCTTATAGGGTTGTATTAGGCATAAAAGTTAAAGCTAGGAGAATGACACAACATTGCGTTTAAATGGCACATGACAACTAAGTTACACAGATATCAGGGAGAGACATTTTTTTACCCTGATCAACCAATACAGCGACTTGATTTATATAATGATTTGGCATCACTCGTTTCAATAAACCCGACATCACTGATGGCAAATTAGATTAGATTTTTATTGCTCGTTGCTCATTTTATCGCTGTTGTCATGGTGATATACCAACGTCCCATATGGTCTAGCGGTTAGGATTCCTGGTTTTCACCCAGGCGGCCCGGGTTCGACTCCCGGTATGGGAACGCCCCTTTTACACGTAAGTTGATATAGAACCATCGCACCTGAAACTCATCTGACTGAAACAATGTCGTTACCCAGTAATCCCTAAATGAAGCATAGGTTGCAGAGCGAAGGCAGGTGAGTGGGAGTGTTCATTTGAGGCTAAAAATTGCTGTATAATTGGTAAACATACGAGCAAAAATATCTCACCCTTTCGTTGGTTAAAATGCATGTACAGGTTATATTAGACCTTTAGAGGGAATTTATTCACTTCCATACCTTTTTTTCCCTTTTGTGTCCAAATTCTGCTTGCTTGCTGTAAATCAGCCGCTAGAGGTCCCCCTCCAGCTGGACAAGAGAGCTGTCGTTAGGTACAATGGAAACTATTGAATTTATGACACAAACACAGAAAGTACACTTTTTATATGTCTACAGGGAAATAACGCATTCATATTTATTTATGAAGTGAACAGAAATCGGGTTAAAAAAATCTTTGTGACACTTTGTGACAGTTTCATCTGAAGGTCTGTCAGAATTTGCAGAAGTACAAATGACCAGATGGTTGAAACAACACTTTGATAACCATCGAACACCTCATGTTAGATTTGTATAATTTTTGTCACAATATTTGTCATTGACTTTTGCAGTGATTCGTGGTATTTGCAACAATGCAAAAGTATAAAAATAAAAAAAAATCAACTCACCAGTACCTGTGTAGTCCAGTAATTGGATCAAACACTTATTTTCATCAGGCTTAAGGCAGTAGGTTATAAGTGAAGAAAAAGCAAAGAAGACTTGAAGAGTTTGTTTATCCTCTTTGGTGTGTTAGGAGGATGTTAACGCACTATAGGTTAATTTAAACATAAATATAACTTTTTATTGTCATTGTAAAGTGTTAAACTTTTAGCTTAGACAGGAGGTGGGTGTGAAACCAGGTCGGTGGTGTCGGGTTTCAGTTCCCGGGTGGGATCAGTTCAGTTCGGTACCGTGTCGGTTCTGTTGTTGAAGCCCAAACGTGGCGCTGCTTCTTTCTTCTTTATAGTCTACACTTGAGTCACTTCAAGTTTTGTCGCTATTGTGTTGATGGATAGACAGCCCGGGATTTTTTACCCTCAGGACAGTCTGCCAGGTGTGCAACCTTGATAAGTTTACTTACTGTAGTGTACCCTCGAAATAGTCAACATGAAGACCCAGAAGGACATCATTCTCTTCTTGATCCACAGTAAGTAGCCTTGAGTTTGTACTGTGGACATTAGTGTTACATATATATCAGATTTCTGCAACGTGTAATGTGTTTGCATGCATAACAAACTAACACCATCCAGAAAATCTTAACAGAGGCTTAGTGAGGCTAAAATGAAAAAGTGCTGAATTAGAGTAAAAAGTAAAACACTTTTTAGTTAAACCTGTTGTATTGTTTTTTCTGTTGTTATGGATTAAAATAAGAGACTTGGAAAAAATAGCTGACTCTTTAGGTTTACCTGCTGCCATGTAGCCCAGAGACCAATAACTTGTCCAAACATCTCCATGATAATATTAAAACCAGACTTGTTTTCCTACTGCTCACCTCATGCAGATTCCTTTAACTGAGTCAGTACGGACAGAGTCAAAACAGATCCACTAAACTGTGCTTAATGTAGGCCTTTATTATTTAAAGAGTAACCTTTCAACTATTGATTAAAATCAGACATATTAACTTAGATTTAATGAAAACAACTTCAGCAATCTGTCTGCTGTTGGTTCTGCCCCATTCACTTCCTAATTAACCGTGTATCATTTATTAGTTTAATAGTTATATCAATGTCAGCTGTGATTTAATCAACATTTTAAAAGGCTTACTTCCAACAGTAATGTATTATTTTAACACAATATGCAGTCAAAGTGGTAACACAGTGTCAGCTAAAGTGATTATTCATTTTTCCTCCTGTTTCTGTTTCAGTACCTGTGGCCTTCCTCTTCACTGCAGGTATGTTTCTCCGTGGGTGTGTGTGCGTCCACATATTGTATTTCTACATACTGTATTTTAATTGTATTTCTTGCAAGGGCTTTGGGGAAGGCTAAATGCCCAGGGAGTGAACTTTTCTGTCTCCTCAGTGTTTGCACAGTCGGACAGCAGCAGCAGCGTGGTGGTGGCAGGGTACAATATAAGCGCCCCCGCCGGGTCCAGTGTCTTGCTACAATGTGTGAGTGGCCGGATGGTGTGGACCAGAGACAGGGTGCGGGACAGACAGAGGGTGCTCCACTGGGACCTATACCGAGCCGGTCCAGACTACGCCATGGAGAGGGTGGTGGACATGTTCTCAGCGGGAGACCAGAGGGTGTACAACTCCTACAACCTTGGCAGGGTCAGCCTCAGCCAAAAAGCCTTCAAGGACGGAAACTTCTCTCTGGTCATAAAAGGTCCCATACACTGTCTGTGATTTTATCTATCTGTTGTTGGAGTGGTCTCTCATTGTGATTCACATGTTGTCTGTTTGACTGGTTAACTTCCTGTCTGATGAGTTACTGCTTTGCTTTGAGGTGTTTTTCATACTTGTTTTCTTTGTTTAACAAGACCAAATGTCCCATACTTAGCTGTTTTTTAAACTGCATTCTTGCCAAAGTAATCCGGCTGAAAAAAGGGTCAGACAAGGAAATGTTTCAGATGTGGTAAGCCAGATCTTAATATGAACCATCCCATCATTGCTTTAGTTGGGCTGCCTACACAAAAGCCTAATTTAACTATACATGCTGAAAGTGTGTTTATTATTGTGAGGCTTTTAGGATAACAGGCTCTGTTCCAGACTTACTCATAAATCACACGGTTGCTGAGGACTTTAATGTTGGTGCATCCATTCTTGTGGGGGGACCGAAACACTCACACCTCCATTGTTACAATTCAAGATTTTTTTCTTTAGTTTTGTTGTTGTTTCGTTGTTGTTGTTGTTGTTGTTGTTGTTGTTGTTGTATTTTGTTGCCTGTCTGCACTGAATAGTTCCTAAACAAACAAAAAAACAACAACAACAATGAAAGCAGGCAATACTTAAGTGTCCTTTCAGCATATGTAGATAAACAATTTTTTTAATGGAAGTAGGGAATAGGGAACAACAGCTATACTGTCATAGTTTTACCATGTACAATATCAGTATTTCTGTATGTCATGACAGATGTGACCATGAATGACAGAGGCCTGTACTCCTGCAACCTCCACCATCTCTACTGCCACCTGTATGAGACCATCCGAATACAGCTCAATGTGACCAAATCCCGTAAGTATTACACAGTGTAAGAGGAAGCATCGGCATTATGAAGTGATGTTAAAGCTGATTTTTTCCATTTTGTACACTTACTTTGAAGGCCGTAAAGAGCAGCGCTTCTGGGATGGGCAAAAGGCAGTGTATGTGGTGTTACTTGGCAGCACTGTGGTTCTACCGTGCATCAACCGGCGCAATGTGTGGACAGACTGGAGCAACGAGGAGGAGGACCAGCAGGTGTGTGGACTGTACCAGCTTGTTTGTTGGGTACAGTCTAGGTATAAATTCACTCCCTTTTAGCAGGGTATGTAATATTGAAAAAGAAGTATAACAACCTCTCAATACCTTGGTGGCTTTCAGGTAGTCCACTGGGACCGGCAGTCTCCAGGAATCCGCCATGACCGTGCAGACAGGCTGGTAGACCTCTATGCCTCTGGGGAACAACGTAGCTATGGACCACTTTTTCTACAGAGGAAGATGAACATCAGTAACCAAGCTTTCGCAGAAGGAGACTTTTCCCTCACTATATCTGACCTACAGGTATGTAAATGTGTCTGAGTGCATGACAAGAGAAAACACCACAGGGACCAAAAAGTTGAAGTGCACAAAGAAAGACTACTGTGACAGCAGCCACTCTTTGCATTTATTTTTCTGAATTTCTTGTCCCAAAGTTTCAGGATGTTTAGGTCAATTACAGTTCAGAAGGCTCAAGTACTCTTAGTTGTTATCCATGTTGGGCTGATGTCAATCCAGAGTTTCGTCATGACATTTGACTGACAATGATGAATGGTTGGATATAAAGCTACATCATATCTACATTAATGTGAAAATCCAGTCTTTATTTTGTGTTGGAGTAGTTTGACCATTAAAACCCAATGTTGGGTTTATGTTTTCCTCTAACACTGGACTGACATCAAATTTTGGTTGGATATGTGCTGATGAGTGAATATGAGACCCAATATTCCAATATATTCAACAAGATTCAGCCTCTAAAGGCCAACTTTGACACAAAGTTGGTTTTTTTTAGAACAAATATCCATATTCAACCCAATTCAACATCTATCCAATGTTGAAGTTTGATATCAACCTAGTCCTGGGTTTGTGTGTGAGCCCTGTATTCATCACATTCTACATCAAGTTCTGCCCACCAAAGGAGGTTGTCATTAGCCATAGTGGGGTTTTTAAGTATTTCTAAGACTGAAATCAAACAAAAATTCAAAGGCTGCCTGATGTTTGTTTTTGACATCAACATCAAAATTTACTTCACTTTGCTGCAACATAACAAACAATGTACTGACATCCTTCTCTGAAGTTAGAAAGCTGTGAATATTGATTGGCTATGATAACTGGGTTGACATAAAAAAAATAAACAGTGGGTAAAAGTCAATCTCAAATTCGAAACAGATGTAGAGCTTTGGTAGAATATGTATTTGGACCCACCACCTAGTTGATGACCAGCCATTACATTCCTGGTTGCATAACATGAACATCTGGTTGACGTCAAAACCCAACTTTGGGTTGACATTCATTTTTCAGTGTTCGACAGATGATGAGTTTTGGTCAGAAATTATCATTGTATCTATTTTAAAACCAGATCAGGTTGATCTTTTGTAAATCTGGATTAAGTTGCTGTCTTGTCTGAACAAGAGTTATATTTTGAGTTGCAAACCATGGCTACTTTTTTGTTGTTCTTTGTTTTGGATTACACATTACTCACTTACTTACTGTCTTCATTAATCATACAGCCCACTGACCAGGGGAAGTACTCCTGCCACCTCCACCATCACTACTGCGGCCTACATGAGAGACGAGAGTTTCAGGTCATGGTGGAACCACCAGTGATACAACCCACCCTGCCAGCTAAAGCCCTGCCCAGTGCAGACAAAGGTAACACACTAACACACACACACACACAAGACCGCCACTGTAAAAGCACAGATTCCTCCTCGTGTCCTAGTTACAGGCCTGTGTGAGTGCTTAAACGGAGAGGATGTTTTATAAATTCACATGGATTCAAACTACCATGTGTACAATTAAGATGTCAAACATTCACAAACATCTGTTTTTTCCGTCACTCTCTCCCTCTGTGCTTTCTCAGTTTGCTCTCACTTATCCTTGACATGTTCACAGAGCAGAGGAACAGCAGAGGAAGGCGAGATGATTCTAGTGGGGAAAATCTTACTTCTATTTGTTTCATTAGAGATGTTTTTCTTGCACTGTCAGCTTGTCTGACGCCAGACCCCTAAACCCACATTACACTCCCTCCCAGCCCAGGTCTCCAATCCTCAGCCTCATCGCCCCTCACCTTCTTCTCAACCCAACACCCTCTCAGATGTTTCCTTAAATGGAACCACTCATCACACCTTTCTGCTGCTTTTTCAGCTGTGCAGTGGTGCTTGAGAGTCTGCTGATCTACTTTCTGCTTTGCATGATCCTTCAACTGTTCCACATATATCTCCCAGCGCTCGAGAGTTTCTTCTTTAAAAATGTGCAAAATAGATAAAGAGAGGGAGCAGACGGAGAAGAGGGTTGTCTCATTTGCATGCCAGCTGCTTCCTCGGATTCTTGGAGAATGAGTGCGTTTCTGGTGCATGTGTTTGTTTCCAGTATCGAAGCAAAGACGATGATGGCAGATATATCAATGTGGGAAAATTATGGAGAGAGGTTTAGAAATACTAAATGCTTGAGGCAGAGTCTTAGAGTGTGTGTTAGTGTGTGTGGTTGCATGCGGACAAAAGAGCGTGCCAAATCCGATCTCATTTCTGTGGAATCTCTCAGATACAGTCAAAAGACTAAAGTCCAGCTTCTGCCCACACAAATAATCCTCTGCTCTCCAAGCTGTAATGATACAGCAGGATTGCACCATGGGAATTTCACTGGTTTAAAACAAAATGGATCGCTAATTTATCTCGAGCAAAGAAGTAACACTGTACAGTTTCTTCCCCTGAGGTATTTCATTTTCTTATCTTTTCTTGCCGTGCCCTCTGTGACTGTCTGCTGCCTTGTTGACTTTGGCTCTCTCCTGACTTTCTGGAGGAGTTTTACCCCTTCTTCGTGCCTTGTTCTCTCTCTCTTTTCCTCCTTCTTTGAGGATCCCACATGCTCAGGTTTGTTTATTTTCAATACCGTCCATCTTCCCATTGCTTTCCCAGATCTCTTTACATTCCTTAAATAGAAAGTGAACTCTTTTGGGTTTGTTTATGGATGAAAAGAGGAAGTTAGCCTCATATGTTCAACAGATGGAAACACTAGACATACTGAGAGACAGATAAAGAGCGCAAGAGGGAGACAGAAGGAGTTACAAAGAGAGAGAAGTAAAAAAAGAGGGGGCGAGAAGTCTGTGGATGAAATAAGGGAGAAAAAGATGTAGGTCACCCCTCCCTCCCACTCACCCATCAGAGTAATTCCTCCGGAGGGTTTGGGTAAGGGGAGAATGGGGCAGCCAGTCTAAACACAAACACACATGTTCAATTCTTGGCACAAGTCAGGAGAAAATGTCTCGAAACTAAGCAAAAGGATCAGAGGATTTATTGTGTTCATGACCATGTTGTTTTCATGTAAGCTGCAGCTGTACTAGAGGGTTTCGGGTTTGGGATCTCAGGGCGAGGTCTTTGCTAACTTTATTTTGTGAAGCAGGCCTCTGGAGAAACATCTCACCCGCGTCCCCTTCCTCTCCCTTGGCTCTGCTCCTCTGTTCCACCCGGCTCTGTACTTCCTTCACTCCTCTTCCTATCCTCACTTCTGTGTTTTACTGCCAGGAAAAGTAAATCACAGCATGACTCTAGTCTGGATCTTATTCTGGCTCAAATCTGTCTAATCTGAGTTCCGTACAGCTGCTTCTTGCCTTGCACATTTTTCAAACAAGTCCCCTCTCCTCTGCTTTTCAGTACACCACAGAACTGCACACATCATCTAACGCTGGCTGGCTAATTATTTTCACCACTCCGGAAATTATACCAGCATTTTATTTTCCAGCTAGGAAAAGTCATTGCGTAAAGAAGATTATTATAAAGTAATTCATGAGGAGTTGGAGCTCCTTTTGCATTACAACACAGATGGGACAATAAATGTACATATTTGAGTCACCTGCATGGACTGAAAATCATCTTCATTTGGATTTAAGAAAATTCTCTGCTGGTGAGCTCAAGTGTCACTCTTCTAGCATCCAACTTAGCCTGTTCTATAAACATACATTATGATTTAAACACAACTTTACTTTTGTTGAGTGTCTGATACTAATCAGTGACAAAAATTAGGCTCCAAAAGACTTAAAAGTGCCATTGGCTATTGATGATTACAAAACAGTCATGGTCCTTTGCTCTTATTCAAACATCAAAACAGAGATTTGAAGTCCTTGAAGTGCCACTGAGGAGTTTGAGCAAGTTTTGAAACAAACCAAAACTTACCTACAAAAGCAAGAATGACCCTCAGCAACAAGACTGATCATATCAATATGGTTTTTAAATCAGGTAACTAGCAAGGATATTGAAAGGATACTTGATGGTTAAAGGAAAGAAGGATGAGAGCCCTTGTTAAACAGCACAACTTAAGTAAAAAAAACAAGAGTTTACAAAGTGTTTTAACATGCAGGAAAACAAAGAAGATAATAACAACATAACGCCTGGGGGAAATGACACATTACTGGCAATAAAGAAATATAATAAAATGAAAATTGGTGGAAGATATAAAAGCTTTGATGACTGTCACATGAGCTGACAGGACATTAAAATGAAGACGCTAAAACAAAGACATTATAAGAGCCCATGATACCCAGCCAACACAGGAACCCAATTACAAAAACCTGAGACCAAAGGGACTTTTATAAAACATGAATAAGAAGACTAAAAGGTTTTAAAGAAGATAAAATCATGTAAAAGCAAGTCTATAAAAATCTGTTTTAAGATGTGATTTCAAAGCAGTGACTGTTTCTGCACACCTGATCTCCTCAGGAAGGTCGTTCCAAAGTCAAGGGGCCCTGATGGAAAAGGCCCTGTCACCTTTAGTTACAAGTCTCGACTTTGGAACAACCAGGAGGCCCCTACCTGAGGATCTCAGGGTGTGGGCTGGCTCATAGGGGGTTAAAAGTTCTGTTGTATAGATTGGAGCCTGACCCTTCACTGCCTTAACAGTGATGAGTAAAATCTTAAAATCAATTCTAAAACTAACTTGAAGCCAATGTAAAGATGCTGCTAGAATCTGGTTTCTGCTTCTGGCCCCATCATTGGTCTGCATACGCCACACAGAAGTTTATGTACTTAGACCAAGATGCAACTCCTCAAAACTGTAACTCTGCATTGAAACATCAAAGCCCTGTGATTGGTTTGCTTGGTGGCGGACATTTCTGGTATTGCTGCCATCCCACACAACCACTTCCTCAGCAGCCATAATGAAAGCATGCAATAATGAAAGCATGACCAACTGTCTAAATCTTTTGGATTCACCATCAGTGAGCACTCACGATGTCCAATCCATAGAATGAAAACGCAAGCATGCTAACCATACATCTACTCTGTTTAAGCTCCCACTGAGCAATAGACAGCTATTAGATGTCTAGTTTTTTTAAACCTAATTTCAACCATCTAGATTCTGTAGATTTATAAACCAAATATAGACATTACACTTTAACTATTTATCTCAAAAAGCAACTGTGAGTTGCATTACTGATCTCCAAGTACTTAACCAAAATAATTTTGATAGCCGTTGAGCAAAATACAGTTAGACCTCTGTTAGCCAGCTAGTCTAAACTTGGTCTAAATTTAGATGTCTAAAAACCTTTTATTTTTAGACCTGTGGTAGCTGGATTTTAGACCAGTCATCTAGACTACATTTAGATGTCTATTAGACCTCTTTTAGACCAAAAAATACTCAGTGGGCTAGGTTAAATAGTCTGAAAACATTTTCTAGACATTTTTTCAGTCAAACTTAGCTGTGATTGAAAAATCTAATGACGATGTCACTGGATTCAACGTTGGTAGAGCTCTAAGCATCATCATCAGAGAACCATGTTTGTCAAAAGTTAGCTGCTTACCTAACACAGAAATGTTGCGGTGCTTAGATTATTTTGCTCTTCTTTTGGTAAAACCAGATAAATTAGTGTCACTTTTTTTTCCAGAGATGTGTTCCTCAAAGCTTTTATTCTTTCTTACTCGTACCTCTAATTATTTCAGAACAGACTTACATGCTGAAAAACAGAGTTTTAAGGCAAAGCTGCTTATACTCATGCTCGAGTGCTGCTGAATGTTGTTTTGCATTAAGTTTAAGTGTTAACAATCTGCCAAGCCATAGAGAGTTCCTCTGAAACAGAGAAAAGAAGTACAAGTGAAAGCTATTCTTGGATTCAAACGGCCTGCTCAAGTGTACCTCATGAGATGTGTAATGTCTGTGCAATGCCACATCTGGTCCTACTTTTTGAATTTGTAAACCTTATAATGGCACATTGGTGTGTTTGCTGAAGAAAAGATGAAGAACAGACAAACACTAAAAGCTGACTGCTATGTTTTCGGTCTTACTCAGACACTACTAAAGCTGAATCACCAAGAATCATCAATGTCATCCTGCCCGACCAGAGACACCACTTTCTGATGCCTCTGGGATATGTCCTCACCTCCTTCCTGCTCCTGGCCTTCATTATCCTCATCATCATCCTCATCACACGCAGACGTAGAACCAAAGGTCATTATCCAACACCTCAGTTTGACTTAAGGTGGTTTGTATAGAATTTGTACTCCTTACACTCAGTACGTTCTTGTGTTTTCAGAATTCCGTCCACAAGTTTCTGTAAGGTGAGTGAGAATACGCACATACACGCTCACGATCAGAGTCTTTATCTGAAACACACACTGAAGTTCCCTCTCTTTTTGACAGTGAAAGGTCAAGCAGGAGTCAGAGCAGCTCAGAGGAGTTTGAGATGGATGTGTCTGAAGTGAGTGTGTGCAGTCAGCAGGAGAAAAGATTTGGTGAGTCAGAGGAGAGATCAAGTGTGTGAATAAATACTGACTTTGTCATAGCTCTGTGTGTATCTTGACTTTGTCATGTGTGGTTTTAGACTACAAGAACAACCTGCTGAAAGAGAAAATCCACTTGAACTCCCAGCCTAAAGTCATCGATCTTGACAAAGGTATGCAAAATCAGCCTTTATGACTTCACTTAACACCTTCCAAGCGTGTGTCCGGACTTTTTTGACTGGGATGCCAACCAAGACTCTAACTCCTAAAGGGAGGTGATACTAATGTGCACAATGTTTGAATAAAAAAACCTCCAAATGTAACACATAAATCATCATCCAAGCTAAGTTCTTTAAGGACTTTAAAAATATATATGATTCTTTAGTCACCATATGAAGTTCTGAAATCAATCAGGAGAAAATATGCTTAAAGCCCCTGTGAAGAACTTTCCATTGGAGCCCTTTTGGCGCCCCCCTGTGGACAAAGTGGCCTTTGCTTATCTTGTCCTTTCCATGCTAAGGAAAGTTTGTTTGACAAAACAGACTTTCCTAAGCATGCCAACCCTTTCAGCTCCTTTGGAAATGACCTGTCCTCCCTCCCTTTATCCCCTACCATAATCGGATTTCGTCTTTATTTCTCACTTCTTTTTAATTTCTTACAGAGATGCAGAAGTTTTCCAAGTGAAATAAAGAACGAATAAAAGAGAAGCTGAGGTCACTGGCTGGTCCAGAGGCTGCTCTTCAAACCCAACATCACCACCCTGCCTCATGTCTGTCCTGTGGCAGGAGAAACTGCAGAAGAGAAAAGGTTGTGAAAGGCAGAATATGTGTTTCAGAAATATCAGCATTACAGACCAAAAAGGCTTTTTTTGTGCTTGATTATTCCAAAAGTACCAGACATGGAGAACTGCTCCATTGAGTGAACAGCAACGCCACCCAGAGGAAGGGTTTAACAGGAAATTGACTTAAGTTCAAATCAGCTGAACCAAGGTGACTGATTCGAATTTTCAGGTATCACAGCTATGATCATTGCCCCTTGACTTGGAAATGGTAAATAACTTTTGTTTTTAATGTTTTGCTGTAATATCCATCTCAGCTTTACTGACCAACCACTGACGTGCTTCTGTCAGTGTGTGCTGCCTCCTAGAGGCTATTTTCAACCGTATTAAAACTGATTTATGATAAAGTGTGAGTATAAAGTTTATTATGATGCCCAGACCAGACTGTATTTTTATGTTCATCTTCTCCATGCATTAAAATTGCATGTTTGATGCTTGTGTTTAAATGGAGTGTGTGTTTCTTGAACTTGTGCTTTTTGGGCCCAAATGTCAATGTATCAAACTGCAGCCACCAAATCTTCTTAACTGAATCGGGACAAAATAAATAGTGATTTGTTTTATTAACATCTGAAAAAAGTGTGTTTAAATTAAGATTGTTAAAATGGGCCTGCATGCAACAACACCACTCTGACTGCTATGCTTGAGTGGTTAATTAAAACTCAGCCATCCTTGATTTGACTATAAACAGCTGTGTTTCCTGCCATGGCATGTCTCTTCTCTCCATACATGCTCTTTTTGAGGAGAACTGCACACTCTTGGACTTTTCAGTGAAGCTTACAAAGTTAATTTAAAAAAAAAAAAAAAGGCAGACAGACAAAAACAATTTGATGGTATTGACCCCATTTATGTTCCAGCCAGTGTAATGGCCAAAACATTCAGTAATCTGAAAGTCACGAGAAAACACATGATTCTGCCAGATTTGGACTTTTCCGCCAATTAAAATGTTAGTACAATTGTGAGGATGTGTTTTATCTTCATTTATTCTTAAAGATTCTGGTTTAAAAATGCTAAATTCTTTGAAATGTATTTCCTTTATTGTTTCAAAACCAATTTGTATTTTTCTTTTTAAAAACTCCACCTGGGATTTTTACAGGGTAAAGTAAACATCGGAGATGCTTTGAGATGCCACAAACTGCAACTGCAAGAAATACTCTTACTATGCTGATACAGATCTTCTTCTAAGATGGCGTTCCTTCGAGCATCCACATTGTTGGAAACCCCTTTGCTTCATCAGGAGGGATCTCACATTCACAGGTGTTTTGCCCATAGACTGTAGATAGAATGGACGTCATCTGCCTCCTCGCTGGGTGAAGCTTCCGCGAGAACAGCACCCCCTGGTGACTGATTGCAGTATAGGTCATAACCCTGCCTCCATTCCTTGCACTTAGTACATGGGAAAGTGATAAAATAGGAAGGGACATTGCAGCCAAGGTAAAACGCCATACTGAGAGCACTAGTCTTTAAACCTCCAGAGTAGTTGGCTGCGCTTGATTGTCTTAAGCCAGGTGTTCAGCTGGGCTTTGGAGTTGGGAGGATAACCTGTCCTTTAGGGAGCTGTCATGATGCTTTCTGAGCCGTTTGCAGCCACCACACTGTCTTCTATTTCCTCCTTTGCACATGGGGGAAAGCCCAAGGGAGGGGCTTTGTTTTCTGGTAGCATTATTATATGAACAAGTGGTCACAAACATGTTAGGTCATAGTTCATTTATTCATTCCTTTGTGTCACAAACAAACAGTCCCTGAATTCAAGACAAATGGCTTCTTATACACTTTGTGAAGTTATTTTTGTGTACTTTTTCTATAAAATACATGGTACTGTAATATACTTTCAATCTAAAAACGGTAGAAAACCCTGGTCTGTCTTGTACTGTTGGACAACTGTATAGAAGGAAGCAGCTCTCACTCGTGCACACACACACGCACACACATATACACACTTTCATACTCACGCATTCACAAACATTCACAACTGCCCATCTAAATCCAGTACAACAAAATATGTGATGACATTCACCGAACTAGATCAGCTTTCCTCTCTTTCTCTCTCACACAAACACACATTCGGTCACCCAGACAGCTACACAGAGTCAAAGGAGGAAAATCTTTCAGAAAGTAAACCGAGGATCTTAGGAAAATATGGGACAACCATAAGTCTGTTTACCATAAGAGCTACAGGTGCTAGAAAGGTAATCAGGAAGGACACTGGGTGTTACAGGACATTAAAAGATTTGGGTGGCCTCGTGTTGTGGCAAGTGAATTCAATTTTAAATCATCCATGTGTGTGTTGTTGTTCATGAGACAGAATAGCGTAAAAACTGATGATCTTGACAAGAGGAACATAACCTATGGAATAAGAGAATACACTCCAATAACAATTAACTTACAAGATTGGAACCCTTACATTATAAACAGAGAGCAGCAAATATATCTTTGGGCTCTATTTCCGTGCCTGCCAGCGGTGCAGCGCAGGGTGGCTTACCCTGCACAGTGGTAATTCAGTGCAGCGCAGCCCGGCGCACAGTCAATTTGGTAATTTTATAGATTTAGTTTTAAGGGATGGGTGAAAATTGGACTTGGCCGGGCTGCGCCACTCACCAAATTACCAAAGTGTGCTTGGGCTTGCCCCATCGGCGCAGCACACCTGACTTGCGCTGTGCCTGTGCCATGCCACCGGTGAGGCACGAATATAGAGCCCTTTGTCTTAAGTGCTCAAAAGAAAAAAAAAAGAAAAAGAATTAACCATGTATCAACCTTGGTAAGAGTCGGGGAAGTTGATTTGTTACATGTACTGTACAACCTGTACTTCATGTCTCTGCAGAAGAGTTCGAAGTGTGTGCTGATCCTCAAACTGGGCAAGTTCTGTCTTTGTCTCATCACCCAGTCAAATCAATCATACAGTCCGGATGTGTGTACACAGTGCTCACGTTTGGGGGGCATCAACCTTGAAACCATTTCTTATACTGAGTGTCAAGTGGCTGACAATGCCACAGGAGCTGGTCAGTCTTAAAGACAAAAGTTAACCCCTGCAAGGGTCCATAATCACAAAGTAAAGAGAGGTAAAGTATTTATGGTCCAAAAAAGGCAGTCATGTTAAGCTGACTCAGAGAAATGCCCATCACTCTCTCCTCCTCTGCTCTTCAGGGCCTGCTCCAGCCTCTGATACCTTTAAAAATATACATTAAACTTCAAACTAAAGCATGGGGACCCACTCCTCCAGATTGGTCAGAAGAGATGCAAGGTGGGAGTTGTGGAGGTGTCCGGCAGGGCTGGTTCTCTGTGAGGTTGGATTTTTTGGCTTCAGGGATCTCTCAAGTATCCACCACTGGTCCGATGGGGTCCTGATGGGGGCTCTCCAGAATCGATGAGCTGTCAGGGGCAGGAAGTTGAGGGGAGGGGGCGACCCCCGCGCCTGCACTGCAGCCCTCGCAACCCTGCAAGATGCAAACGGTCATCAAGGATGTGCAAAGATGAGCAGAGACATGGGTATATTTGTAACGAATGTGTTTAAAGATCCTCACTTGTGTGTCTATTTCAGGTGGGATTGTATGCTGCTGGATCCAGGGATGGACCTCAACCAGTTCCTCCCTCTGTTCCTGGGTGAACCATGGCTGGAGGGGCTGAAGTACCCTCAGCTTCTCCCTGTCTTCAGCCAAAACCTCATTCTGGTCTCTAGAAGAGGGGCAAGATGAGGGAAAAAGCAGACAGTTGGATTAGAGACATGGATGCACACATAACAGTACTACTGAGCTCTTATTCAAGCAGCCTTCCTCTCCAGTCCCCTGATCAGGGTCTTTTATCAGCTCATTCATATTTCAAATCCAAAGGTTATGCTGCCTTGCAGTGACAGCCCCTGAACTACACAACTGTCTTCTCCCGGGGACATCAGCTCTGCCAAGCTGTGGTCGGTTTAAAAACTCATTTCTTTGGGTCAGAGTTTCCTTTAAATCTGTCTGTCTCTGCATCTTGCTTGTGTTGTATACGGTTACATTCATTTGTGAAGTTCTGTATGCATGTATGCATGAATCTATGTATAGGTGTGTGCCTGTCTGTCCTTTGTGTATGTGTGTCTTCAAAAAAGTTGGGTACCCCTGACATTGGAGGGGAAAAAAAATCAAACAAACAATATTCTGTAAATGTAAGACTATATATAAAATACACCATCAAACCAGCAGAGGGTGCCTGAAGCACATACATCTACTGATGCCTTATAATTCTTCTCTTCACTAAAAAACATGAGATCCTGAAAATCTTATTTCTAAAACAAACTTCAAAAATAGGTTTTGACAGCTGGTCATCTTCCATTTTAAATCCCTTTACATTATACATATACAACCCACTTCATCCTAATTAACACAGGACACAGACAGAGGATGTTTAATCATTTGCTCTGTGTTGGCTTGAATTTTAAGTTTATGGCTTCCTCTCATGTGTGATGCAAATACAGGAATTGTCTTGCTGTGTTTGTACCTGGTGTGGATCTGGTAAGTCATCATGATGCGCTCGGGGGTGTGCTGGATCATGCTCCATAGCGAGTTCTCCACCCGAGTGTCAAAGGTGTGCTGGTGCTCTGCCGGTGCCTCCTGGCTCTTACGGGCCTTGCGGGATGTGTCTGATGAGTCGTTGCTGGCAAAATATTTGCTGCTGTTGCTGCTGCCTGTAATCAAGGATGGCCCTGAATCAGTCACTCTGTTTGTTGAAACTGTTGCCTGGGTCACACATTTTCCCAGCACTACAGCATTTGATTTGATGGTTTTGCCACAATATCACAATATAAAAACTTAAACCTCATTTTAAATATCGCCCAGTGATTGTTTTTATAGTGTGCATTTGTGCTGTGTGTGTCTGAGCTCCTACCAGTGTGTGAGGTGGAGGTTCCATTGGAGCCAGATCCGGATCCAGATCCCAGAGAGCCAGACTCCCCTGACCCAGAGCCTGAGGCATTAGAGCCAGTCCCCGACCGGGCATCCTCCTGCAGCAGCAAGTCAAGCAGCTCACTGGATGTAGACTGGGCATCATGGTTCCCAGACTCACATGGGTTATCACCCTGGGTAAGAAAATGGTTTTAAATTACAAACAAAACAAAAAAAATTTGGTAGTGAAGACAGTGGGGAAATTTTGTGCAATGATATTTCATATTGAGCTAAGAGAAAACTCTGCACAACCCTTCTTGTGAGAGAATGAAAAGGTGAAAAGATGAGGTTTTGGGATGTGTAAGGTAAAGGCTGGCAGAAAACAGCAGTTTTACCTCGTTGGCATGTTGTTCATGAAGGCTCTCGGCATGGTTATGCCCAGTGCTGCTCTGCCCTTCACTCGGCTTTGGTAGCTCTTCCTGCAGAAGGTTTAGCTGCAGCGGAGAACTGGAGCGGGAGCTGGAGAATAAAGCCCGGGGCCCAGCTTCTTCCTCCTCCTCTCCGACAGAGGAACTGGCTCTTGGTGAGCAAAGCATGGGGCCCAAGGAGGTCTGAGTGTGGAGGTTAGGCTGAGCTTGGAAGTGGGGCTGAGGAAAGGGAGCACTGCCTGGGGCAAAGCCTGTCATGACGGCGGGTGCCTGGGGCAGCATGGAGGGAACTGATGGTGGGTAAATGGACGGGAAACCTGGAGTGAAAGTCGGATAGTTGGGTAAGATGACAGCCATGACAGGAGTCATGTAGGGGTTGACATTCTGAGGTGGCACCATGGTCTGCAGTCCGTGAAAGTTCTGGATAGTCTGCAGATTCTGAAAGGGCTCCATTTGGATTGGCTGCATGCCCTGCACACTTTGAGCAGGCTGCATTATGTTAAAGTTATAGCTCAGCTGGGTTTGGTCTGGAGCTTGCAGGACCATGGGGGTTGCTCCAGACAGCTGTTGTGGTCTAGGCTGTTGCTCTGGGCCTGGCTGGGTTGCAATCATAGGGAAGAATGATGTCTGAAGCTGGGGTGCTTGGTTGTATGGTGCCCCTATCTGGGGCTGAGATGACTCTGAGGAGGGTTTGGAGGAGTCAGGAACACGACGATGAGGGCCAGGTGGAGAAGCATAGCTGTCTGAGGAACCATGGGGTTTTGGGCGCTTGTGTCTGGGCTTTCCTCTCCTGGAGCGGTTCCACCCCCCTGCGCTCAACGGTCGAAGGTAGTCACCTGTGGTGAGATGTGCACAGATTAAAGAGTGAATTCAGATAAAATACAGAGTCTGAAAATTATATTCAGCAGTCACCAAACTCTTGTATGTGATCAGTCAGCTTTAGAAATACAAACCTGGATGGTGGGAGTGAGCCATAGAGCTGTTGTCCAGCTGCAGGTAGGAGCTGTAGGGGCTCTGTAGGATGCGGTGACGGAATCGATCCACGTATTCTTGTTCCTCTTTTTGGGTGTGAGCTGACAGCACCTCCTTGGTGAGACCTACAAACCTTGGCTCCTCGGTGGCAGGGCTGGGGGTGGGACGGACAGAAGTTGGAGCAGCGTCTGCAGGCTCACTGCCCATTGGGGCATCCTCCAGTGCTGTGGCCTCTGTGGGAAAACACAAATATGTTCAATGTACAGTTTGCAGGCTTTTCTTTCCAAAACAAATGAATTTACTAAAAAGGGATTAAGAATTTATCAAAACGAATAATCAATCACCATATGAAACTTTTAAAAATTCAAGATCTACAGACGCATTGCTTCACAGTGTGACACAGGGATGTTAGGTTGAGTTCATATACCTGATTCAGGCTGCGGCACGTGAACAATAGTGCTGCTGTATGAACACTGGCTGGTGACCGACACTACACTCATGGCCTTTGTGGACAATGTGATGTCTGTCAGAGGTGCTCCAACAACTGCTGCTGCTGTAGGGGCCACAGAAACCCCACTGTCCAACACCACTGTCCAAAAAGATAAATAAAATTAACACTGCTTCCTAAAAAATATTAGATATCACCCAAATTTTTAGTGTGATTGTACCATCTGAGCTGGCCTGAGCTGTGTCAGTGGCTCCAGCAGGCTTGTCATCTTCTGAGGTAGAGGATGAGGAAGAGGAAGTGGGCAAGGAATGAGAGTCACTTTTCCGCTTAAGGGCTGGACCTGTACAGCTCTCCAGATACCTGGAACACACAAACACATGAAAGCCCAATCAAAAGCATGAACAACCCTGGGTGCTTTAGTCCTGATTTATCAGAGGAGGCTCCTTAGCACACCTGATGATGTTGTCCACACAGTTGATCTGCTGATAGGAGGGAATGTGTGTTTGCTTCCTGCCTTCTTCATGATCTCTGACCTCAGGGTTGGATGCTGCTGGGGGTAGACGTCCTGGGAAGGCAAAAGAGGATTTCAGCCAAGTTTTGTTTTTTTTTAATCTAATTGAAGTTTACTTTTTTATATTGTGTTCTAAACAACAAGGGCTGTATTACCTTTGGCGTGTTTGCCAAGAAGAGTGATTTTGTGGCTGGAGCCAAGATAGGCTTGCTGCCCCCAACTCTTGACTCTGTTCACATCAGCACAGATCTGCTGCAGTGTCATCTGCAACAAAACACAAACTCGCACTTAGCTAACCTCTGTCACAGATTATCCACTTGTTTTCTTGAGGTTTGATGTTACTGTGATTTCTTACCGGCTCCCTGTGTGAGTCTTCCCACATGTTACCATTGCTGTCACTTGAAGAAGCTACGCTGATGTAGTGCTCATGAGAGCCGTTGCTTCCCAAGCTGCCATAACCGCTGGATCCGTTGTTGTGGACCGGCTGCAGTGACAACAGAGAAAGGAGCATGAAGAAATTCAAAAATAGGAAAATTAAATAATGGTTAAAAAAAGGAAATCTTTTTGTTGTTTTTAACTTTTATCCATAATAATCATAATCATTTTTTGATAAATGAGATGACAAATTATTTTATTATGATTATGATTCATGTTATCAAAATAATGACCTGCAAGAAAAGTTTGTAGATCTTTGCTTGTAGATCTTTTATTTCCTCATATGTGACCAGCATATCATCCTTAGTCCGCGCAGCAAACACATCCTCATTCAAGGGACTCCTTGTGTTAGAAGAAAACATAACAGAGATGTGAGCTCATGAATTCACTTATTTAATAAGTCTCTTAGAAACGGCTGGGGTGCAACTTACGTCCTGACTTTGTGTCGTCCAATGATGAAGGCCACCTTACGGCTCCAAGGGTTAATGAAGCTGGACCAGCTGGTGTCCAACGTGATGTGGTCTCCGTTCTGACAGCGCAGACGCACGGGGGAGTGCTCGAATGGAGACTGGCCAGCATACTTAAGCACTGTGCATGGCACGTGTGAGTTTAAAAAGAGAGAACACAAAAAGAGTGAATATGCAGTCAATCTAGCCTTTTAATGTCTGAAACCACAAATTATGGCCAGAAAATCAAATTTTGGGGGAGCTGAAATGTTTATTTCACTTACTTCTGAAAACCAAAAAAATCTAAAACTAAGCCCTTATTATCTTTTGCTGACATATATTTAGCAATGGTCTGTTAACATCAATGTATATCTAAAGGTAAATGGAGTAAAATGGTGCATTTCCGTGAAAGCAATTTCTGATCATGGAGTAAATACATCCCAAAATACATAAAACTCATGCTGGATTTTAAAAAAAACATTGTGAACAAAAACTTGCTCCCAACTGTTCAGCCTGTAATGGCCTTGCTTCCAAACTTTTGGCCTGTAGTGTATGTTTATCTCATTTGATACATTAGATATTTTTCTAAACTGATAAACCACAAGAGGATATTTTTATCATTTATCAGACTATATTTTTTAGTAATTTGTTGATCATATTTATTTGATAGAGGTATCATAAAAGTATGTATCAAATATGATACAAAAAGCATTAGAGGGTTCGTAATTGTTAGGCCACTGAAAAACACTGATAAAATATTGCAACTTTAATTTATGTTTGTAACAACTACCTGTAGAAATCAAGTAACTGATTATAATTTTACTCAAAAAATCTAACCCCCATAAATAAATCAGATTTATGGATAAGATTTTCCTGCTTACCTTTCCGATGCATTGACAGCACGAGGGGACGATCGTCTGGGTGGATGCATGTCAGCAATGATGTGCCAATCAGATCCTGAGGAAGGTATCCTAGCAACGGCACAGCCCTGAGGATATAGAGCATTTAATGGGGTTTCAACAACACACTGACACTCAAGCTAAGTGTAAACTCTGATTGTAGATATGTTTGTGTGTATGGACCTGTCATCTACTTCCAAGAACACACAGCCTGGAGAGTGTGTGGTGGTGAAGATGCGCTTATCCAAGGGGATCCGAGGGGCTTTATGAGAGGGGAATGAACATCAACAAGGTTATGAGACTAGGATTATGTTGGCTCTTAAAGCCTTTTCGCACTGACAAATGGATACAGCTACAAATACAGTGTGAATAGTAAATCAAGTGATGGTATCTGTTTGATCATGCCTGTCTAGAAAAAAAAACTATGAGGAAGTTGCTGGTAAGAGAGTTATTGGACTGATATTGTTCTAAACAAGCAAAAGTTGTTTGTCCTGAACTACATCAAACAAAAAAAATACCCCCAAAAAATTCTATTTATATTTCATTTTTCAATTTACCCTCATATCCAGAGATGATACGCTCAGCCAATGCCAGGCAGCATGGCTCCTCCTCCTCCCCGCTTCCTTCTTTTCCCTGCACCTTCAGCAGGTAAGGTGTTATCCGGAATGGGTTGTAACGCATCTCCCCATCACGATCCTTCCCACCCCTAAAATGTGGTTTAACGTGATGAATGATTTATACCTCTGCATATGACTTCATACAAAACGCAGACAACAAATGCAGACTACAGCCATGTGCACAACCTTTTTACAAGACACACTTACCAACCAAACAACATTGCTAATAAAGATCCAATAATGTATATATTCGATATCTATTGGTAATTACAGGTTATGTACTGTCCAAATTTAAATATTTTGAAGTAAGCCAAATTTTACCAAAAAAGATATCAGGTTTCAATCAGAGTCAAGACAAATACCAGGACTTAACAGGATGTTTTATTTTAAATAATGATAGATGCATTGAAAGATCAGAAACACAAGAATCTTTAAGAAATACAGAGAGAATGTAAGTACTGACCTGATTCTGCAAAAGAAAGACTTGACCTGGGCGCAGTCAAACAGAACCCCAGCTGCGGAGAACATGAACAGAAATTAAGTGATTTATCTGACAATGCTTTTAATTTTGTGATCGATGTGCAATGTTCTCAGTTCTGCATTAAAAGGATTATTAAAAAGGTTTTAGATTTTAATAAGAAACATTTTCCTTTAGTATTACAAAGAATAAACTTAAGAAAAAAAAACTGCTCTAAAATTTGTTTTTACTTTTATTCATCATTTTAATTGCAGTTGGAAGCTTTTTTCCAAGACTTAGAGATTTTCGAGACATTTAACTGGTGTCTTTCTGAGTTTGTAGAAATTGATGTTTACATCAGCAATATTACAAATAAATAAATAAAGGTTATCTATGTATGCTAAATTTAAAGTAAAATATGATTAAAACTGATATGTAACTGAAATGTGCAAAGTTGTAACAAATTCAGGTCCAACACACCTGTGTGTGAGTTGCTCCATGGCGGTAGATGTGGCTGAGCCGTGTGTGAGTAGAAGACGTTGACATCTTGGTGGAAGAGCAGCTCCACAAACTTGGCTGATTCCAGGAACTTCCTCTTGCAGCAGAGGATGCTGGGAGCCTGCTCTGACGCGTACAGCACACGACCGCTCGACAGGGAGAAAACCACCACAAAGGAGTCCTAAACACGAGCACGGAAAGACGTACGCACACACATGTAGGAAGACACAGACACATGCACACAAGCGAGCCAAGTCACAGACACACACAAAAGCAGTAAACACACATACACTCACACACCCGCCCAGGCGTGAGGCAAAAAAATTGTACAGGTGCACGAGTGTATAAAAGAACTTTTGCTTCTTTAAGACTATAATTGACAGCTACAAAAATCCTCTCTGGTAATAAACATCTTGTGAAAACTTTTTAATATCTTTATTTAGCTTTATTTGTACACAGAAATTTAAATAAAAGATAACAGCATAACTGACTGAGTTGTGTTGTTGTGTGTGTGTAACTGTAAGTACCGTGTTTTTCATGGTGTGTTCAGATGTGACCCTCTCCAACTCTTCCAGGGTGCAAACAGTGGCATCTCTCCTCTCATCCTGGCCATTTCGCATCAGCAGTTTGTAGTATTCACTATTGGCTGCAGGGGAACACACGCATAATGCTTTGAAATGAGACCTAGTAAATAATGCTAAGAGAGAAAGAGAAGTGCTGCTACTCTGATGTCAAAGAAGAAAAAAGAGTAAGGGGCCAGGTTACCTTGCACCTGTTTGACACAGTTAAGTGCATAATGTAAGGCCTCCACTGTACTGGCTTTGCTGCGGCTGCGTTTGTCTGAAGGAAGCCTTTTCTTCATCTCAGCCACTGTGATCATCACTTCTCTGTGGGTCTGGCCTTTGCCCTCAGCAGCGTTCTCGCTGCTGCACATGCAAAAATACACAGATGGTGCAATTTAACTACAAAAATACAAAATAAAAGCCCAACTTTGAGCAAAGTAATATTTGAAGAAAAAACACTCTCAAGCATCCTGTATATTTCTTTCCAGATCCATGGTGCTTAATTATTGAATTCTGCTACTCTAGTGTTTCAACTCAGCGTGTACAATAAGCAGACTGTCCCAGACAGTCTAGATGTCTTATGAAAAAGCAGACATTCATCAACAAATGAGTCACTCCTTCAGTAGTATTTTAAAATCAGAGTTTACAAAAAAATCTGCGGCTCAGGTTTGACCTCCTCGCATGCTGTAGCCACAAGCACTCTTGGTTCTCTTGTGTGTAATTAGTAGCACTGTGGGTACACTGACTTTGGTTGTACTTTGGCCAAAGTAGTAACCTGTTTGAACTAAAGACTTGTATATGAGCAGTCAGATGAGCTGGCTGATTCTGTGTTTTGCTCCAGAGAATGTTGTTCTCAGTGATTAATATGTTATAGTAGAGAAAATCACAAGCCCTAAAACATGGGGACATACATTATGTCAGGCTACACCGACCAAGTCAGTACCTCTTGGTTGAAGTGAAGGTGGATCCTGTCACACTCCCGGGGCTATGATTGGATGAGAGGTCATTTGAGCCACTCGTCATCTCTTCATCTTCCTGTCCCACTTCTCCCCCTGGAGGTCCATTTTGCTCCCCCCTGAGGCACTCTGATTGCGCCCCTGACGACACCCTCCCTCCCTCCTCTCCACCTTCTCTTGCGGCTGATGATAGCACAGGGTCCTCCCCATCAGGACCGCCGTCACCTCCAGGCATCTCCACACTTTGGTCACACATCAATAGTAATTTGTCCATTCACCGTGCTTGGTGAGGGTCTTCATATGTTCAACGAGGGAAACAGGTTCCTTGGTGACCATAAATTAGTGTTCATTCAATCAGTGCTGGATGTCAGATGTGAAGCTCTGCCTCAGTGACTGAAAAACAAAGACAAATGAAAATGATCAGAGATGACGAGTCCTGAAGCAGCTGATTTCTTGGATTATGCCACGGTCATGGGACCAACATTACTAAAGAAAAAAAATTGATCTATCTAAGAGCTGTAAGCCTCATAGAAAACAATCTCAAAGACAATATGGCCTGCAAAATACAGGTTAAGACACAAGCGCCCACTAGCAACTGTACCCCCCATCCTCTCCTACAAGAAGATGTGAGGCTGATGGTTTGTTGTAATCAGCTGCAACCAGAATCTGTAGGAATGAAGACAAATAAGCTTAACTCAAGTGGGAGTAAAGACCACCTCAGTTAAACCCCAGCTTACACACTATGCTGCTGACAGCAGGTGAGACAGTAAAATTAGATCTACTACTAGAGCTGGGATGATACGCTTTTCTCCTGATTCGATTCTTCTATGATTTTTTGGATGCTGACTCGATTTAAATTGCGATTCTACGTCGATGTTCTTGATTTTTAATCTGAATTTTTAACACCAGTGAAACAGTTGAATGTTTATGATTGTCTACTGACTATTCCAGGAACCATATTCCCCCCCAAAATACACATCACATGTAGGTCTGTTTCTAAGATTTATTCTTACATTTGAAAAAAAAAAATGTGATTTTTGAACAAAAAAAATCGATTTAAAAATTGTAAAACAATAAATTGCGATACTTATGTGAACCGATTTTTTCTCCCTCCCCTACTTCATACGCCTTTAAAAGTGACAATTTGGATCATGGGTGTAACAAGTTGTACTGACAGTGAGCAGTTGAAGGAGATTGCTTTATGTGGCACGACTATTTTTAACCATCAGTTGTGGTACAAATTACAACATATTTGCTGAAACAACAACACAATAACTTCACAGGAGATAAGAAAGTTCTGTGGTGTCAGGATTCAATCACAGTCAAATCAAAAACAGTAACAGGACTTTTTAGGATGCTTTGCAGTGTTTGCCAAAGGATCTGTCTTAAACTATTCAATACCTGTTTAATTATATGCAGCTGAATTCCCTGTACACACTTCATAGTCCATCAGTAGAGTATATTAGCAGAACCATCCTTATTGTGTACACTGAATGTTTGACTACACTTATATTCAAACTGTGAGCACACTTCAATCATGAAGCCTGCTTGAAGACAGGAAGTAGTTCAATGAAGTAACACAACTGCGTGATGTAGAACTTTATTTAAAGTTTGAACCTTTGCTGCACTGTATAGAGGTGTGTTCTGTATTAACACTCTCATGAAATTAATTACATCTGGATGCTCTCCTGCTATGATAGGTACAGACATGTGTCAGTGATGAAAATGTCTGCTAATGCACAGAACAAACCCCGAATCAAAATGCATGGAATTTCTTACAGAAATCAAAAGGAAAATGTTCAGAGGAAGATCAAACTAGTTTTTGTGAATCATGAGTTTAAGCACATTGTCGTGGAATTAAAAAAAAACAATACGCAGATGACATGTTTGGTAAAACAACACAATGCTTTTCTTTTCTTAAATGTGAACAAACACAATCTGCCCTGTTACCTAATTCTATTAGGCTGTCTGACCATCGAACTGACTCATCTATGATTTACACATATGAGCACATTTCATCCATCAATACGGCCAACACTGGGCACAACTCTGCCAAATGGCAATCTTTACACATCATAAGATAACACAATAACAATGTGATAATCTGCAGCGCAATAGCTGCTGCCAGCAGAGACATTTCCTCAGCTGTCCTCCGAGTGAAATAGAGCTCAAATCCTCTCAAGGCTCCACAAGTGACAAATCTTAGTCAGTGTTTATGGGTGAAGTATAACTTGGCCAGAGTGAGCTTAGATTTGTATTTCGGTGTTAGTATTTGAAAACAGTATAATGGAATGCGTAACAAACATTACAAAATAATTTGAGTTCCAGTCTTTATCCTACCTAGCCTGACTTTTTCTAGCTTCTTATGTATCCAGCAGGATGACACTTACAGACAACAGCTACCAACAAGAACACCGAGCAGTGAGACAGGATCAGTGTACCACAGAAGAACAGAGAGACACACTGAGAGGTGTAAAGTAGAGCCAGCAAAAATATCCTGCGTCGTTCAACAGGTCGTCACTGCAGGATTACATAAACAGCCTGCTCAATTTGGAGTGTTTAAGCCATACTCCTATTATACCTGTACAGCTTGTGTGCAGCACACAGAGCCAAGATTACCATAGTGTAGGTATGGTGCAGTTAAAAGGCCAACTTCAGATCAAGGTACTGAACAGACCACTTTTATGGACTTGTCCCCTCTACCTCTAAGACAGGCATTTTGAATTCTTGTCCAAAGCACTCTGTAGTCAAAGGTTAATTTTACCTCTCATATTGATGATTTAAATGTATTACAACTCATCAATTTATTGACCTGCAAATTGACACTGTTATGGTTGTTCGCATGACAAGTGTTTATGGTGTCTGTAGTTGCAGGTATAATAGTTTAGAAACACACCGTTTGACCAATGTAAAATGTTGACTTGCCTGCGTTTGTATTGATACAATTTCTTGTACCACAAAAAGAAAAAAAATGCAGAAAAGACCTTAACTGCACTTTATCATGTCTGTACATGAAGGCCATAGAAACATTTTTCTTTGGGTGGCAATAGTAACAAACTTTGCATTCCAGACCACAGATGTACATGAAACTGTTGAAGACAAGTAAACAAGGCTGGTCAACGCTATTTTTACTGTTATGCAAAACTAAACCACAACAAATTTTTGAGCTTATTCAGTTTGCTCTTTAACTCAGTTCTTTTTAGAAATTACTTATGATAGTGTTCAATTTTCTCACACCTATAGCTTTTGCTTATAGTAAAGTAAGAACCCTTGAACCAAAAGGAATTTACAACAGCTGTTGCAGCACAAACATATCTGCTAATCCTACAAAGACAAGGCGCAACACACAACATTTACTCAATGGGACATAGCAACCATGACATTTCTTCTTTTGAGGAAAAAATGTTTGTTTTGTGATTGGTTTCTAAGGAAAGCATGATGAAGGACAAAGACACTATGTGTGAACCACAAGGACAACCATGAGCTTTGCAAAGTCCCGTTCTTAAATCAACTGAATAATTGATATCTGCTGAATATACTCGTTCTGTCTGAAACATGTTTCAAAGGTCTGAAACACTTTGATTTGTCCCCCTTGATACTACTGAAAATTAGTCAAACTGGGGGTGAAAAAGTGGAAGTGGAATTACAGAAGCTGATCAATTAATCTAACCTCAGGTCATGTGACACAAATACACATAAAACTCCTGCTAATATGGTAGTGCAAGCCTAGCAGGATATACATCCTTGGGCCAATCATGTTTAGTTATGAAATTACAATATTATATAATACTTTTAACAGTCTGGCAACATGTTCATGTCCATGTGAGGGTTAACATTAATTTCTTAAGAGTAAATACTTGAGATGTGGGTTTACTATAACAAATTTGTATAATTATATATATATATATATATATATATATATATATATATATATATACACACACACACACACACACACACACACACACACTTCAAGCAAATGTTTCTGGAAATAGTACCCTGGGCTTGTCGTCAAGTCTATATGTAGGTCGCAACAAAACTGATTAAGATTATCAATATAACTAAAGAAGCATGCACAAATACAAAAGGGATTTAAAGCCAATACTGACACCTGTTTGTCTTGCCTTTATCCAAAGGAAAACGAAAAGCTTTGCGGGCTGCAACAACAGCCCACAACCCATTTCAACTCCAAACAAACCTGACACTTATTATGGTTCACTACCCCCTCCCCACATGAACCCAGTAACCTCAATAACCCCGGCCTACACTGTACGTATACGCCGACTTACAGAGCAAACTGCTGACGATACCTCTACAATTACTGAACAGAAATACAGCACAGACGCCGATATGAAATCAAAGCAAAAGCAAATTGTGTATTCTGGCATGAATATGGGAAGATGTGGCCAAAATTCTTGAAACATTTCAGTATAAACAAGTGTCATGGCCGTGTTTAAATAATACAACTGTCAACGGTTGTAAAGCTTGAGGAGGTCTCACGAGATAAAATTCCGATATTACCGCTCAACGTGAGGGGAACATGGTTGAGCTCTTTAACAGACTACGAGTAAAGTAAACACGCTTATAAAGCTTTTCAAATCGAACTGGAACTATCTAAGGGACACAGTTTGCTACAGAGTTGTTGAGCGTCCCTCTTTCTCCCTCTCTCTCTCTCTCTCTCTCTCTCTGCAGCCTTCTGACTTTTGGTGGACATGTTATTTAGCCCGCTAACGTTAGCAATAAACACTCGTGACAACTACCGATACTAAAACAGCTAAAATTAGGTTACACTATACACACAACAGAAAACTAGAATTATAAAAAACAGCAAACAAAGTTAAAATCATTACATTCTCTGTTTTTCGGTAGGTGGTGCCGTGGCGAGGCGGTTAGCTAATGTTAGCTTAGCCACTTCGCGAGCGACACTTCAAACCTAACGTCTTCAACTGGAATATTTACCTTTTCGACTCCACGCGTGTCCCAAGTCCAATATTCGCTTAACGCATAATATAGTTTTTGTCATTCAGTCATATTGTTAGCATTTTTAATCATAATGGCCAAGTCACTTAGCTAAGTCCTCCTCCATTCCGAAACGCTTGACACATTTGTGCAACGTGAGGGCGGCGGTGTAAAATCCCGCCCACTCCACAATGATTGGACACTTGAAATTTGCATCCGTCGTTTGATTGGATGTTACCAATTAAAGGGCGTACCTAAATACGGATTGTTCCAGCGCCTTGCTGGAGATTCACGTGGACCTCCATGTTACACAACAGACAGACAACAAGCACGCTGCAGAGTGCGCAAGCACCGACTCTCCACGAATCTGCTGCATCCACCCATCTCCTACTAAATAATTACGAGACATGCAGTTGTCCAGCTGTTGCAGTTCATTCATCTTTATCTTTAAAATCATTTTTTTCAAACTTTACCTGTATCGTTTAGTGTTCAGCTCTTTAATATGCCAATAAAATGCTGTTTGATGGAAAAAAAATGGCAAGAATCACAAGAAGTTTGAATGTAGATACCATATTTGCCATCACTTTTTAATTTCAAATCTTATTTACTGAAATTCAAATGCTAAATTGTGGATGTATGCTTGGCCTATGATGATTCACATAATATATTATTGTGGTCGAAGTCAGAATTGGTATTCTAGATGCTTTTTCACTTTTCTGACTTGTCATATTTCAAAGTTTTAGGTTATGTCTGGAAGCTACAGTTTGCTTCAGCCTTTTTTTTTTCTTTGTAATATCTTAACTTGTCTGTTTTAATTCAAGGGAGAGCATTAAGCACACAACAGGTATTTTGAGCAATCAGAGTCAATTGTTGCAAACTGATCATTTGTTTGTATATTGCAGCGCTGCTTATACCAGAGGAACAACCCAGCCCTGAATCAATTTAGAGAAAACTGTAGTTAAAGTGGCTCTACAATAAAACCTGCAAAGAAAACTGATGTCTGGATAATCCATTAGATCTCGGAATTCATAAAAAAAAAAGTTTGGCTGGATGTATTTAATTCCTGGGCAGAACTAAGACAACCCCCTCCGCAACACTAAACCCCTTCTATCTGTGAAGAGGTAAATCCTTTATGTACTTTCAGCAGAGACAATCTTTGACATATTTCACTATGAATCAAGATGAAAAGGGAAAAAAAGCAACAGATGGGGCTTTGTGATCTAATTTCAATCTGTTTATTCAAGCAAAAGGCATTTAGGGACAGAGTAGAATTGCACTTATTTCCAGATGCATTCCCAGAAGGTTCACATCTGCAAGGCATGAAGAGGCTTGATGTCATATTTCTGGTGTAGACAGGGCAGATGATGACATTTCCATACATCTGTGATGAAAAAAAACAGCCTGAAAAGGCATTTTAAGTTACAAAATTTTGGCTATATTTTAAAACAGACTAAATCCTTGAGTTAGTGTTGAATAACTACAATATGCTGAGTGCTTAGCAAAGAATAGTTTAAACTCTGTATCAACAGAATCATGGAGTTTGATACAAAGCAAATTTAACTTAAAAAGAAACCTAATTTCTTATCTCATTTAAATGAATTTATTTTCAAAGCATGAAAGCAATGGCAGGGGATAAAATCATCCAGTGTTGATATGCTATCACACTGTCCCATTAAGTTATCTCTGCACCCACACATACGATGCTCAGTAGCACCTACACAAAATATACTATAAACTCTCAATAAGGTTAGATCTACAGTTAATAGATTGCAAAAAAAAAGCTATTGTTAAAAGAATAAATGAATAATACTACAACATCACACAAGAGAAGTATTTTGCATCAATCAGATGAGGAAAATGCCAGACTGACTAGACGGAAGGCTTTATTAAGGTTAACAAGCTCGGTTGAATTCTCAGCACAGTATTTGTTTAAAATGTGCAAGCGTTCAGAAGGCACGGCTATTCATGGTTGGTTATACAATCATGAAGGCATTGGTACATTTTGGCTGTTCTCCATTGGAGAAGTCTTTAAGGCATCTAAGACTACACTTTATTCTTTAAGGTAAACTTTCTCGCACATCCTTGAGACATGACTGACAATTTACCACTTTTAAACCAGTGTTGCACTTCTTCTGTTATTTTGATTTACTTGCGACTTTCTGTTGAAGCAGAGAGGCTGTTGGTCGTGGGATAATGGCACTTATGCAAACAAAGATCCTATCAAGTTTATACTGAAAATCCTGCCCTAAAAGTTCCAAGTGTGTTGGGGATTAGATTTGTTGTCAAGTGAGGCACTCGGGCAACTGATATAGCACTTAAAAGTAGCACTTGACCATGTGCATTCATAGAATAAGGACGTGCATTTGTCTTTTCATTGTGGGATAACTTCATGGTCAGCTGTTACAAAGAGGGACAGACCAGCTTGTTTTTCTACGAAAAAAATAAGTGAAGGAAAATTCAAATATTGGCATTACACTCTGAAAAGAACACAGGTGGATATGTTTAAAAGGGGTCACTCCAATATTATGCAGGGTTATGTACTTAAACAAGTTATCTTCAAAGGCACTTCACCTAACTTGGCACATTAAATTCATGGCTATAAATCAAACATAAAAAAGTAAATATAGGTTTCGGAGTATACAACAATAATCTTCACTTCTAGTCCTGAAGTTTTAGTATGTGTGTGTGTGTATTTTTCATACAGTCAAAAACAACTTACAGTCTTTGAAGATGAGTAAATATGGCGCTAAAATACAATACTGTGTAATGTCTAGTTTTGGGTAGACAATACATGGTAATCTCTGGTTATGTCCAAATCCTTAACTCTCACACACACCCACACCCTTTCACATCCAATTGTCTGTCCCCTGACACCCTTCCTCACACACACACGTGCACACACACATACGCACGCACGCACACACACGACAAACCAGGACAAGGAATGAAGACTCCCCTCAGAGGGGAAATATGTTGTGGAGCTCAGTAGCCAGTTATCATTTGTCGTCTTCTTCTCAGACATAAATTTTGCACTTAAGTCCTCTCCTCTGCTTCATGGCTGTCTTGTCTCCCCCTTCTCCAGCTGCTATCTTACGAATAATTCCAAACTGTGAATGAAAGGGTGAAAAGGTTTTGAGTGAAAGACTTCGATGAACTTTCTACCAAGCTGTGTCTGTAAATAAAAAGGTATCAACGTGTTGTTAAAGCATCAATACTGACACTCCAGATCACAAGAAAATCCCTCAGAAAGCAGATGGTTATACTTTATACTTTATACTGTGGGATGTGAAATGTAATTAATAGAATACAGTCCTGGAGATGTTTCCAATCACTGAGAGTCAAAAAAATGCAAGTACACTACTGATGACAAGCTTCATCATCTGCAGGCTTGATACTTACTAACAATGATGATGATGATGATGATGATTACAGCTATCAGGATGGCCCACATCTGCGAAAAGTTCAAGCACAACAAAATCAGTTCTGTGAAGTTTAGCAGGAATTAAAATGTTAATTTATCAAAACAGAAGAGAGAAAAAAATAACATATTTACAATTAATATTGTATTGTCTGTTTCTTTTTGATCACTATCTGATTTGCACAATTAATTATTGATTGAGTAGAAAAAAAATCTGTATCTTTGATGTCATTTTAGTCTCTTGACCAGATGAACATAGAAAAGTACATAAAGCCTTTTTAAAAGATTGTTTGGATTTATTTCACTACAACAGAGAAATGTGTTGGCATTTTATTGTGTGGGCACCTTGCAGTTCTTCCACCAGTACTTCCTTTTCAGCTTAGCAGCACTGGTCTCAAACTGGGAGGCCCCAGCCTGCAGTGCATCTGCTCTGTCGTCCAGTTCAGACAGCTTCTGGTCCCTCTCCAGCACTTTGTCCACATTCACACGCATAATATCCACCACCTACTCATACAAGCACAAACAAACAAAATACAAACACTTGGTTTACGCAAAGTTTCTGTACACTATTGCATCTTGTGTATCTTGCGGCTACTAAATTTGGAGCGACCTAAGACATCAACCGCACACTCCTTCAATTAACTGTGTTTTGGAATGAACGAAGCAGAGAGGAAATAAAGACTGGAAATGCTCGAACATACTGTAAATACAGGACAATGACATCATACCTCTCGAGTTAAGTAACCTCTATTAATGTTACAAAACACCAACCAAAAAGGTGAGACCTTTTGAAGGTAAAAAACCTGTTACAGATAACCACGTCTGCTTAATAACAGAGTTCATCCCAAATCTTTAAAACTGGCAAGTGTGTACAGACAGTATCAAAGAATAACCCATATGTTCTACTGATCCACAAACCCCACCACTGCCCCTCCTCTCCCACGGAGCGGTAGGGTGGAGAACACTGTGTAGGTCCATGCAGGCGTTACATAACCATAGAGACAGGGATTATATAAACCTCTGCCAGCCAATTGGAGGCTTTGTGTGACACGCTAAGGTTAAAGTTCTGTGTGGGAGGGGCTAACCTGAAGGGAGGGGTGGCATGGCTACGAGTGAGAGGGAGAACAGTAAAAGCGATTAAGAGACTGTAGGAGGAGTGAAACTTGGCATCCGTTTTTCTGAAACCGCCTCATTGACACGGTTTTCAGCAGAATTCCGAATCAACAGGGAAGATGGGGTATTTTGTTGCTGAGGTTTTCTGGCATGTGAGCTGACATGTGGAAAGACAGCACTAGAGATCGACTGATTTTTTGTGGTGATTCATGACACTGCCGCCAAGAGGTTATGTAAGGCTCTGTCGAGACAGACGTTAAGGAAGAGCGGAAAAACAGACGAACGGAGCTTCTGGAGGAAGGGGGCTGGAGTTCAATGATTAGACTGTACCAAAAAGAAAAGATTCACACTGGAGAAGACACACTAGATAAACTCTAGAGTATCATAGTATGGTATAGAGTACAGGATAGCTGAATTTTAAACTTTGATACATTACCTGTAATTTTAAACTATGTCTATATACATCTATATATCAAACAAATGGGAAATAACCTCTCACACAGTTTTAGTGCTGCATTTCTCTTTAACAATGAGCTTTCTCTTAAATGTGACCAACCACTGCTCATATCTCTTTCAGCTTTGGAGTTGAAAAGACGACTGTAGATCAGAGATTTCATAGGGTTCAACACCGTAACAGAAACTGTATCATGTTAAAGAATGTGGTATTAAAAGGTTCTGAATTATCAAACATTTTGACAACCCGACAGAATTTCTAAGATGTTTTACCAACAATTGTGCCTTCGATGGATTGTATGATACCAAATTGAAAAGTTGGAGTCCTTTAAAAGACTATATGTTAATCTATTACATGTGTGGGTATGTGTGGTGCTTAAAACTGGCCTACACCAAAAAAAAAAAAAAAAAAAGAGACATTTCATACCTCATCTACTTGGGCTTGGGTCTGCTGCAGACGCCTATTTCCTGATGCTGCACCAGAACCTTCTGGACCGGGGGCAGACCTGTTGAAATCATATCAGTTACAGGTATCATATTAGGTGTCATTCAAGATTTGCACAAACAACATGTAAGCTGTATTGAATATTACAAGTTGTTTTTAATATTTATAAGGGTGGAGGGGTGTTTCTTCAAACAACAATATAAGGGTTATGATCATTCCTTTGGAGTCCATGCTAACAGAGCAAAATCCTGTTGAGCCAATACAGAGAGATGGCACAGAGAACTCTTTCACACTCACAGAATAAAGCAAAAAAAAGTACCTCCACACATATTGACTTTCTCTGTGTGACACCACTGACACTACTCCTGCCAATCAAAAGAGAGGTTATGTGAGCTGTGCGTTATGTGTTAAAGCTGATCTTGTTCATACTGCTGTTTCTGCACTCATGCAATAACTCTTAGCTCAGAAATAGCATGATCTTATCTAAAGAGGTTTGAAAATAATTATGGGAGACTGTGGGTAGAAAAAAGAGTTGAGGTTAATTTGTTAAGATGAAATACTCTGATTGTACAGGTTCAAATGGTATCAGATTTGCTGCAGTGTCAGTGTTGAATATCAGTGCTTCTGACAGCGGACAGCTGGGTGAAATAATTGGAAATGATTACTGGACCGTCTGCTTCAAAAAGAACTCAAGTCACATACTGCCATCCTCTGACTTGAGACAGCATTGCTCTGAAATGACTGTGCTTCGCTAAAGACCACATATAACTGATGGCCGAAACTAGACGGGTGGTTTATGAGAATTCATATGAAACCTTTGGGATGATGAGTGCTTTACAAGTCACATGAAAGCATTTCTTGTTCAGACCCAACCCACATTACAATAAAAGCCAAGACAGTTACGGATAACTCCTTTTCCTGGCACACCCATGCACACTAAAATGTAACAACAGAAACAAACATCAGCACTAAAAAAATCTCTTATCTCCTCTTATGAGCCACAGAGCTACAAATGTAAGAAATGTCCCTCACCAGCTACACTAAAACTTTTTCACAAACCTGACCAGGACACTGACGCTAACACTGACAGCTTATGTTTTATTCCTGCACTTATCAGAGAGAGGTCCTTCATCTTGAAGATAACATCTGTAAGGAGGAAATATTCCTACAGTGCATATTTCCAAAACATAATAGCTGGGGATACTGGAGGATGAGGACAGGATATCAGTGAAACAGTGCGCCCAATCACTTCCTCAATCCCTCAGCCTCTCTTTGGATCAGTTAAGTTTTAAAAAGCAAGACACTGGAGAAATTAGAGATAGCAAGAAACATGATCAAATGGATACACATTATCAGAGCTCCAGCTTAGTATTGAAGTGTAAAATCTCATTGTAAACAAGTATGACAACAAACTAGCATGTCCAACAGCCAGCTGACCCTGAAACCTGGCCGTAACTTGCCATAGAGCTGAGCGGCTGAGAGAATAGCACTACTGCCAAGAAGAGGAGATGATGGCATACAGCATTTTAAGGAAGTTATAATAGCTCAATTAGTACATTCAATTCAACAGAGACAAGATTAAAGTCAACTCACTGGAAATACTAGTGCTGTTTGATTGAATTTTAACCTACTTTTGTTTCCTGAATGAGGCAAAACAACATGATGTAAACACCCTCAAATAGAAGACTGACACCAACAATGGTGAATAGGCAAGCTAGATCTAAATGAGCATGTTTCCTTTAAGTGATGAATATGAAGTTGAAACAAAGCAGGGTTTTAGACACAACTTTGATTCATTTGTACCGTATTTTTCATACTATAAGGCGCACTTAAAATCCTTTTGGCTTGTCGGAGCACTGCAGCTACCGTAGCCTCGCAGAGTTATTGAATGAGTTAGATAAAGTTTGACTTAGCTGACTGTTTGTTTGGCTTAATGTGCTTTATAATCCGGTGCGCCTTATGTATGAAAATAGACACAAATAGACGCGTTCATTGATGGTGCGCCTTATAATCAGGTGCGCCTTAGAGTGCGGTAATCGTTTTACTAAGAGGTTTCTGGGGCAGAAGAAATAATTTTTTTACATTTATTATAACATCATTACTGTTGTGCCTTCCAGTACTAGGAAATAAGTACTATTTGCCTTACTGAATGGCACACATTGTCATTTCCAATCATTTGTTTGTTGTACATTGCAGTAGGTGATTATGAACACAGGTTGGACTGGAACAGCAGGTGCAGAATGTAGTACTGCTGACAATACGAAATGCTGCAGCTGGATTATAAATGCTGGGCCTTGTAGTTCAGAGGCTGTGCAGAGAATCTAATATCTGTCATTTGAAAAACTTCCACACAGATTTAAAGAACAGACAGGAAAAATAAGTCGCTTTAGGGTTAGTCCGACAGTAAACGGACTGCATGGTTGGGTTATTTTCACATAAGTGAGAGTCAACAATGGTGAGAGTCTCGCTCCAAGCAGTCGACTGCGTCACATCATTCCAGAGAAAGAGTTGGCACTAAGTTTAAAGTTGTTCTTAGCTGTTCTTCACCTCTTATTCTTCTAAGACTTATACATCTACATGTTTGGTCTTATGGGTTTGAAAGCTGAGGGAGGAGAAAACCCTCAACTTATTTAGCTCACAAGCTTACTCACGCAGATTGTCCTAAGATTTTCAGACATGGCAAAAGTTATAAAACCTACAATAAACTAGCAATAATTCTTTGTTAAATGAAAGAAGGTTTGATGTTGTAGTTTTTTTATTACTAGACGAAGAACATAGCAAACTTGAAATTAATGTACAACAATTATTTCACTGTGGAAAACTATTAGACTGCACTATGACAGAGAACCTGTATGAGTTAAAGCTGTTGGGTTAATTAAAGTTATTTCTATAATATACATCTTACAGTCTGTTAATCAGCATTGTACTGTATATAGATATATGCAGCTGTGTAACCTAACAGTCTTGATGTGATGACAGCAAACACACCACAGCGCCTATGTTACAATCTGTTATACTGTGCAATACTCTGTGCAACATCCTTTAGTGCCACACTTGTATACATGACTTCCTACTCTCTGTGCTTTCACGTAGCTTATTTCTTAAAACACTCTGCTCTTTGTAAATAGCTTTATTTCTTAATACTCTGCACTTTGTACCTAACTATTTTAATGTCATATTTATTATACCTGCATTCCTATTTCTATTCTTCCATTAATATTTGTATTTTGAGGAACAAGTGTAATGATCGGACTTCCCACGCAGATAAATAATGTGCTCTGATTATGATTCTGAAGACTGCAGTTGGCAAGGAGCTGGTCTGCATTAACCAGCTGGGTTTTTTTCATGGTTATCATGGCTAGCAAATAATATATTAATCTTTTTTTTTCTTTTTCTTTTTTTCCAAATGTTATTTTTAGCAAAATCTCGGATAGTATTTTGATGCCATTGTACTGCCATCTTGAGAATTAAAAGGTCTAAATTAAAGGAAATAACATGGGGGAAGTCACAACAAGATTAGTTTTTTTCTGGGCAACTGTCCAAACCCAGCAGTTACTTAATTCATGACTACATAGACCAAGTTTATTCAAGTATTTGTCCATTAATCTCCAAGAGATCAACTTAGTGGATATTGCTGCATGTTTTTGAACCAGATTTATTTCTGCTACTTCAATATAAAGACACACCTTTGAGCCTTCTTTCCTTCATCTTTTGATGAAAAATTCAGTGTGCAACGAAAAACTTTACCTTAAACTGGCTTTGCACGCAGCACATTTGCACTAAAAGAACTAGATTTTTAGTGCATTTTATGTTTCAGTTATTAATCTATTAAGGAGCCCCAAGTGAGCCAGTTTCCATAATAAGATACCACAGGAATAAGTCAGCTGAATAATAAACTAATAAACTGTCTAAATATTAACTGTGGTTAATATTGACTGCTACTTGCCAATTTTTTTTTGGGTGACACAAGAATTATGCCACGCTGAAGTCATGATATAAAAAATAAAAAGGTACAGAGCTTTACACTTCATTGTAAATGCAGCTGTATTTGTTTTTGTTAAAAATCAATCCTCTATGTGCCATAATCATAGATGATTCAAAGAGTATCCTAGATCAGAATCACAACAAATTCAATGATAAATTGTATAATAATCATTTTTACTATAACTCTTAGTGTATTTGTTCATGAAAATTCAGCATGCATGGGTCCAAAATGTCCGAAGACATGCTGCTCATAATAACATCCAAACTGTGACTTCACAACCAAGGTGACCCTGAAACAAAGGATCCAAACTGTTCCAGAAACTACAGGTAAGATTATCAATTATGTCAATCACTACTATTCAAGTCCCCTGAAAGAAAAACAGTAAGATTCTTTACCATTTCATTCTAGTAATCTGAATTCATAGATCATTCTGTGACTGAACTGTCACCTGGCTGCATCACCTATACTTACAATCTGCAAAGTCAAACCAAGAAAAAATCATGTTGGATGGCGATTCATACAGTTTCCGATGAGTTTTATTTTGTCTCTAAATATCAATGATGCCATAAAAAAGCCACTTCAGTTAGACTCTATGACTTAAAACTGCAATGTGGGGTACAATGCTCCACCTTAAAGTAGGACTGGGCGATCATATGATCATGATCGTGATAAATTTCAGTTCGATCACGGTGATGAGCTGTGAGCATATTTACTCGATCAAACATAGCGGAAATGTGCATCACAACAGCCAATCAGAGTCAAGCATTTCCTGCTCACTTCTGTAAGTTATTGGAGAAGTAAACAGAATGACCGAACATCGAGCTAAACGGAGAGCCGAGGGCAGCAAAATAGATGTCAGCCATGACTTTGAGTCATCCTCTGAAGATGTTATTGTTGAGAAGTTGTTCTACGTCGGTTGTGTTGCAGTGGTTCGGGTATCTCCAAAGTGACGTCGAGCAATTAAGCCAATGTGTAAGGTATGTCGGCAGTCGGTGCCCTCAAAAACTGGCAACACAATCGATCTATTTAATCATTTGAAGAAGTACTTCCTGAGTGATTAACCGGAAAGCATGAAAATGTGAGCGGAGTCTGCACAGCCTGCCACTGCTGAAGGCACGAGTCGCATTAGCAGTTTAGCCACAACTAGCGGTGCAGCCACCAGACCAAAGATGCAATCAATCGCACCATCTATGTTTAAATCATCTAATGTTTACATTTTAAGGCAGCTTTATTATCCCTGAGGGGGCAATTTGTTTATTTTGGGTCCTGCATACCTGCAAAAACACCCAGGACTGTAAACTAGTTCACTGTATTATTTAGTATTTATCTACTTTTGTTGTACTGTTGAGTTAAAATGGTTTTTAGATTTTTCTAAGTTTATCTTATTCAATTTACTTTATTTACTTTGTATGTTAATAAAATGTTGAAATAATCTCAAGTTTCTTTAGTTTTTAGCACAGATGTTTTAAAACTAGCAGTCTAAAAAAAAATTGTGATAATAATCAAGATCGGACGATATGACAAAATATATTGTGATCATTTTTTTTGGCCAAATCGCCCAGGCCTACCTTAAAGTACCTTCAAGCAAGGATTAACATCACCACTACATGCTATTGTTTGATACTCTGGGTGGTTTTGATCAGAAATTCCAAGCCACAAATAAGGGTTCCTGTTTCAGAGACGCATTCATGCAACTTTCCCTCTTCCTCTGTTGGGTGGTGGGTAGGTAGGGCTGGTGGGGGAGGTTAAAGGAAACAGAGAAATGGGGGATTGAATTGAGATACAGTTTGTCCTACATTTTTGCTGCGACACCAAAATAAATAAAAAGTGTTGAATAATAAGAAATCCTGTCGTTCTTGATGTTTAAGTTGACCCTCCACTCATTGGTTCAACCATCCACATCAGGAAAGTAGGTCATGACACATTTCCTGTTTTTAATAGTAATTGCTATACTTTGCTGAAGCTCTTGATTAGTGAAAAAAGTCAAGACAAGAACAGGCTATTATAAGAGTACACGCAGTTTTTACGGTTTTCATTGAATAGACACAAACTTGTAGACAGAAGCAGGATAGATTGCATTGGCTCGGTTGGAAGGCTAATGTTATGTTAGCTTTTGTTCTTTCATGATGGGCCACGTTAACTTTCATGCACTCATGAACATTACCACGGAGAAACCATTATACTTTCCCTTGGCGGCCTGTCTAAACAAATCCAAAAGGGAAAAGTTAATAGATAGTGTTGGCCGAATAGCTCTATTATAACCACCGCCGTAACTGCTAGCTTAGCTGAAACTTCAATACTTACGAGCTAGCACTTGTTGCATGCTAGCTCAAACTTTGGGCGTTGCTTTTGTCCGTGGTCTTATTTACCAAAGTGCATGTTACAGCAGGATACAAGTTTGACACATTCACATTTTACATGTAAAATGTTCAGAAGTCACACTCTATACTTACATGGTGATATGATATTTCTTCCGAATATAATGCCGCTGATTCCTGCTTGTGAGCCGACACTTTAGTGTCAAGTCGTAACTGTTACTGCTGTCGTTGCGGCGATGCCTTCAAGTGCTATCGGAAACGGGAAAAGTCAGAGTTAAACATCGATTAACTTTTAATTTATGCACTTCACAACCTGTACAGAAAAGAATTGTATTTAATATTCGCAAGACAACGTGTGATGGAAAGTGATAGGACAATGATCTAGTCATATAAATAACTTTTGATGACCAATCTCTAAATTACTAAAATATTTCTTATATCATTCCTTTTTCACGGTATCACAATGTAAAAAAAGTGTTTCTAAGCGTTCCGAATTCCTGAATACAACTCCACCAAAATGACTTTTATTCTGTGCAAATTTTGTCAGAAAAATAAAACAAGTAAAATGTACTTCTTTCTCCAGCAAAAACTGAAAGAACAATTCGTACCTGAAGCCAACATTAAAGAGGCAGTAGGTCGTCTCTCTCACTCTCTCTCTCTCTCTCTCTCTGCATACCTGTAATTATCAACGCGCAATATTACATTAGAACTACAGGGCAGCTCGTGCTTGAAAACAAGACAACAAATAACTGTAGGCATGTAGTTATTTGAGTACCGCCACAAATGTGTATATTTCCACACTTCATTCTTTCGATTGGTCCACCTATTCGTGAGACATGCCAAGAGATAGGGGCCAGCAAAACCCCCGTGATCAGCATGTGACATACAGTACGGTGTCATACTGAAACTAAAAGCTTACATCTTATATATGTAAAAATACAAGGTGAGAACTTCTTATGCTGGTGACTATGGTTCAGGGCATTTCTGGTGCCATGCCTTTTCCTCTAAAAAGCTGTTAATCACTTGGATTAATAGCCCCTGGCTAATTCCCCGGGTTGTTGTAATCAGTAGATTAATGGAATGTTACTAAAGATATCAACACAGCAACAATTAATGATAATTCACACAAATCCAAATTGCAAAACAAGGGAAATGTGTGGGCTTATCGAGGCCTAATCATAGGCTGCTTTAAAGTGTGACAGTTCCTCATAGTGCAGTTTTCATCGGTCACTGATGCCTAATCCATCAGCCAATGTTAAATTGTCTGATTTTAAAAAAACAATTTTTTAGTTACACATTGTTTTTTTAGCCAAACAACAGCAGAAAAAATATTGCCCCAGGCAAAAGCTTCCAGAAAAATGCACTTTAATTGAATTGCCTGACAATATCAAGTGATAAGTACTGTAGTCAGACTGTCTTAGGGGCAGGGGCAAAAAAGGCACACCTTTAGTATATCATAGGGCACCAGCACATACAGTGCATCCCTAAATCCAGGTGTGCCAAGCTAGTTGCATTATACACAAGAAGACTGGAGGCTGTAATCGCTGCCAAAGGTGCTTCGACCAAGTATTGAGTTAAGGGTGTGAATACTTATGTATATGCAACATTTGAGTGTTCTTATTTTCAATAAATTTGCAAAAATGTCCTAAAAAAGTTTTTCATTTGTCATTATGGGGTATTTTGTGTAGAGTTTTTGAGGGAAAAGGGAATTTAATCCATTTTGGAATAAGGCTGTAACATAACAAAATGTGGAAAAAGTGAAGTGGTATGAATACTTTCCGGATGCACTGTAGATAATTGTGATGACTGTCGATCTGCCTTCACCATCATTGTGTAGACCAGTGGTTCTCAACAAGTCCTCGAGCCCCCCCCTGTCCTGCATGTTTTGGATGTTTCCCTGCTCCAACACACGTGATTCAAATGATCAGCTCGTTATCAAGCTCTGAAATGGCACAATAACGAGCTGATCATTTGAATCAGGTGTGTTGGAGCAGGGAAACATCCAAAACATGCAGGACGGGGGGGACTCGAGGACTGGACTTGAGAACCACTGCCTAAAGGAATCCATTGGGCCTTTTTGCACATTTTTATAATAGTTGGGTACCAATGAGTGTTTTTCCCCCCACGTTATAAACTGTTAATGGTCCATGTTTACACAGTTTTTGATAAAGTTACTCCTTATCCCTGTTGCCCAGGACTCTGTATAGACTCAGCTGCCCCCACACAGCACCAAAGACTGCATTAGTCTGTTGAGTGTGTATTTCTGAGACACTAAAGACGGTCAATTTTGAGTGAAGCAGTTTGTCTAACTGACATAAAGACAGAGAGGAAATCAACTGTTGGGATTCCTTGGTTATTCTTACAAATCCCTATTTTTATTCTCCTCCTGATATTCATCAAGAGCAGTAATGCTGTAAGGACCAAATTCCCCCAGAGATAAATGAAGTATTGTGATTCTAATTAGATAAAGTCATAACACTGAAACATTAACCAATGTTATATTGTTTAACGCAAATGGAACCAATAACAACAATATGAAGAAAAGTAACATCAATAACCATATAAATAACACTATAATATTACTAGAACAACAATACCAATTATATTAGACATATATTAATAATTCCCATCATAATTTTCAAAAAAGTACAAGTGCTGCTGCTTATATTCTAATATTGATTACAAGAACAAAACCATGTTTGGGATTCAGTTTGGTTCTCTGACTCTTGTGATGTAATCATCAAAAAGCAGAGCCAGGTTTGTGTGTGTGTGCTTAATTGCCCTGATTTGGAACAGGTGGGGGAAGCTTACATATACTCTTGAGCTACAGCTCCCAGTCCTGACCACCAACAGAGATAGTGAGAGGTTGTGCGAATCTTCCAGTGTTTCATGTCCATTAATTCTGTGTGGTGTTCATTCATCCCAGCTCTTTGTGTTTAACTTATCTGGCCGTTTTAGCTATTTCTTTATTAGGACGGTCTCCTATTTAGTTTCTCTTCAGCTGCTTTGCAGTGGTGGTTTTGTTTCTTGTGATTCTGAGCTTTGTTTTTTGTTGATCTTAGTGGTTATCCCTTGGGTTAATTCCAGAACCCTTATCCCTGTCGAGCAAGTGTCTGCAATTGTGTAGAAATGCCTCCTGTTGTCACATAGCATAAATCAAAACTTATTGATATAACAAGACAACATAACGCCTGCACAGTGAGCATTAACATTTTTTCCAAATATGCCAGGCAGCACTTATTGAATGATCCATCATATCTAACTGTGTACAGTCATACAGTAAAGGGAAGATTATCAGGTACTTCTTTTCCTCCTCCTTATGCGTCCTACAGAATACTGTCTTGTCATCTATGGCATATCCAAACAGGCCTATAAAGTGTTTAAGTGAGGCATGCAAAATTAATCTACTCACCACTGTGTGATTGTAGCAGCACAGACTTCTGGGAGCTGAAATGGTTGTCTCAGTCATCACCCTTGCATTAGTGAGGATGCACTCTGATATGCTTGTAAGCATGTGGCACCAAAGTAAATCGTGACACCCTCACTCCATCATAACGCATAGCACTCAGAAAAAGTATTTTGTTTGTCTGACATGCGAGATGATCTTTTTACCCGGAACCTCCTCGCCAAGAACATTAGCAGCCTGACGAAGCAGATGACTGTAGGAATGAGGCTGCTGCCCATCTGTTGTTGCTGCGACAGCCCGGTCCTCATTCCATCTTGCCAGCCCATCCAGCAGATATGCCTGGTAGAAGGTGTCACTTGCCAATGTACCTTTCAAAAGAAATTAAAAAATGTAAAAAAGGAGAAGGAAACTATAGACTAAGAATAAACAGATCCTTTTACATTTAAATAGTCCCATGAAGTGCCATATATCCAGCCAGATGGTCATCTGCCCCCACTCTTCAAACATCCTCCTCAGAAGAGTGTTGCCACAGCGGTCTCTGTCGACATACAGTATTTCAGAAGGTGCCACCCCAGCCACTCTGTATCTTTTTATGAGACCCTCAACCATTGGCCTAAGACTGAAACCCTCACTGGCAGTCAGAACACAAATTATCACCTGCCCATATTCGTTGCCTACACTGGTTGCCCAGGTACCAGTGCCGTAGCTGGATCCTGCAAGCTTTCGAGCAACCTTCCTTGTGAAGTCCATCTTCAGTATGCAACCATACAGAGCTGTGATGTAGGCCTTAAATTCATTAAGCCGTTGCAGGACGTCCTAGGCATACACCAGCATCAGCCACCAATGTTTGGGGACGGCAAGCATTGCATGTGCTGGCTCGAATGTCACTTGCAGGATGAGACCTGATTTGGCTGCCCTGGTTATGCTCTTGCAGTCGGTGAGGTATTAGATCACCTTCTGCACCACACCTCAGCATGACTCTCTTCCAACTTCTGCTGGATCTGGCTGCTACTGTTTCCCAGCCCTCGCTGATGCATCAAGCTTACGACTTCAATGTCATAGAAGCAACAGTCAACACTGTCTGTTCATTCCCTGTTTTTTGTTTACGAGATTCATCATTTGATTGATGATGAAGTCACTTAGAGTTATAGGGTTAGTTTGGGACAGTGACAGCACCATAGGACTGTGATTTAACTCAGTCTGTAGACTACAAAACTGAATGCCTTCATTTCCTGAAAACAGCGCTGCGCAGTAGCAATGCACACATTTGGCCACGCAGTCGCAGAGAATCGCTGTGATGACGCTCGGCTCAAACAGCGTATCCCCCGGGAGAGCTACGCAATCCCTGAACGCCCATAGGCTGTATCAGGTGTCAATCATAGCAAACATGAACCTCCTAATAACTTTTGAAAACGGAGCTTCACAGAAAAAAAGAGGACTTGAGCACAAACCAGTCTTACAATAACTACATGTCAACATCACAAGCAGGGGGGAGAAAAATTATGTTCTGTGTAATAAATTTTTAAAGTTTGTCCACAGCTCCATAAGCATTGCTGGCGGAGGCGGGATTTATGACCTATACTGCAGCCCATCAACAGAGGGTGCTGTTCTCGGAGTGGCTTCACCCAGCGAGGAGGCAGACTCTGTCCATTCTATATACAGTCTATGGTTGTAACCCACAATAAAGATGAAACCTTAAAGACAAATAAATTAAAACTCAACTCCAATTATGGCGAATATGCACAATAAATGAACGAACAGACAGACAAAAAACTCAATATTCTTTATGGTACGGGTTGATTGTCAGACCTTTACCGTAAAAATATGGGACAATTATATTTGCAGTAAGAAATATTTGTGATTTGAACTAAAGGGTTAAAGTTGAATTTGCACAAGTTTTTACTGATATAAAAACTTCGGTTTAGCATTGATTTAAATACAAACTACCTTATTTAAGCAGTAAAATTACAGTGTTGCTTGGTCAAATAAATCAGTGTAGCAAATTTACCACAATGTCAACTATCTTCATGAGTTTGTTTTTTAAAAACATGTTGTTTTAATGTTTTTTTGAAAGTCTATAAAGGGTTGTTATTAAAGGTGTATGCTTAACTAAATCTCAAAAACAACAACAAAAAAATAATTAAAATAAAATAATGAATAAATAAATAAAATAAAGTAAGTAGCAGTATAAGTGAGTTTGAGTTCATCCCTGACGTTAAAGAAAAAGTTTGTCACCATTCTTCATACAGTCTTTGCATGTCACCCACATGATTTTATGTGATATTTATTACAACTACAATTTAGTGACGTTAGATTTGTTGCAAAAGCACACTTCTGTTTGGTCTTAAAACCAATATTTAGCCATGAGACTTCGGAAACATTCTGATTGATAATTATAGTTTATTCACAATATTTCGGAAATTCTTCCGCCGACATCTATGAGGTGTCGAAAAAGATCGAGCCAGCCAGGAGTCGAACCTAGAATCTTCTGATCCGTAGTCAGACGCGTTATCCATTGCGCCACTGGCCCTACGAGGACAATACAGAGAAAGCCCTGAATTTTGTCTGTAAGGTTAGTCTGACCCCTGCTGGATAAAGGCTATATTTATATGAAAGATCTCCCCGGAATGCCTTAATTTAGGCCTAAAATATGACAGGTAAACGTTGATGGTAATCAGAAGAAACAAACAAACAAACAAAAAAATGGGAATTGAGTTTGACAAATGTCAAGGGTGTATTTTTCTCCAAATGTAAGGATACACCATGGAAATTTGCGCCGCCACCCCACCATAGGGCGAAAGGGTAAACTTTCCCTCGATTTTGCCTTACAGGCTGCTTCAACCCTTGTTATATTCGGGGGAGCCTAAATTACATCAGTCTTAGCTCCTGCCTCTTAGTCACATTTTCGCCATACCTGAGCGCCAACTCGGGACTCTTAAGGACATCTAAAAATAAATCTTCATGTAGTCTGAGGTGTACCAGCATACACAGGAGATAACGCAACTTGACAGACAACAATTTAGGGCTCATGTATTTTCGTTGTCACCAGGGGGCGCTAGTGGTCTTTCTTGAGTTGTATTAATTTCAGTCTTTTATTGTTGGCTGCGGAATCCAATGCAACAAGTGCCGCCTTACGCCTGAATTTGTTGCCTGAAGATTTGTTGCAACTTTGCAAAGTATACTTGGAAATTAAACACACGAGTCTGGATGAGGCTACTGCCTATTTGGTCTTCCCGGTCACTTGTCAAAGTCAGAGGCAAAGACTTAAGAGGGGATGCTGGTGTGGATGGGGTGATCCAGTGATAGCAGCAGTGATTGCTTTGTAGAAGAGAGGAAGCACTGCACAGAGACAGAGAAATCACCAACTGCATAGGACTGTTTTACTGTGATTTTGCAGTAGAAATCAAGTTGACTGTGTATGGTTTTATGTTGGCCATAAAACTAGTGAGCGTCTTGTCCTTTTGCGTGTTTTCATCTGCCAGCAGCATCGCGCGTGTTGGTGCGCCCCACTGACCCACAGTCGTCTCCTCTCAGTCGGATCATGTGGATTATAGTCGCGTTGTTTCTGGCTGCAGCCGGTCCTGATGGGAGCTGCGGGTGTCAGCTGCCCCACGATTGGAGACCTCAGACAGAAGCGTGTCGAGCCGAGCTGGCGGAGATCATAGTATTTGCCAAGGTGTTGGCACTGCACGAGGAGTCTTACAGCATGTACAGGTATAATGACCTGCCACGGGAGCACGAGTCCAACATGTTCTTTTCCGCTGAGATTGAGCTGCTTTGTGACCAGGCGTGGGGAAGTATGCTGGAGGTCCCCGCCGGCTCCAGGTTTAATGTCACCGGACTTGGATACTTCCACTGCTTCTCCTATACTGTCACCAAAAACAACAACTATTACTTCTTTCTAAGGTGAGAAACATATGTCTCCCTTTGATCTAATGTCCCAAAACTGAACTATTATCATAGATATTAAACCCTGTCCTTTTTAACACCCTGTAATTAATATACTACTCATCCTTAGAGTTTTCAAGCGGAAAATTTTGGTTTATTATAGACCATACAGCATGTTAGAGATTATATTTCATTCACTATGTGGCCTGTATTAATGTGTTGCAGCTGAAATTTGCACTTGCAAGCTGTGCATTTCAAAGAGGGACAGTAAAACTTGAGAAATTGTGTTGCATTGTAACAGGATCCTTGAGAATAAGGTGGAATCAGCGTTTTTCTTAACATAAGATTTATATCACACCCCAGCCAGTGGCTGTTTTAGATTTGCCGTATTGTCGAATGCAATTTTCATTTGGAAAGGTAATAGTGATATCAACGTTGTACTCTAAAAACATTTGGGTTATTTCTTCAACCCAATTCCTGGGTTATACGCGTTGAGTTAAATTTCTGGGTTATTTTTCAGACCCATACCCATTTCTTGGGTCATATGGATTCTATTGTAACCCAGTTTGAGTTTTTTTGTATGGGTTAATAATTATGGGTTATTTTTCTGAGAGTAACCCAATAATTGGGTCGGAACATTGGGTTCGATTGACTCTATTTGGTTTCTAGGCCTAATGGCAATTAAAGTGACCTGGTGATTTTATATACAATTTTATATACAATATGCTATATATATATATATATATATATATGTATTGGGGTAGCTTGCGGTGGCTACCCTAACATATATTGGGTGGCTGGGGTAGCTCTGCGGGTAGGGCATCCAGTGTCCAACCAGGGGGTTGGGGTTCAAACTCAAGTTGGGTTGTTTTAAGAGTGTTTTTTAGAGTGTGTGAACAATGATACAGATATATTGCCTGTTGTGCCAGCATGCCATTAATTAGGCCACCGATCACCCTGTCTGTCTCTGGTACAAACCATTTAATCCCCGGAAACAATGGTAAAAGTAATCTTTGCATTGATTACTGGGATGTCTTTGGCAAAGCTCAAGCAATTAATGTTGTATCTTTTGGCTGTCTTAACCAACCAATAAATGTCATGAACTAATTGAAACAGAAAAAAGGTGTCTGTTGGCAAGTTAGAAGTCTTTCTATGCATCACTTCCAGATTACACACTCACCTCTATCTTGGATTCATTTTGCATGAGCTGATTTTTTCACCACAAACTTAAGATAATGCAGAAGAAAGCAGAAGAAAATCTTTTAATACCTTTTTTGTCATCTTAAAATTAGGTGGTGTCCTATACAGTGGTGTGATGCATTATTAAGCACAGAGAAAGGTAATTTAGTGCACCACTACATTTTACCCAGAAGATGGCGCCTGAAGAAGCAAGTGAGCATTTAGCTGTGACACACATGGTAGACGGATAAGTCTACTTTGAAAACCTTTCTCCCTCGTTTGTTCATAATCATGTATTTAGATATTATGGTGGTAAACTATTAAGGAGTGCTGGTTTAACTGAACAGACGCCATGATTTAAAGCAACATGTGACCAGTGGGAGTGGTTGCAGTCAGACAGTTTAAATCTTTTCACTCATGAAAGACTCCCAAACCAAACTGTAAAACTGTAATTGTGTGTTTTACAGGTAACTCTACTACCTTTAGGAGTAGAGGCTATGAAATTTCTCTGGTTAAATTATCCAAAACATACTCCTGAAGTTTTATTTCCAAAGTTGCCTGCTTTAATTTAGTATACAAATATTGTGGCTGATCCGTCGGTCTTTTCTGCAAAATGTTCTATACTCAGTAAATGAAGCATCACCTAACCATCCAATTAGAAAATCAATGTATGTATCAATGTAATCAAAGGTTTAATTATGTTTGGATTAGACAGTTAAGAACAGGAATATGTCGTCAAGGTCCTCTGTCTGACGCCAAGTCACATGATAAAATCTAGACATTTGGATTACATCATTGTTGGCCCCACTGTTTGTATGCCTGAGGCTGAGGCCTCTCTGACCCAGTGTTCACTACATTAGGGGCTCAATATTTGAACTGGAAGAAAGGGGGTCCATTAATTAAGTGAAAATAAACCAGTAGTGATCCAAAGAGTCAAATGTTTTAAGAGAAATCCACATTAGTTGTACATTAAATTTTATTTACTTTTACAAGATTGAAAATTGTCATCCCTATAAATGAGTGTAATGTTGGCATTAAATGAGGAGAAAGGGCAGTAATCAGGATGCCCTACTTGTGCATTATTTATAAGTTTAACAAAAAAATCAGAAGATTTGAGCTAATCTACTGACCCGTGTCTCCAACAAAAGCCCTAAAACCTTTAGAGTTTTGTAGAAATCTGTTATTAAAAGAAGTTAGGACTCTCAGAGGATCCACTTGCTCAGTGGCCAATAAGGAAATATTTGTAGTCAAGAGCAGAGTAGCCTATTGGCACCATTCTGACATATTCAGCCAGTATCTGTCACTGGGAAATCATATTGATTCCAGGTTAATAATACATTTATAGACCTGCCAAAACTTCTGCTCAGATTTCAAAATCCTATGTGGCAGCTTAATGCCTCAATGTCTGTGTTGGACAGAAACAACACTGTTACTCAGGAAACGTCTATTGCATTCCAGCCAGTGTAATTACAGAGCCAGACGTTTCCCAACAGCTTGAAGGTAAACCTACCAAAAAAAAAAAAAAACACTCAGGAGAGTTATCTGCATGCCAGCAGTTGATAGGACGATCTGTTGTCCCGCTGAAACACACCAGTTTGCTGCTTGATGAAGTGAACCTACACTGACGGGCCCTACTGATCCATCCCACCTCTTTTTTTCCCTTTTAAACTAATGAAGAGTTGGATATTCAGAGGGGGGTCCTGAAAAACATTCCTGAAGTTTAATGTTTGGCTGTTCCACACGAGGTCCTGCAGCAGAGCCAACTACAATACCATTCTTTAAAGCAAGTGTCACTCCCATACATGCAGGATTACTGACATGTGATCTACGGTTTATTGCTGATGAAAACTTTTAAGATGATACCATTACTTTTACGTAATCACACCTCAAGGGATAACTTTGCTATCCCTGATGTGGTGTTGAAGACATCTGGTCATTATACCTAAAATCAGCCTGGCAACCACCCTGGGAAACTTCCTGGAGCTTTAGTCACAAGAGAGTGCCTTTTGAATGTAGACCTGATGACAATTAAGACACTGTGATTACTCTGGTAATGCAAAGCAGTAATCTTTTCAGTGTTTACCAGGGACATACTGGTGAGGGGGGCCCTCCTCCCCTGAAAATGCAAACCCACATTTTCCTTGCAGAGTGTAGCCCACAAAGGATGTGGACCATTATGGCAAACCAAACATAGTTCAGATGGGTATTAAATTACCAAAGAGAAAATAGACTGTGCTCGCAATTCTATTTTGAATGCACTTATCTTGAGATAAAGTGAACAAATACTTGAATTTGGATGTTAATGGATGTTAATTATGGAGGACTCCAAAGTTTGTGTGAGGCTCTTTATGTACCTTTTCAGCCTTTTCACTGACTGTAAGGACAGCTTCATAACTGAACAATGACTGAAGAACAGTCAGAAGTTTTCATCAGTCATGGATACCCCTGCTTGGATTTTTTTTTTTTTTGTTTGTTTTGCTTAAGTCATTTGCTACAGTTCTCCAGATGCCATCTATCTTTTCTCCCATGGCACTCAGCAGCGTCTGGATCAAAAAGTGGCCAATGGCATGTCAGGCTATTTGTCAGTTGTTGAGCACCATCTGGAGAGGCCAACTGCTGATCTCAGCTGAAATTGCTAAGAAGTGATGTAGTCAGAGTAACGTGCTTGTTTTTCTTGCTCGTCTTTGAAGTGTAATGAGAGTATGTTTTTTTTGTTACCTCTATGATGAAATTAAAGTCGACCAGCCTTAGCTTGGTGTGAGCCTGTTAGCATAGCCTTGTAGTTAGTCAAAGTATTGAATCACGAAATCCAATGCAATCCCACAGTTTTGCCCAAAGAAAATACTAAATATTACTTACCTGTTGCTATCAATGTGAAGTCAGCTGTTTTTATTTGCATATCTATGATTGGTATACATGCTGAGCTGCATGAAATGATGTGCTAAGGAATCCTGTTCTAGCTGCCATTATATGCTGCTGAATGCTATTAGCCACTTTTCGGTCTGGTCTCTCTTAGACATCAAAATCAACAAGACAGAAAGTTGTTGTTGTTAGGTCAAAACTGGACTATTACTCATTATCTGGCAGCATCAAGGTTCATCATCTTGGATTAGCAGCATCTGAAACAGTTTTAATTGCTAGTTTAAATAACTTGAACTGATTATTGTGTGTTTATATCCACTTTTTGCTGTCTGAGCCTATCATGAAGAAAATGGTGTGGGAAATGTGTCACTTTGGTTTGTCCAATTTGTCAGTCTTACTCTTTGCATTTTTTAACCTGAATTTACAGCTCCTGTAAGGAACTTTAAGAGAAAGGGCTGTTTATTCAGTTGCTTGGCTGGCACCTACCCCCCTTACACCAGTTTCAAGCATTTAAATGATAATAAAACGGTGGCCAGTTGCCCTTGTTTTTGTTGGATTTTTTTAAAGGTATTTCTATGAATTTCAATCTATTCACAAACATCCAAAAAACTTCTCACAGGAGCTTTAACACACATCACAAAACTTTTGAGATGTTGTCTTTTGACGCTGGCTGGCAGGATAAAGGGATTCTTTTCTATTTCAATTCCAGTGGTAAATTTCCTCAAGTGGTTTCCCAATCAGGAGGGCAGACTAAACCCTTTATCATGAGACTTTTGCTATGGAAACTAAGCTTTCCCCGTGTAACTGAGACTGGCAACAATGAAAAAAAAATCTCTGGATAAGCAGTGGAGAAAGGATCCCTCTGCCAGGCTGGTCGGATACATCTTTATGCAAAGCTAAACAAACAATCTGCTGATTTTTAAGCTTCAAAGAAATTGTGCAATATGGAAGTAGTGTTGACCTTTTCAACACCTCAGCAAAAAAGAAAAACAGTCAAGTTTTCAGCAAGAGCAAATGTCAACTTCCATGAATATTGAAAGTCACTGAAAGAAAAGAGGAATGGTCCAACAAACTGTCTTTACATGTCCTGCTCTGGGGCTAGTTTTTGTTCTCACTAACTTGAGACTCCTCTCCTCAAACCTAAAACAGATCAGTGTAGAGTTTCAAAGTGCCGCTGTTGCGACTGCCATGAAACACCAAGTCCGGAACACACATGTGCAAGCCAAAACTGAAAAGTTCTCATTGCAGCCGTCAGTGGATGTTTACTTAATGTTAAAAAATCCCCAACATCACTTTCTCAGACCAAAATAGTCTTTCTAATGACTCACTGGTATCAGCTCCCAGGACAAGACACACTTAAGTCCTGCACAGACAGACAATGTTGTCTTTGGGTTGTGTGTTAGCCATAAAGCTTCAGCCTGTATCTCCACTGTGGTCGATTTTTCTTTCCGTCAAAAGAAAACCAAATACCAAACCTTAAAGATGGCAAATTCTGTTTAGTTTTGTTTCCAGCATTGTAGAGTCCATTTCCTCTGAATCAACAATCTATGACCTCCTGGTCACTGTGCTTACACTTGACCTTTGACCTCATCAGCTGAAGCAAAACATCAGCTTTCTCAACAGAACACAAACCCAGCCAAAAGCACTCATTCACATACACACACACAGTCTCTAATAGGGACAACTAGACTTTTGATGTCCCTGGAGGGGTATGAGATGAAATCCAGATGTATGAAAACATACTGCTTCAAGACTTCCTCCCTCACACACTTCAAATCATTTGGAGAAGATATAAAACATGCACACGAAATCTCTTTGGCTTGTAATTTGCTGGCCTGATTCATCCACATAATGCTCGAGTTTGCATAAAAATAGAATGAGGATTTGTTAAGAGTTTGCAAAGACACTTTTCAGATTTATTGGAAAGGTCTAACCTCATATAACTTTATGGGCTAAGGAGGTGAGTCTGGACTGGTCCATTTGCTTTTTTATTAAGTGGACACCTGTGCACATTAAGATAAGGTGTTACTTCCTTTTTGTACTTTTGTTGTGTGCACCTGCATGCACTCCTCTTTAATACGCTAGACTTTATACCACTTGACACAATATTCTCATTTTCTTCCATGCAGGATGGATGAGAACTACAACATTGTCCCTCATGGTGTGAACTTCCAGGACCCCATCTTTCCAGACACTGCAGAGATCCACCGCATGTTCGCCAGCCTTTTTCAGTTTTCCAACTGTACGCCTGGTACCCAGGTTCACAGCTACACACCAGAGTGGGAGGCTCAGGAGGACAGCAGGGTATGTAGCTCAGATCCAGCACCATGAACTGGTTTGGCCTCTTAAGAATTTTCTTTCTCACTCATTCTGATCCAATAAAAACATATTCTACATGGCCACACAAACAGTTCGCTCAAAAGAGTCGAGTGAGCTTCAGTTAACCCAAAGTATTGTGGTGCGCAATTATTACATCCTGTTGTTTTCAAAGGAATCCTATAAAGTGGCTGGAAAGTTAAATACATACTGAATACATGTGAAACCAAACACACATTTGCTGCGGTTTTTGAATACTCACAATGAACTCAGTGTAAAAGGAAATCTACTTTCAGCACATACTTCAAGCTCCTTGGCAAACATAATGTTGTTGAAAAGATATTTGGGTACAAAAACAGATGAGAAGAACTCTTGTGCTGAAGTCAAAAGTGGACATGTGTCTTTGATAGCACACAACACACTCAATGAAGCTCATGACGGAAGAAACAGTAACACATGGAGACCAAAACAGCTTCAGGATGTGATTAATGCTGAAGAAAGATGATGTCTTACATCAGTGTTAGAGTGAATTGTTAACTGCCTTTATGTTCATAGTCCAGATGCATCAATGTCATGTCCATCAAACAGGGGATACTGAAAGGAAGTTACAGATAAACCACTAAAACAGAATCAGGTTGATATATTATGAAAGTGAGTCATAGCTTTTTCAAATAGCTCCTGACTTACACTGAATCAGGTTGCACCATAGACTGTACTATAGACAACTTGGTTCTGCCTTCTGCCAGTATACGGATTTGAAGCCGAAAAGCTCTTAGTATTTCTGCGATTTGTCTCCATTTCCTGAAACCAACATTGCACGGTAACGTTGTATGCATTCCGCGGGAGAGTCACCAGGAGTTGCTGTGATGAAGCTTGGCTCAAATGGTGTATCCCCCAGGTGAGCTACGCAATCTTCGTACGGAACTGCAGAGAAAAAAGAGGACTTGAGCACAAACAATTCAGATTTTGTAGTGTGTGCACTAAAACAAACACGATAAAGAGAGAAGCTTGTTTTCTGACTGGCTAGTGTAAACATCATATCTTTTACAATTCTTTTGTTAGTATGGACGCTACAGTCTACTAGTCAAGACAACCTTTATGTTCACATGTTGCAACCATAGGCTGTATATAGAATGGACACTGTCTGCCTCCTCTCTGGGTGAAGCCACTCTGAGAACAGCACCCTCTGGTGACGTGCTGCAGTGTAGGTCATAAATCCTACCTCCTCCAGCCATCCTTATGGAGCTATGGACAAAGTTTAAAAATTTATTACACGGAATATACATTTTTCTCATACATTTTTCTCCCCCCTGCTTGCGATGTTGACATGTAGTAATTGTTAGACTGGTTTGTGTTGAAGTCCTCTTTTTTTCTGTGCAGTTCCATTTTTAAAAGTTATTCGGTTCATGATAAAGATTGTGTAGCTCACCCGGGGATACGCTGTTTGACCCGAGCATCATCACAGCGACTCTTGGCGACTCGCCCACTGAATGTGTACAATGCTACTGTGCAATTTTGGTTTCAGGAAGTGGAGAAAAAAATCCATATACTGGCGGAAGGCCGAACCAAGTTGTCCATAGTATATATACAGTCAATGATTGCAGCCAAACAAAGGTATAACTTAAAATACAACTTCAGTTTGGAATTAACACCCTAACTTAATACACAGCTTATGCATGGCTGGTGCAACAGGCCTCTTAATCATGAAGGCAGAGCCCTTTCTGCCTCTGTTTAACTCAAGCTAATTTTACTCTTAGTTATTCCATATGCCGTAAGTTTCCTGTATCTGATCTCAGTCTTTTGTCAGTACGAAGATGGTTTCCAGTCACTCTCCCCTGCATTTTCTCCTTTAATGAATCTAAACTTGTAGTGTAATCCCTCTGATTAAGGTCAGTCTTTATCTGCCTGTTTCTGATCATTTGCTCAGTGCTCATAAAAGCAAAATCTGCAAAGAAAACATGGTTTATATTTTGACTAAAGGAAAACATTTGGGTGAGCGCCTGTGATTATAATTACTGAGTGACATTTAGGTATCAGCTATGTTTCTTACATCATTCTTGTGATTAGATTTCCTCCAAGAAAAATAAAAACAGACTTTGTTCTTACTGGCAGGCAAAACCATTGTTTTGACAACTGACCTAAACCCACATCAGGACAGATCACATATTAAAATTCAATGTCAAACATAATAAAGCAGGGGGCATGAAGTCATCGTGAGAATAAGCGCTAAATATTATCAGCAATAAAACCTTATTTTAACAAGGGGGACTTTCCCACAGTTTTACAGCCCCATTGCTGTTAACTTTCAGAGGGTCAAAGAACTTTCCAGACTAAAAAGCAGATATAAAAGCACCGCCACTTCATGCCTACAGGGTTTCAGCCTCATGCTGTGTTTAACCAAAGAAAAATTTGCATTAAAATCAGAAATCCAACGATATCCATTTCCTTTTACTAATTATTGCTTTTCTTTGGTCCTTATTGCAATAGAGTTTTGAAGACATGAAGGTCCATCAACTCCGGCCGAGTTTACAGAGGGCAAGAGGGCAGCCACATGAGTGGTGCAGTCCTCCCTTGAAATCTGACCCCATCTACCCCAAGGGCCTCACCAAAATCTCAAATCATGATTGGCTATTTGCCATGTTTAAGCCAGAACTGATTATTGAATCAGCCATTTGGACAATGCTACAACAGACTGTAGTTACTTAACCATCAAATATTGCACATTTACTTTTAATTAATTAATTAATTATTTAAAGGTGGGTTTTAATTAGGCCTAATTAGTACATTTGTATTTTTTTCTCTTTTAAAATTCAAATTCGTTCTAGAACTTTGGAGGTGTCATTGATCTCACTGTTACACTTTGGAATGAAGTGATGTCATAGAAGATCTTTGCTGAAGAAAACATATGAATATAGTCATTTCAGTCCAGCCACCAGAGCAAGACAGAGAGAGACACAGCAAACCAGAGTGTTCATACGTACTGTTGGTATCGAGAGAAGCGTGAAGAGATCGCCAAAATAGGCATAAATAAGATGGGAAACAACAACATCTCATGTGGAGCTACAAAGCTTGATGACCAGGAGGCTGCAGTCCTCTACGCTCAAAACAAGCCGTCAGAAATGGAAGGAAAGGAAAGAGAGCAGGCAGTCAGACACAAAAAAAACGCTCCTACTCCGCTGAGAGAGATGTTTAAAGAGCAAACTCAGCAGGAACAGCCTGCAGAGACTCAAGAACAGCCCATTATTGTACCCAAGGACTCACTGCTTACAGTGATTGCTGGTCTGCAGCAGACCAATGATGGCAAAGCCATGAGCAAGCTTGATATCTACCTTCGGGAGACCAAACAGGCTCTAATTCAGATCCCAGAGCTTGAGTTTCAAAGGCTTGCAGGTAAAGGGGAGCAGGTGTCAAAACTTGAGAAGGAAAAGGTCGGCTGGCTTGCAGAGATAAAGTTGTTAAACGAACAGCTGAAAACACAGGAAGCCAAGGCAGAATCTGAAAAGGCTCTTCTACTTGTTGAAGAGTCAACTAAGCAGGACAAGCTGGAGGCTCTATCCCAGGCTGTCTTGGACCTACAGAACAAGACATGCTCATGGGCAAAGGAGAAGTCTCTTCTCCTTGAAGAGATCACCAAACTCAAAGCTGAACTCAGGCAAGCGCATTTGGAAATGGAGATCCAGAGTGGTCTGTTGGCTGAGAATAGGTCCCATCTCCCAGATGAGGTGATAACAGAGATCAGTACCGTTGTGGCGGCACTGAACGAGGCTTAAGAAGAACCTGGAATCAATAACAACTAGGTGGAGGAGGAAGGGTCCCATCCTGTTTCCGAGCAAGAGGAAAACATGAAGTTGAAGGCTGCCCTGCACCAAGTCCAAGAGGACCTGGAGAAGCAAAGGCAGCAGTGGGAAGAGGAAAGGCAGCAGTGGGAAGAGGAAAGGCTTTTTCTCCGGGAAGAGCACAAAGAGACAACCAGCGGGCTGCAGGCTGCTTTGCGCCAAGCCCAAGAAGCACAATTAAATTTAATTTTTTATATTGTTATATATATATCGATATCGACTGATATGAAAAAATATATATCGTGATAAACTTTTCCCCATATCGCCCAGCCCTACCCCTAACCCTAAGCAGGGAGTGTTGTCTGATGAAGTGAACGAAACCACATCATCTGCAAGAGGAGTGATTGTGAGCATGCTAAAGTGATAATATATACGAATCATCGGGCCATAGAGACACCTCTGGATAGAGGGACTGATACCTATTTGCCCACATGTTTAAATGTCAGCTTTATAAAAAGCACAAAATTGTATCATTGAACTTACCATTTGACATGAATTTGACTCAGAGGCAGGTTTTTATTTTATGTCTATCTCAGACTCAGCTCCAGACTCTTCAGGGAATTATTTGTCAAAGCTCCATTTTAGTCATTATGTGTTTGAGGAGGTCATGTATGAATGAACAGAGATGTGCCATGTCAAAGTCTCAGCTTTACATAACTCGATCATTCTGCCAGTGAACTTTACCCCCTGCATTATGAAGTTTCATTCCCCTCTAAAATCCCTTATGGGACATACGTTAGAGCGCATGGGAAAAATCCACAGCTAATATTTCACAGAGTAATGTACTAACCAGTGTTGTGGGCCTGCAGCCAGTCTCACATTTTTAACATTTCCTTGAAACCCTCAGTGGTTTTTATCTGATGGCAGGGTATATCCATCAGTGTTTCACACCGGTCCATGTGGAAGCATTGGGATCTGTGAAGGAAATCCACACTTGGGCGGACAGGCATGTTGTCAGAGACAGCTGGAGCTCATTTTTTTTAACCTCAGGAAAGGTCTGGGGTCTTTGGGTTGACTGTCCCAGGTTTGCAGGCATGTTGGGTTTCATGTCATAGTGGTATCTCACAGAAAACATGTTGAGTGACCCTTTTCTTTACCTCAGATTCATCAGCTACCTGCAGCCACAGCATGTTATCTTTAGCTTATATGAATTGGCCGGTGCAAAAACTGATTGGCATGTGGTGCATCATAACTCTTAAAAGTCTTTGGGTAAATTTCCACAAGCTATTCCACTGTAAGTAAGGTATAATCGCAAAAATTCTTTGATTGATTTCTTTCCATTTTGCTTTCCCTTTTCTTCCCTTTTGGGCTGCACACAGCCAGAAACCCTTTTCTTTAACTCATACACAAACAGTGGAATATGCTAGGTCTAGGAGACTTATGAGCTGCTGGCATGGCCAAAGAGCACGCCAGAATTTCCTCTCATTTGACTTATCCAAAGGTAATCTAGGATCTAAAACAGCAGATCTGTCTGGAGCTACGTCATACTGTAACTTGTTTAAAAGTCAGATTTGATTTTTGTGGCTTTTTCATGCCTTTGTTTTTGAGAATAGGACATTGGATAATAGATAATGAGTAAATAGAGCAAGGAGTAAGATGCAGAAAGGCTGCAGGCTGGAATCAAACTCAGGCCACCTGTGTGAGGCATAACCTGTGTTTGGGCTGCTAGGTCAGCAGCACCCCATCTTTAATATTTTTAATGTCTTCAAAATGAGCCTTTGTAGACCTTATGCTGCGTTCGAGTTACCTCAGAAGTCAGATGTCCGAGCTGGGAATGACGATGAAGTAACCAGCCCAGAGTCGGAAAAATGCAAAAGCGGAAGCGGAAAGAACATGGCTACATCTACTAAAGTTATTTTAGCGCTTGCCTTGTCCTTGCTTATTTTCGGACAATGCAAGCGCTAAAATAACTTCCGTAGATGTAGCCATCTTGTTTCTGCCTCTGATTTTGCTTTTTTCCGACTTGGTAACTGAAACGTTGGTAACTCGGGTGTGACGTCATTCCCAGCTCAAACTTCTGACTTCCGAGGTAACTGGAACACAACATTATTCCAATTTGGTTTCATTGCAACAGTAGTGTAAGATAAAATCCTGTTGAAACATTTTTATCTGTATCTTGATGCATTCAATATGTCACAGCCAATCATGTTTGTACAAAAATGCATTTAATTTAATCTTCTTAGTGTTTTACCTTGTTAAAACTAAAATGAACCTGGATACTTTCCTCCTTTTTCCACAGCTGCTGTGCTCTGCAGTGCAGAAGGCTCTCTTTGAGGAAGAGGAGAGGGTCAGGACACTTTCCCAACAGGTTCGTTCCTTGGAAAAAGCCAATGACCACCTGAGGGAAAAGGTGAAGACCATGAAACGTCTGCTACGCCAGGCCCAGCGAGAAACAACCAAGGAGCAAAATACCATTGGCCTCAAACAGCTCTTTGAATCAAAGGGGCCTCAAACTCACCACGATCAGGAAACTACTCAGGACAGGAAGAAGGCACCCCTGAAAAAAGTCCTCTCAAGGAATCTAAAAAACTAGACTTTTTCTTTTAACTTGCACGTTAACCAAATTTTTGTCCACATGAGGCATCAACAACAGAGAAAACAGTCAGGATTAGACATGAGAAAGGAGGAAGAGACAGAGAGCAGCAGCAATAAATCGGAATCAGAGTCCTCTTATTTGACCAGTGCACACATGCACTATTAACTCTAAAGAAGATCCACATTTAACAGCAAAAAATCACATTCAAGTTAATTATTGAACAACAAAATGCTTAAATGTGTCTCTGCAGAGGTTGCGATTTCAGTTCACCCTTCTCACAACAGCACACTGAGCAGGTACACAAGTTGTGCGAGAACAACTGCTGATTGAACACTAACTGATCTCAGATGCTGTCTTTATTTGGTGGTGAAAAACTTAAATTAACCAGATGTATTCAAATTCCCTTCAGGCATTCCTGAGATATTGTGTCAGAAGAGTAGAATCAAGTTTTCCTCTGGTATGATCATCAGGTCATTGTAGTATACTGTCCTAAGTGTGTAAATTCTTCGATATGGCCAAAGAGATATTGGCTTTGGTCTTTAACCTTTGACCTTCAAATTGTAATCAGTGCATCATTTACCCTTTTTTACATTGAGAGTCTTCCTCTGTGCTGTAACGAAGCTTGACATTGAACCACACAGCAGTATATTCCCTCTGTGTGTGTGTGCGTGTGTGTGTGTGCGCGCGCTTGTACACTGCAGTGCAGAATCCCGAGAGGCCAAACTGTAAACACACAGCGTAAGTTTCTCATACACTCACCCTCAGGCACCAGGGGCGTGTCAAGAGGAGGGGCAGGGGTGGCATGGGTCTACCTTGAAATCTAACTGGACACCTCAAAATCCTGGCCTGTCAGCGATTGGCTGTTTGTCATGTGAGGGCCGACATTTTGTTGGTCCAACAAAAGATGATTGTGCACTGATAAAATTGACCTGTGCCACTGAGATAGTGAGCGAGAAAGAGACTATTCATGCCCCTTTACATTCAAATCCCTGTACTCTGTATGTGTGTGCGTGTGTTTGTGTGAGTGTATTGTGAGAGGAGGGCTTTCCCTTGACCTATTTGGCATCCCCAGATGAACCTAAGGGAGGGATTAGCTGCCTTTAGTCTCAAGAGATTCAAAGTTTCACAAGAGAAAGAGATCTGCATCTAAAGCTCCTTTTCATTCAATGTGATCAGCCTCTCTGAATAACTGTCCCTGTCCCCTGTCTCAGCCCCCATGTTTACCTTTTACTGTTAGTTGAAAATATCCTCCAAGCAATCAACTTTAAACAGAGCTCACAGTTTCACAGTATGTGGACAATGTTAAAGCAGATCTTATGTTTCGTCTGTGCTGGACACACTATGCATTCTATGAATATTTGCAACATTTCTTACTTCTGAAGAGCTATCTTTGAAATGCCACCGATCAACCAGTTTGTCAAGAGTTCACAGCAGGAAAGGGGGGAATAAAGAGGTTTTTAAAGAAACAGTGAGCAGCTAATAATGAAAATGAGTGTTAAAGTGAGAGCAAGAGAGGTGAAAATTAAGATTTTGTGTGTGGCACAACAACATGCTCAGACACAGTTTACAGTGTTTGTTCTTTTTTTTACATCATATTATATTTTTCTATCTTTACCTGCTTTTTAATGAACTGTTCAGCTATTTATATACAAGATTTGTCAGCTGTTTTGAAAATATGCATAGTTACTCCTTTATTCAAGTCTATTCATACAAACTGGGAGTGAAGAAAGTGAAAAAAGTTGTATTTAACAAGGGGTGCTGAGCACCCAGTATTGGCTTTGTATCAGAAATGAAAAACCAAAGTTTACTTTTGTCAAACTTTTGGTATTTTTTGTTGTTGTTGTCATTATCCAGCTTTCTTTAAACCATTATCATTTGGTTTGCTTTTCCAATAGAGTAATCAACTGTGTAACTGTTTATGTAGTTTTTACATGTAATATTGATTAAAAAAATGTACAAAAATACTTCTCAGGTCATCGCTTTTCTTGATTTGTCTCAGTGATGCACATGTACCATAGGCTACTTTTTTGTTGGAATTTGAAAGGAAGAGAAAAGAAAGAAAATGACAGACATGACATTTATACAGAAAACATAAACAATGATTAAAAAAACAACAGAATAAAATATGCAGCATCAAAATTCCCTTTGTTACAGTCAAAGGTATGAAACTGTTAAGCAGACACAAATTGCAAATGTTAATTTTGGAGACTGCGTGAGTTGAGGACTGCTGTTTTAACACTTACGTCTTTTCCTCATTAACTTTGCAGACAATCAGCAACTTCAGTTTACAATTTCAACAAGTTGTCTTTCATTACTACGCATAATTGCAGCATCATTCAAAGTTCCACATAAACTTCATCTGCTAAATCCATATTTCACAGTTTGAGCCAAGCTGCAGAAAAAAAGTGTCTACTGAGAGCGCAGTAATGCAGAAAGATAATGAATTCAAGAGAAAGTCTCAAACCTCAGTTGTTCTGTTTCCTGCTTTCCATGAATCCAAGTCAGAAATGATGAATGTTTTTTGGCATGCACAGTATGTGTTTTGTGTGATTCAATGCAAATAAATCAAGGATGTTCAAAGGGCTGGTGCGAATTCAAAAGCAACATAATTCACCTCTTTCTTCACCTTTTCTGCACTTCACCTCCAGTGCACTTTCAATAGAAGTGCACCACTTCAGATGTGAAGCCATTTTCAACATAACTCCCCGTGGACTTGGATCTAATTTCTTCCACATGGTGCCACAGCTTAAAAGAACGGACACATTTCAAACATGTTCAGTGTCAGATGCTCTAATGCAGGATTTAAAGCAGATATTTACGAGCTCCCTTCAAGCATATCCACTGACAAGAGATGTTCATCTTCTGTCCTTGCTAACTCTTCCTTTTCCCCCTATGAAAACTTTATATCAGACATCGTTGCCTGCAGCCAACTGTCAAAACCTCATGGACAGGGGCCAAAGATGATATACACACACTGCTTTCTTAACATGAACCACTGGGCATCGCCAAGCTGCAAAACAGATGTCAGGCAATACGACTGCATAGTGGTGGTCTTTTCTGGAAGAGCTGCCTATCTGTGGACGGGGTTTATTTATCTTGACTTGTTCGGTGTTTTCAAATGTTGTTACTTTTTTGGCTGTGTGTGTGTGTGTGTGTGTGTGTGTGTGTTAGAGAGAAAGAAATCATGCAGCATCTGACTGTGATTGCTACTCAATCTGCATCTAATTGTTAAGGAGCAACAAACAGTTTTTCACTCTGTCCATCATCCCTCGCCCTTGAAATCTACAAGAAAAGTGTCTAACTTCAAGTTTTCACTCCTGCCTCTTCATTCAGATTTTCTGTCAGTAATCACCTGTATCTGCATTTAAAGAGCCAGCGTTTCTCTCATAAAGAGAATAGGTTTTATACCCCTTCTAGCCGCCCTTATAACTGTAAAACAATTCAAGAAGTGACCAGCTGTTTTAGATAAATGCTGGCATGCAAATGTTACACTGTGACTGATTGCACCTAACCTTTTTAGTTTGTTGCCAGTTGTGATTTTGGTCAAATTTAAAGAGATATTCTGGTGTAAAATTAAGTTAGGGTCAAACACACCGTAACACCGAGTGAGACACCCCCTCAAGAGATGAATGTTGCTGACTGCTTGCTTCTCTAGTTATACCAACTTTGGTAACGACCGCACAATAGCAATAGTAGGTAGCAGTACATATAGGGTCCCAGCCATAGCACTAGCAGCCAAACATCTTTTTCACTTTGCCTAATTTCTTTAGCAAGGAGACTAAACACAACTCACCTTCTCTCTTCCAGCAGCCGCTTGTTTGTATGAAGACCTCAGGCAAGTCCATTACAGACTGCTGTGGAGTGACGCAGCTCAAGGAAGAACATTTATGATCATTACTTCATTATTTCCTTGAAGTAATAATCACCATGTTAATCATTTTGCACTGCAGACGCGGTGGTTCTTCTGCCTAAGCGTTTTGATGTGATTGCATTTCCATGAAGAAATGATCATAAATGTTCTTCCTTGGACCCTATACGTATGTACTGTTGATGAAGTTAGGTGCTGTTCTGAGCATTATTTGTGGCTATAGAGTGGCGTTTTGGTTGAGGTTTGTTTATGGCTCCTCAGACCGCTGTGTATTGCTATCGTGCGGTCATTAATAAAGTTAGTATAATTGGAGAAGCAAGGCGTCTGCAACATTTTTCTCTCTAGGGGTTGTCTAACTCTGTTCCAGTGCGTTTGGTCCTAAATTAATTTACATCGGAATATCCCTTTAATTCTGTTAAATGTTATTCTCCATTTTGTATTGTTAATGTGTCAACAACAGCTGTGCTTCCATTCAGGGGCTGAATCCTCTGAAGGGGGGATTGAAGACCCATTGTGTCACAGCTGTGCGTTGAAGGCATCTTCAAATGCAGCCAAAAAAGTGTGTCCATCTTTTCCCAGGATACAAAGCACACTGTTCCAAACAAGAAGACTAAGATTGATGCATCTTTAAGTGGTAAGTTATTGGTTTCAACTCAATCGACAAGCTGGTTTTATGATTGTAAAAGTTCAAAAGTGGAATCAACAATTCAGAAATTCTTTTAAAACATAAGTAACAACAGTTAGCTCAGCTATCATGGGACAGGAAAGGAAAGGGCAAGAATCAGGAAATTCTCCCTAGACCAGACCATCTCATTTATCATTTCTACCTAGATGGATAAAAGGGGCTCTATTTTCATGCCTCGCCGGCGACGCGGCGCATGCGTGGCGTAAGTCAGGTCCGCTGCGCATCATTCATTCGCTTACACAGTCACACCTTGGTGGTGGTAAACTACCTTAGTAGTCACAGCTGCCTGAAACTGGCAGACTGACGGAAACATGGTGCCTAAGGCCTCTCCGAGCACCACCACACAACACTCACATTCATACACCAGCAGAGGACACACACTGGGAGCAAAGTGGGTTAAGTGTCCTGCCCAAGTACACAACAGACAGACTCGGGATAGGGGGGGATCGACCCGCCAACCTTCTGGTTATTGGACATCCGCTCTACCTCCTGAGCTACCGCTGCCCCAAAATCACCAAAGTCAGTAACATTTACTAGAACTTGAACATGTGCAAAATGTGCCTGTAATACAGCCAGCTTTTGTTTGTACAGTTCAGTTCAATAAAATAAGTAAATAATGAAATACTGATGCAAAGTAGCAGGATGCTGCTAGTAAGGCTAGTGATGAGAACAGAGAGGAGGCTCATAACATCTGTGATTCAGTGCTGATCGTGTCAGAGGTGTTATGATGTGTTGCACTTTCTGTCTCTACGTCTGCACCTTCTTTATAACTCCATCATTTAGATTCCTGCTCAACAAGTGAAGGTATTTGGCACCTCTGTGAACATGGCTTTGATTTCAGTGGAAACATTTCCTCATCTTCTTCATACATTAGAGCAGCTGTACTCTGGCTAGAGAGGTGATTTTTCATTGTTGCCTGTCTACGTCTGGTTCAATAAAGATGACTGATGTGTGTGTTCGCCCTCAGAGACCTGTGCAGTTCCAGTCTGACTAGAATCGAAATACCGTGCGTTCTGCCTCAGCCATGTACTGGAAGCTCTCTCGAGTCTTCAGGGAGACTCAAAGGAGGGAAACGCAGCATAAGTATCTCGGTGAGCCAAAAAGAGTGAGCTCAGTGTTTTACTTCTAGTCTACAAAAACGACTGTAGCACCAGATTAAATTCCACGGACCAGTTATGGCGAGCAAGCAAGGTTAACTCTTGAGAATTTGGATTTCACTGTTGGTCTTGCACTCAGGGAAATTATTTCTCATGTCCACACGGCTCTTGACCAAAGACCAGAGCACACAAACTTTCTGTTGGGCTGGAAACCATTTTAAAAGCTAAAAAAAAAAAGCATGCATGCACCAGGATGTGTCCCTCTTTATTTTAGAGTAATAGCTTGAATGCCAAAATTAAAACTGAGGTGGTCTTTTGTTATTCCTTTCTTATTTTGATGAAGTCTGCAAAAAAAGCAGTAAGAGTTTGACCAAGTGTTGAATGTGTTTTTTGTTAGTGCTGCCAGGCTGTTTGGATTTATGTTGCTATATTTTCCATCCCACATGTTTACAACATTTTGGAGTCATTGTAAGTGATCTGAAGTGTTTCTGTGTTTCATTCAGGATGGCATGTGAAGTTTTCGCGTTGTTGGAAGGAAAAGTACGCTGTGGGTTGAATGTTGTTGGCAGACCCATTAGATATATGATGGATGCTACAGCTTCTTTCAAATAATCTGATGAACTCATGTCTGCATAGCACGTTTCAGTTACCAATGGGGGGACTTCATGGTCCCCAGAGACTTATATGATCTTTACTGCCCATTTTATTGACAATGAGTGGGAAAACACCCCTAAATGCTGCAAACTGGCCTAATGTGTAGGACTTACACCATACTCATGAGGCAAAAGTTTGCTGAAAGCTACAGAGACATTGACATCCTAGTAGATATGACTTTAACCCATAAAGGTATAACTAAACATATGTAAGAAAAACATTTATCTTATTAAGTTTGAGCTTAAAACGTGAACAGCCTTTCACCCAGAAACTGCAAAGGTTTGTCCAAGCACTAAAATGTGTATTTCTTTTCAGATGTGCCTTCATATCCCATTGTATCATATGGTATCATATGGTACCGTATTACATCATATTGTGTTGTGTGGTATCACATCACATCCCACTGCATTATATTGTATCATACTGATATAATCCCATCATTTTTCATTATTGCATACTACCGTATTTTATTGTATCGTGTCATGTCATTTTGTATCATATTGTATCATATTTACTGTGTTGTGTCGTATCGTATCGTATCATATGTGTCATATCTAGTGGTTTCATATTGTATCGTATCATATTTATCGTATCGTATTGTATCATATTTATCGTATCGTGTCGTATTGTATCATATTTATCGTATCATATTGTGTCGTATTTATCGTGTCGTATTGTATTTTATTTATCATATCGTGTCATGTCTTGTCGTATCGTATCATATCGTATTGTATCATATCTAGTGGTTTCATATTGTATCATATCATATTTATCGTTTCATGTTGTATCGTGTCGTGTCGTATTGCGCCGTATTGTATTTTATTTATCGTATTGTGTTGTGTCTTGTCGTATTGTATCGTACCGTATCGTGTCGTATTGTATCGTATTGTATCGTATTGTATCGTATCATGTCATGTGGTATTGTATGGTGTGGTTTAGTATCCTATCCATATAATATCATACTGTGGGTCACCTTTCATTTACCACCCCTAGTTCATGAGCTACAGTATAACAATGAGTGTTTTTTTTTTCTTTTTATAGAAGCATCTTTTAAAAGGCCTTTCAAAAGAGCAGGTATAGACAAAACTTATTGTTTGATTTATTACAAAGACTCAACCTTAAAGGTCCCATGGCATGCCAATTTCACACAACTTAAAATAGTCCCCTGGTGTGTTAAAAGCATGTCTGTGACGTCCTTCGGTCAAAATTCGATTTGGATCAATTATTTTAGTGCTCTTTTTATAAGCTAAAAACAGCTCCGCTCAAAATCCTCCGTTTTGGGCCATTTCTCTTTAATGAAATGAGCTGCACCTAAGCCACGTCTACTTTACACCCATCTCTCTGGAAGGGGCTGTGGCTGTGCTCCGATAGCCATGTGCTAATGTTTACACTGGCTCGGTCATGGCTGCAAGAAGATCGCTCGTACAACCCTACCAGTTTGAGCCAGAGTCTGACCCAGAGGGAGAGGCTCCGGAAGAAACTCTTAGCCGCGTTCAGACCAAACGCGACTTGAAGCGACCTAGTCGACACATCCTTTGTATTATTCAAAGCCGCCAGGAGGGTCACGCTTAAGGAGCAAGATTTTGGTGCTCTAAAACTTCTCTGAAGCCTTTGCTAATAAATTAGATGGCCGACCGTCCAGCATTAGCCGGGACGTCCCGTATTTGAGCCAAAAGAGGCGCGTCGCCGCATGGGTAAATGCTAAAGCTACATGCTGCTCCGGAGGAGGATTTTGTCCCCAGCCGGCGGAGCTGTCGGGGAAGAAGCGAGCGGCTAAAATACGGGAGGATCCGGTAAACCGGCGCGGATCCGGTGTGTTTATCAAAGCGTGGTGGCCGTGCTGAGGCACCGGGGGGGGATTTACTAAATCCGATTTAGTCTAAACAGTAAGTCAAAATAAAACGTTCACACTTACAGATGCCACGTTTGTAGTAGGATCACGGATAGTTGGTAGGGATCCATTCTTTATCTTCAGACATCTAGCAAATCCAGCGTTGAACTGTCCCTCGTTGATAAAACAGTCCGAAGTGAAATGGTGCGCACATACGTACAGATATTTTGGAAGTGCCGCGGGTACATTCCCATTATACATAAAATCCACCCATTGAGTCCTCAAATGCTCCGACGAGGGAGTTTTCAAAAGAGTTTTGTGCTCGTTTGTGCAGCCAACAACAGAGCAAACGCTGCCTCTTTTTCAGATCGTACTTCCGCCATGGTTCCAACCGGAGCAATGCGAGCGAGCGGCCGGAAGTAATGGCGCTGTTTTGATAATTTTTTGGGCAGGTGAGTGGGCGGCTCCATGGGCAGTACCATCAACCAGAGCAGTGGATTAAAACTTTAATGTTTGTTTAATCCACTGCTCTGCCATCAACCCGCCAGCACTGACATGACGTCATGTCAGTGGAGTTTTCAGAACGGCTCTGAACAAACAGTTCCAAAATACAGAGATAACTAAAAAACGACTGGATGGAATTTTTTCAAACTTGGGGGGATTGTAGCGGTTTTCTATCCCTGATATGCACCCCCTCCCGTTAACAAAGTCCGTTTTTCATGCCATGGCCTCTTTAAATTCGACATATTTGACTCATCTCGTCCAGCATGAGTAAAGCAATCATTTTTTAACATTTGTTTTATATAACTACAATTTTATAACTTAAGTGAACTACGACATCTATATGAAAGCCACCAATAACAGATTTATGTCACTCTCTTAATTTTCAACCAAAAAGGTACACAGACCAAAAACAGAACTGAACTGAAGTTTGATTTGTTTTAAATTCCGTCCATTTGACATGAGTCACAGGGCGTGTTGGAATAGGTTTTATTTGCATGTCTTTCAACAACACTGTTTGCACCTTGGCAAAAACTGAGCACTCTGTTTAAACATTATTACTTTTCTGCCTGATTGAGAAAAGGCTTCCAAATGCACAAATGTGTGTGTGTGTGTGTGTGTGTGTGTGTGTGTGTGTGTGTGTGTGTGTGTGTGTGTGTGTGTGTGTGTGTGTGTGTGTGTGTGTGTGTGTGTGTGTGTGTGTGTGTGATCTTAGTGGTTGCATTGTCTGGTTTGGTAAAAAATGGAAAGGATGAACCCGAATATGGATTTGGTCAGTGGTAAAACTACAAGATGTTATTAGTCATATTTCTCAAAGAATCCCAGTTTCCAAAAACGTTTACGGGCCAGAACATTCAGGACACATTTTATTCTTTATGTAGTCAAAGGGGAAAACCGCTCTAGCAAAAGTGAAGAGGGACATTCAATAGTTTTTCAATCATGAGAGGAGCTCTACTGTAGAGCTGATGACCTGCTCAGGGAGCATGAATGACTGAATAAAACTGGGTTATTTGGATGTCCTCCATACTGACTCACACATTTCAAACATTTCACACATTTCTCTGCCGGCGACTTTGAACTCAATGCGACCTCAGACAACCCAGAATTCCTCTCTGTATCCTGTCTGATGCCTCCTTTGATCCATTGTCCCCACAAAATCTTTCAGATCCCATTCTAGATGTGCAAAGGTGTGGAAACACAGCTCTTTCATGATTTTCCTCTCCATCTATCCTGCTCTTTCCTCACAGTGCATTCCCTTTTCATCTTCTGTGGTCTTGGACTGTGTCATCTCATGCACAGACACTGGGTTAACTCCCAGTGTGCACCATGAATTACCAACGTCAGTAACATGGATGTCAAGTTTCTGGCTACGTTTGACCCTAATTGTAGGCTGAATTTTCCGAAAAGTGGAAAATTAGTGGCTCTTTGGATGCTGCCAGATACTCTTCATCCTGCTCTCCATCCTGTTTATTATTACCAACTGTGGTTTTCTCAGTCATGCAGAGCTTCGGGGGTCTGAAACCTTTCAATTGCTTTGGGTTTGGGAGCTACAGAGTGTTTTGCCTGATTTCCAAGAAGTCTGAGCATTCAGTCCATGTTTTTAAAAAGAAATCTCAAACTCAAATCCTAAACTTTGGAGGGAAGACTTTCTTAACCTTTCTCACACTCATATCTGCTCAGAAAGAGTCATTCACACCCTGAGACTTGCTCGCAAACTACACTTTAGTCATCTGTCAGAGCATTAAGAGCAGGGTGATGTCACTGTTTAGCTCAATCTCTCACCCTCCGCTGCTCCCCGGCACCTCAGGGACTTTGACTTTCTTAAACTCAAACAAGCTGCTCTTTTCCTCTTCAAACAATGTGAGGTCTGAGGAGAACTAGAACTGGAAAATCTTTTTCAGTCAGTGATGTTTGTCTGTTTTTCCGCAGTTTGGTCCAAAGAAAACATTTGGCCATGATCTTCTGAGCTATCTGACGCTGCATCCAAAACAAGGATACAAGGAAAAGATCCAAGTGATTAAGCATGGAGGGAAATATGAGTGAGTGTGTATGCATGTGGTACACTGCTCATAAAGCCAGTTTAAATCTATCCAAACAGCTTTGTTAATGTAAGTTAAGCTCCCAGGCAGCATGCCACGGTGTGCATGTGTGCAGGCCTGCTCAATGCAGAGAGAGTGAGAGAGAGAGAGAGGGAGAGAGTTCAGTCTTGAAGTATGAGAAAATCCTTTGATTTCCCACCTTGACCTTTTTCTCTGTCAGCATGCACATATCTTCATCATATACTCCTACCTGCAGCCTACAGGACCTGTGACAGTCAAGCGGATGATAGGATTAATTTTTGGATGTAATTATTTGTAGAGAAACAAAAAGCTTGGGGTGTCGTTAAACTGCTGTTACCTCTGTGTGCGTGTCTGTGTGTGTCTCTGTGTGTGTAAAAATGTTAGTGATATATGCGACTCAGTTCAGCAACAGGTCAGGGGAGTTACTGAATAGATTCAGCTGCAAATGCTGAAGTAATAAGTGGTCAAGTAAACATTCTTGCTTCAATGCTACAAAGCACGTTTCTGCTCTACATTAACCCTTGACTCTTGGAAAAACATTGTAAAAAGTATTCATTTATTATTTGACATTCCTTATTCGCCATTTTTCCATGCATAATTTGACATGAAATGCCACAATTATGTAAGGCACTCAGCAATTACAACCATGTGTCCAACCATGCACTAATGACCCACATGTTGCGCTTAAGTGCTGCATAACGTACACCAGGAAGAAAAGTAAAGCAGCCAGTGAGTCTTTTGCAGGCATCAGTTACATTTTCCTTCTCGATCATAAAGTAAAATAATAAAGCTGTTCATGAGACCATTTTTCAAACAATAGGGTTGAACTTACAGATCTCACTAAACCATAGCGGATGAATTTAGTGGACCAATAAAGAATAATCTGATTCTTGAATTCCCTTAGTGCATGCCATAATTTTTCAATTCATAGAAAAAATGCAAAGAGAATGGAAAATGAGTAAGAAAGTCAAACAACGAGTGAAAACTCTCTGTATGTATGTATGAAAGCATGTCTGTTGAAGTACGAAATGGATATAACAGGCACATGAAAACCTCCCTGAGGGCACTGACAGACAGACGCACAATAGATTTCTGGTGACAGACATGAGGGTAGGCTCTGTGCTTGCTCTTTAATGCACACACAGCACAATTTAATACAAACCTTAACTCAACACATGGATATAAGGTTAAACAGGTCACCTTGAATAACAAAGGCCATCATAAGCTTGACATGCAGTATCTTTTCATTTATCTTGATTGTTACTGGAGCATATCTTTGCGTCGGGTCACCTTGGGTGGGAGTGAGTTGTTTTGGGATTACAAGATTGCAAAGATGATCTGGAAAATACTGGAGATCAATGACATGTTAAACTAGCACAGAGGCGGTAAAGCCCAACGGTCACAGACTGAAATGTTTGACATTTCAGACTTTTGGGTGGAATGACTTGCCTCACGTTCTAAAAAGGTTAAAACATGGAGTAAAATGCTGGTTTGCAACCCAGGACTTTCTTGCTGTGAGATGATAGTGCTAACCACTACACCACTGTGCCACCCATCTACACCACTGTACCACCCATTAGAGAGATTAACTGCTCTGTGAAAAAGTTTCAAGGATTTATTCATGGGCCTTTTTTGGCCTTTATTTTGAGAGGACCCTTGCTGTCCATGTTAATAGGGTGCAGCTAGACCACTAGGCCAGCAGTGCTGCAATATTTGCTTATATTTAATTTCATTTTTTTAAAACTGTGAACAACAAAACACTGAAATTGTTTTGTAATATTAAAAATACACGTCTATCACCTAAAAGTAAACCTCCCAGCTAATAAGATTAATTTGTTACAGGTCAGTTACATGGCTAGCTGAGTCTGTCATTAGAAAGATGCGACGAATATCCCAAAGCCAAAAACCAATACTGGATTGTTATGATCTTAATGTCCTCAGGAGGCACTGCAAGAAAAAAAAGACCAGACTCTGTAGTGAAAATCACTGCATGGGCTCAAAATCTCCTCCAAAAACCAGTATCTGTGAACGCAGCTCATTGCTGCATTCACAAATTAAGGTTAAAACAGGACCATACAAAGAAGAAACTTATATTAACATGATCTGGAAAAACCTTCTACTTGTCTGGGCCTGAACCCATTTAAGATGGACTGAGAAACAGTAAACAAACTGTTCTAATCTGATGAATGGATATTTAATATTCCTTATGGACATCATCTGCTAAAAGAGGAGAGAAACTACCTGTCTAACAAAAGTTAACACCTATGATGTTATGAGGATGCATCAGTGTCTAAAGCATGAGGAGCGTACTCATCTGGGAAGGCACAATTAATACTGACATGTGTGCACAGATTTTAAAGCAACATACACATAAACATTGTATATTTCAGCAACAACAGACCAAACCACATTTTGCATGCATGACAGCAACATGACTTCATGGTAAAAGAGTCTGGGTGCTAAACTGGCCTGCTGTTGTCTTGACCCACTATTCATTGAAAACATCTGCAGGATAAAAAACAAAACAAAAACATGACAGAGGAATTGTAAATGTATCTGAATTTCATTGCCTTTAATCCACACAAAGTTACATTTTTACTCTTTTTATCTGAGGTGATTTCTATTTTTCCCATAGACTAAAAGCTGCACGCCATATTAGCCTCAGGTTTGCTTCTTGAGAATTTCAGCATGGGAACATGCCAAACTTCTGCGGTAAACCTGCATGAATATACTTGTTTGAGAATAGTCCACCTGAAAACATGAATTTATTAATGTTACCACCCTGTTTCATTGCTGTTTTCAGTCATCTACCAATGCTATCTGAACTGCAAGCATAGTAGATGAACCAGTTAGTGCATTTTGTGCTTTGTCATAAAAGTAACATTTTGAACAGTAGACTATCTGTTTTGAATATACTGCAAGAGTTTAACCTCTCTATCAATCAGAAGATTCATGAAGTAGTTTATCTAGGCTATTATCCTTGTTTATAGCCAGCTTTCAAAACAAGTGTGCTGATGATTTAGAGTCTTGCTGGTGTGACTCAAACCACTAAATAAGTGTGTGCAGACTTCCAGATCAGCCCTTCTATTTCATGTTTCCTCAGAGGTTTCGATTTCTGACACTGCCTATTTAAACCATCATGCAAACAATAAAGTTGAATCACTCACTCCTGTGTTCACTTTTGGCTCATCGCTGCATCGAGTCTCTATTTCACATTCCATGCAAGCAAGGGCAACAACATGCAGGGAGACACATGTGGAATAAACACAATATCAGTTACAGTGATTCTTATTTGATATGGAGAGAGATGTAATGCTGAGCTGCAAACAAGAAACATCCACCATCCTACAGTCTATCTTCAGTCCAATTTTTTACACTTTTGTCACTTTTTCCCCCCATCCAAACAGTTGTATTTTTACCCTGTCATCTGTGCAATTTCTCTCCCATTATTGTGAACGAGCCCCATGTTCCTGCTCTGACCGCATCATTTTTATTCTGTCTACTGTCTCTGAATGAGGTCAACCACCAGACTCCCGTTTCTCCTAGCTGGACTCGTTCTGCTCTCTGGTCTCTTCCACCAAGTTCCTCCGGTAGCCAAACCACAAGCCTCAATTACCCAGCATTCCTTTGTGAAGAGGACGGAGGCCTGGTGGAGCACACTATGAAATTAACATTCATGACAAACCGCTTAAGACACTGAACAATTTGATGAGATGAACAGTTGCAGAGTTTTACCGTTAAGAAAAGTACGGCACGTCCGCTTTGATAAGACTGTAAATGTTTTTGTTTAAGGATGATAGAGTGCTGACTTTTAAAGATACAGTTGTAACAGTAGAAGAGCTAAAACCAATCATGACAAAAAAGAGCTTTAAATACCCACTGAAATGAAATTATGTAATTCTTGTTTTTTATATGTTCATATGGCATTTTTCTGATGCTACAGGACATTTCATAAGAAAACTAGATGCAAAATTGTTTTTTCTGAGTATTTCTTCATTCAAATCGCTGTGAATCTCTGGCAGACCCAAACGGCAGGTTCAGAAACAGGGAGATTTCATATGTAACCAATCCAAGCTCCGCCCCCAGAGCCCCGCTCATAGTAACATAGCTCCCAGGTTACCTGCCTTTTCTGCTGCATCGGCAATGCTAGGCTGCAAGCTAACATGAAGACTGTAGACCATAGACTGTATATACTACGGACAACTTGGTTCCACCTTCCGCCAGTATACGGATTTGAGGCTGAAAAGCTCTCGGTAATTCCACGTTTTTTCTTTCCACTTCCTGAAACCAACATTGCAAAGAAGCGTTGTACGCACTCCACCACTTGCACAGTAGCGTTGTACACATTTGGCGGGAGAGTCGCTGAGAGTCACTATGATGACGCTCGGCTCAAACAGCATATCCCCAGGTGAGCTACGCAATCTTCGTACGCACATAGGCTGTATCAGGTGTCAATCATAGAAAACATGAACCCCCTAATAACTTTTAAAACTGGAGCTTCACAGAAAAAAAGAGGACTTGAGCACAAACCAGTCTTACAATAGCTACATGTCAACATCACAAGCAGGGGGAAGAAAAAATTATATTCTGTGTAATAAATTTCTAAAGTTTGTCCACAGCTCCATAAGGATTGCTGGAGGAGGCGGGATTTATGACCTTTACTGCAGCCTGTCACCAGAGGGTGCTGTTCTCGGAGTGGCTTTACCCATCGAGGAGGCAGACGATGTCCACTCTTTATACAGTCTATAGTGAAGACGAGTGTGCAGAGCAGCGCTGTCTCCGCCCACGACTCAGAGACAAATTGCCAATGAGCTACTGGAGCTCTGCAGAAGAAAAGCCCTTGAAAATGATACAGGTAACGTGATTTTTGGTAAAACTTCATAATCACAATTTAAAGACCACTGAGAACTCTTTAAGTTGTAAAAACAAAAACGATCGGAGTGGGACTTTAAAACTGTTTTCTGTCACAAATAGACTCAGACAAATTGATAGTGCATAGACAGGGATTTTAATGTAGGCCATTTTACACACAAATCTGTTCCAAGCACAGGTCACTGACTTTCACACTGCGTCACTTTTCAACAACCCATGATGCATTGCATCTGTGTATACATTATGTACTGTTGTAGCCCAAAAGCATTTATCAAAAGGCAACACATTTATTGTACATTGTCATTTGTACAATACATCTCATCACATACTGGTAATCCTGGAAAATGGGTGAACAAGTGATCAAAGCAGGGATTTATGAAAACAGATCATCTCTGTGTCGGGCTGATGCTCTGAGAAATCCTCTGATGAAATGCGCGTAAAGCTTGAAGAATAATCGAAAGACCATGTCAGGACAAGTTCAGCTCTACTTCTTCCTCTAACTGTGACTGGAGGAGTTTTCTTGATGTTTTATCAACCAGGTGGTTGAGCGGTAAGGTAATGTGATACTGTGTGGTTATAGATTTCATCAGTTGTTTTATTGTGCTTTGTTTTTTTTCCTGCGTCAATGCCTCATCAGGGTGCTTAATTTTAACAAAACATTAATTTTGCTCCATTATACAATGGATCTTGAATATACCTCTGATTTTTCCTGTGAAATACATTTTCCCTCCTTGGGGTTTCTTGAGCACTATTGGGCCTGAATGTAGCAAAAGAAGGAGCCCAACAGTGAAACAATTTTTGTGTGTGATTTTTTACAAAAAAATGTATCCTCATCGGTAGGTGAGATTCTCAGTTTAATCCGTCTTACATTGTTTCAATTACGCAGATTTGTTTTTATCAAGAGTCAGTTCATCACAATATTTTCAGTCAAGTATCCTTAGTGCCTCTGCTTTCCTGCGCTTGTTCTTACCATCCCTCACGTCAATTCATCAGGTACAGAGTTCAAACTGAACAGCCGGGGAAATTGTAAATTTTTTCACTATGCATCACAGTTTAAAACCACCAGTTATACTACTTCCCAAATACACCCAACAGCAACGCAGATTAAAGCCTGAAAACAGCTCTTAAAGCAGCACACTGAACCTTTCTAGCCTGCAGACCATTATAAAAGCATTTGATGCATCTGATTTGTCTTTCTGAAAAACTTCTAAACATCTTTGAAGAAACTCCTCGCTTATCTGCACCAATCTTTGGCAACTATAACATCATCACAGAATGTGTACACACCATTCATTGTTGGTCATGGGGATCACATATTTCAAGCCACACCATGCAAACATTATCAGTACCAAGTATCTGGTCCAAAAAGAGTTAAAAAGAAACTGCAGGAGTGAGTGGAATGATTAGATTGTGGATCAAGGTCCTGTAAGCTAAAGATCTCAGCACCACTGGAAACCCCACGTTCAGGACTTTCTCTCTCTTTGTACCAGGCAAGGGTAAAGTCCAAGGATCTGAAACAATATGCATCACAGCTCCTCTTTCTGAACAGTTTACAGCCCAGGGATGTTTGCAGAATCGCACTAAAAACAACAAGACATGTATTCCCTAAATAGTTGGATAAATGAATGGACGGAGCGTCCCTCATGCACACGCGAACTTAAAAAGCACTGCTGGATGTATATAAAAATGGAGTGAGTCAATCTGATATATTCAGTCTTTAATCCGTTTTTTTTTTCCCTGAACAGGCCTCACACTGAGGTCGCATCTCTCCAAGAATCACAAAAGAAAAGGATTGAAATGACTTTATGATTACAGTACATGGTGATGGATGCATATCAAATTTAATGCTCTTTTACTTTTTTTTTGCATTAAAACAATTCCTGTTAAATTGGCTTATTCTTCAGGATGGCTTACAACACAGATCAAAATGATAATTTCCTATTTTCAGGTGGCAAGTTTTGCTGCTCAGTTTCTGAATAATCTATATAGAAAACAAGAACATGCATGTTTAACAATGAGAGGAGGGAAATTCAAAACATTAATGAACACATTTTCTTTCAAATTCAAGAAGCTCCTTAACTATAAAAACATGTAGCTGTCGTGTTCTTGTTACTGTTTTTAAAGGTAAAAAAATGATTTAGCTTCACATCATTCATATTGATTGATAGAATAAAACCCCTCCATTATACAGAGAGCGTCTTTGTGTACTCAGGCCCGACCTTCACAGATATACAAACTGAACTTTGACACAAAAAGCATTAAACTGCATCTTATGGTTGAAAATGTAAAATATACAAAACATGAAGTTACAGCAACTCTATGTCGCTGAAAAAAGACAAAATATCTCCAGAGAAAACCAAAACCCATTACAATATATAGCCTAAAGGCACCTTAGACAAAGATATTTTCCCTGTGTTTGAGTGGTTAAAGAGGTTTGGGATAAAAAAAGAGAAGGGAGACAGCTTTTCCCCTTTAAAGCCTAACCACTGCATGGAAACACTAGATCTGCACAATAAAAGGCTACATTACTGTACTTTTCATTGCATAAACTAAACAGAAACTGACCGTCCAAATGTTTAAACCTTAAGACAGAATTCAGCTCTGTAAAGGTACAAGATTATATTAAATTTAATTTCAACATGGAAAAAAACGCTCTCTGCTTTTCCACTCGAATAATGTTGTTTTCTACACTCTGCATCGTACTGTGGTGCAAAGCTTTGTGTTTTAAAGGTAACAGGACATGAATGGAGAACACTCTCCTCATCATGCAGCTACTGTTTCTGTTTCTGGATTTATGCTTTAAAATCTAACAGTGAGAGGTTGAAAAGACAACACAAGAATATATAAAACAATAAAACAAAGAGACAAGCTGAAATAGCAACCACGAGTAAAGTCAGAGTCCAACAAGCTCTGACCTGCCGCTGCAAAAACAATCCCCCTGACATGCTGGTGGAGGAGGTTATCTTTCCCCTCCTTCCTCTCCTCCAACATCAACCCATCCCAAACTATCCACCCAGTCTGTAAAAGTGATCCACACCAGGTGTATCATCAACATCATTAACATTAACATAATTATCAAGTCTCCCTCCTTCTCCTCCTCACATCCCTTTTTATGTCCTCCCTCTCAGGCTGGAAAGGCTTGCTCCCCCTGCAGGCGAGAGGCTGGAATGACGCTGTCTTCCTAACCAGATGAGGGGGGGAGATGTTGCCTCTGGCTCCACCGTGGGGGTTAAAACTGGAGTAAGTGGAGCAGGTGAAGGGGTCACACCCTGCTGGTTGGGTGGCAGCGGTAGGGGCAACTGGACAGATGATTAGCTGCTCCATCGAGGGTCTGAGAGCACCCTTCTTCACAACAGGACTCTAAAGCGAGAGAAGATGTGTTCTCATGAGGCCACCATATGATTGGCTGTGTGGTCATCTCTTTCCTGCTGACTTGAAACTGCATGTGTGTGTGTGTGTGTGTCTGTAAACGGAACAATTAACTCCTGTACCTGAATCTTGGCCGGTGCCGAGTTGGAGGCGCCTCATGTGGCGAACAACTGCTGTGGCGTTGAATGCTTGCTGCAGGGGAAAAGACAAAATACAATCTAGCTGAGAAACTTTGGAGAAATTTTGTTATGAGGCACCAATAATTCACCCACTGGGACCCCTTCGGCAGCTTCAAGAGCTGATTTCTAAAGCTAAAGGGGGGTTCAAAACCCCAAGGTGAAAAGTCACTGAAAAATTTAAGGTGTGTCTCAATCTTTTGTGTACAAGATCAAAGTGCATCCAAGATAAACTGGAAATCTAACTTACCTTCCACTTGCTTTTTGCAAAATTCTTCTTGATCTGAGCACTGACAGACTCATGGATGTTCTTGTCCAGAGCAGTATCTCCTGCAATCCTGTCAAGCAGAGGATGATAAAACATCAAGTGTAGTCCTCAGTTACAGGGAAAACCTTACATTCACAGCTAAATCAGTATAATTCCTCAGAAAAAATAGAAACCATCATCACAGTATAATGGCATCATAAGGGCCTATTTCCACTTACGTGCACCAGCACTGCCCGCAACCTCAAATCAGAGCTCTTTTTCCTAGTGCTTACTGTACTTGGGTTACAAAAGTTACCCTGCAGCACTTTACTGAGGAGCATTAGCAGCACTGAACTCGGAAGATTTATGCCCCCGTAAATGGTTGTTTTGTCCTTTATATGGACCACCAAGATCAGCGTTGACAAAGTTGATAAGAGATGTTCTCCCCTCCATGATACTGATTGGTCGTTGAAGTGGAAATGACACTTCGAGCGCTCGAGTTGCTAAGAGCTAAAAAAAAAATTTATCTGAATTATTATTATTTTGTTTAAATAATAAAATAGATGCTGCCAGTGCAAAAAAGTTGCAGTTAGTGGACACAGGCCCTTATCAGGAGTATAGGACAGGTACCAGGGGTGCTGCAGCGCCTGCTCACAGGTGTAACGTCTGTTGGGGTCTTTCTCCATCAGGTGGACAATAAAGTCTTTTGCTGGAATGAAAAAAAAAAAAAAAAAAAAAAAAAAATATTAGAGCAGTTCACAGTGGGAACATAATGGTAAGGCCTATTTATTTAAGAGGGCCTCTGCATCAGTTTACATTAATGGAAATTATAAAAAGGAATATAATCTTCAAATGCTAAAGAAAATAAGCTGATTTTGAATTGTGTAATTTCTTTGGAAAGTTGAAGCAACCATCCCCGAGAGCAAGGAAACAGGTCAATAGACCAAGAGCCAGAACTAAGAAACAAAAAACCAGCCTAGGATCATTGTCTTGGCTTGTGGAATGAACACCTGCAATGTGACAGGTAGGGATCGGATCAAAACGCTGACTGGGGAACTTCAGATATTGCATTCTCTTCACAAGACAGAGCTTGATTTGGTTTTGGAAACCTAACTCTTGGAAAGAACTTGGTATCTTAGTTGTGCTCATGACTTGCTGTAGGTGAGCAGAGTCTGCTAACAGGCTTTGGCTCAAGACTTCAGAGTTGGGGCTTATCCTGCTGGCTGGGGACATTTGTATTCTGGTGAGAGGAAAACTTATTTGTTGCTGAGGAATCAGTGAGCCCCACAGCTGTTAAGAATCATATTCAAAGATGATGATGATGATGATGATGATGAAGGCGAGGACTTGTATTGGTTTGAAATGCATTTGCAATGTTTGACTTATTTAATATTTACAAGTTCTATGACAGATACTTTTGCAGAGAGAAGTGAATTAGTGAATGTTCTATGCCAGCGCGCACCAGGTGACAACTAGTTTCAGCTGAGATTATCATTCAATGTCATTCATAAGTTTTTTTTAACATTTGCGTGGACCCGGGAGTCTAAAAACAAGATAATCACAAGGTTGAGCTTTTGGGAACATGGTTTACTATTAGCTGATAATGGGAATAAAAAGGGCCAACACAGGAGGTCTTTGACTCAGTTCAAAAGAGCGTTCACTCGAAAATGTAATTTGCTTTTTATGTGCCAGCTGTATCTCTATGATGAATCAAAGATGTGTGGTTTTGAGAGGTAAAAATAGCTTCAATGAACCCTACCTGAATCAGAAATATCATCCCAGTAGGGGGAATCAAACTCGTATTCTGCTTTCAGGATCTGTTCAAAGAGTTTGGCATCATTCTCATCGTAGAACGGAGGGTAACCACACAACCTGGGGAACACAGCAGAGTACAGATATCGTGTTTCTTTACAAAATACTATCTCTGAAATGATGAAAGCATTCAGCTACAAAACAAAGACACAGAGAGTGGTGAATTAGATTATATAAATCCCTGTATACTCACAGAATATAGGCTATGACACCAATAGACCAGCAGTCCACTGCTTTGCTGTAGGGTTTCTGAGCCAACACTTCAGGGGCTGATGGAAAAAACACGGTACAAGAGAGGAATTTAGGTCAGATAAAAATTTGACAATGTTTGACACACATTTGGGTTTATAAAGTCAGAAAATGTCGGCCAATTGGATGAAACTTTCCCCAGTTTCCAATTTTTTTTCTTCCAAAATGACTCACAAGATGATTTTAATTAAAATAAACAGATTATAATCAGAGGCAGGTTTTCACATTTAGCAAAGTATTTGGCTTCCTACCAACATATCCAGGTGTCCCACACGCTGTGGACATCACACTGCCAGTGCCCTCGATTTTAGACAGACCAAAGTCACTGATCATGATCTTGGAGTCTTCGTCCATGCTGTAATAGAGCAGGTTTTCAGGCTGCCAGGACAAAATCAGAACCAGAGATGTTTCTAAGGTAGCGTCATGCAAATCATGCAAAAACCGAGCACACAAATGCACACACACACACACACACACACACACACACACACACACACACACACATTTCCACCATAATGGGATTATATGGTTGTACCGAAGGGGATTACATCGAAGTCAACTTTTGTTTTCCATCAGCAAAGTCATCCTCAAATGGAAGATTACAGATACTTGGAAGATATGTTCCAGTTAGGAAAAAACTGAGATTTGTGAGTTTAAGTTGAAATATTTCAGATATATACTCAGGTGCACACCGACTTTTCTAATGAATCTGTTACCCGGGGCTGACCTTGAGGTCTCGATGCACGATCCCCATGTCGTGGAGGTATTTGACGGCATCCAGGATCTGCTGAATGAGCTTGCTGGCATCTTTCTCTGTGTAGAAGCCCTTCTCTATGATACGATCAAAGAGTTCCCCACCAGAGACCCTGAATGGAAAGGAAGAAAAATGAAACGGAGAAAAAAAACTGAGCATCACACTGAACTTCGTCATATGAAAATCATGGAGTTCACTTAGTGCCAATACAGCTTAAAATGTTACACGGAAGTGAGGATGAGGACACATCACAGAGTCTTTGTCAAAGATCTGTAGACTAGTTAGTAAAAGGACATTTGTTCATTATTTGAGAAGTACTACACTCATAAAGCTTAAATAAATAAACACGTTAAAAATAGAAAGATAAAAGCATTTCCCTGTGAAATTTAAAAATTCCCATAAAAACTATAGTAAGATCTCTAGCTTGCAATACACTAGGCTGCCACTAGATGGAGACTTCATTCTGTCCGCAGGAAATCTACAAGTTAGTTTGGGCCTCCGGTATTTACACATGAACACACAGTCACACATCCTGGGGGAGCAAAACAGAAAGATGGAGGAGGAAAACAAGAAACAAATGAGGAAGAAAAAACAAGAAACAAACAATGGGAGCATTTCTTCCAGCACTACTGTTTTTTTTTTTAGAGAGAAAAAAATGTGGAAATTCATACTGCAGTAAGGCACAGGATCACGAATATATGTATATATTTAGAAAAACAACCAAAAGAGGAGTGCATCTCTAATCTTTCTCTTGATAAATCCCTTTGACTTTATTTAAAACATTAATGATGTTTATTTTCAGCTTACAGCACTCCTGATTTGTTGCTTTGTCTTTATTTTCTTTGACATTTCAGTGAGTGAGGCGGGTGGGAGGTTGACAAGGCTGCAGGTGCGATGGTTAAGACCTCACTGATGTTACTGACTAGATGGACGACAGTGTTTTCCTGACTGTGTTCACACACATGTAAGTTGGGAGTGTTACAGCGACAAAATTAGTTCCCAGGTGAGATTAACAGCATGTGACATGCAGCGCTGGTGTGGTAGAGAGCACGGGCTACCACACTGGCAAATGACACAGACCCCTGCGTGCGAATACTTACAGTTGCATGACAAGGTAGAGGTGCGTTTTACTTTCAAATATCTCTTCCAGAGACACGATGTTGGCATGTTTGATCCTGTGAAGGAGAGAAGACAGGTACAGAAAGATGTTACTCTGTGGTGGTGGTGGTTATTTTTTATTTCCCTGTGGACTTTTCCAGATCTTCCCCATTAGGCTTATTTGGGACAGCTGGTGTGTGACCTCTGCCCAACGGTCATGTCGTGTGTTCCTCATTGACAGAGGAGAGGAGGCTACACTGCGTGGTGGCATGCAGCTTTCTAATTGGCTGAACTCTGTGATCTGCTGCCCCCTGAGACCTGTGGGTGCAGTGACAGAGGTGTGAGAATGACTCACTACATCTAGATTGGTATTCTACCTCTTTCTGAACAATATATAGTGTTACTATACCAGTATTACATTCAGTGGTCTCTATATTACAAGTGAACGTATTGCTGCACATAGGAACACATTACAGTAGTTGGCACCAAACTCCTGCCTCATATACTCTTACTGACAAACGTACAAACTATTAAGTGTGTGCCAGTAATGTGTGGTATAGCAAACTGAAGTTGCAACATCGCAAACCTTTCCTGATTATTTACCATGGAGTAGTTTTGACTCACTCAGTGGGAATACACAGCTTCAGTTTCTGGATAACCTGTCAGACTTGCTCGTGGCAAAAACTTCTTTGGAAGACGCCAAGGAAGGAAAACCTTTAAATTAATACAGCCATGCAATGACATTAGAAAGTGCTTCACTGGCATAAAGCCAATATGGTTACTGGTTCATTTGTGTCACGAAATATTAAGTATTGTCACAAAAATAGGGTAAGTGGGAGTTTGAAGTTTAACAAAAAATACGAGTATTTCGTGGTTGTTTTGATATATGTGGGGTTGGGTGATTGGACCACAACATATTTTTTATGCCCAATAAAAAGTGTTTGAGTATTAAGTGCACTTGCTCTTGTTGTTTATTTGTTTGTTTTTTCCTTTTGTCTTTGCCTGTCTATTGCCTATGACTGGTTTGTCACTTCGAGTTTGGGTTTGATCTGTCTCTGTCTATTGTCGGGACTGTCTGTTGTAGTTATTTGTAATACAGAGAATATGATTGCTTTATATGTTAACTGAAAATTACAAATAAAGTGTTTAAAAAAAGTGTTTGAAAGATCGATCATTCAATCTTTGCACAGATGATTTCAGGTTTTAGTTCATCTTGGACGTTTTAGAGAATGTATTTTCAGATGAAGCTGATGTAATCGTGTCTGTGTTTGGAGGTGTGGCTTAACAAATAAACAACAAAAACACACCAAAACATATTTGCATTTTAAGAGAGGGGATAAGAGAGGGTTGTGTTTTTGGTAGCGTTGGTTTGTTTGTTTGTCTGTTAGCAACTTTACAGAGAAAGTAACAGACGGATTGACCTGAAATTTTCACCAGAGGTGTGTCTCAGCCGCAGGAGGATCCCATTACATTTTGGTTGTGATCCGGACAAAATTCTGGATACTGTGATCCAGAACACACAAAAATTAGGGTGTTGTTGGAATTTTCAATGCTGAAAGATTACCAATGGGCGGCACAGTGGTGTAGGTAGGCAGCACAGTGGTGTAGTGGTTAGCACTGTCGCCTCACAACCAGAAGGTCCTGGATTTGAATCCGGGTCAGGGCATGTCCTGTTTCAGGGGGGACATGAACTGCTTGACGGAGGTCTGCGCTCTCTGAGTGCTTTTCTAGGTTGAATTGTTGCTCGGATGATTCTGCAGTCACAAGTTATGCTTACATTCAATGAATCTCATCAAGAGGCATAATTTGAATGCTTGAAGGTGTGTAGAATTTGCTGAGATGTTTTTATGCTTGTTTGCCGGAAGTCTTTGTTGGCACATTACAAAATTTGCTGCCAAGTGTGTGTTAGGGATATACCTCTGACCTCAGTGTCTGTACTCCTAACTAAATGTTTGAGGATCACTAATTAGACTTGAAGAGAGGAGGACAATTGAAACACAAAGCCATGTGTCTGAGGTAACTGTGGATGTGTCAGCCTGAGCTCACCTCACACTGGATTACTGCAATGACTTTTATCCGGCTTGTAACAGTGCATAGACACCTTCATTCATCTGCTTTAGCTCAGCGTGGGAAGGAGAGATTGACCCAGTGAAGGGTGAATGAGGCATTAAACCCTCAGAGTGAACGGACACGTGTGAGGGCGCGTGGGCTGCACCGTGCACTTTTACACACACACAACAACAGAAGGTCAAATAAGCAGTGAAGGTGCTGCGTTTACTTCCTGTGCAGGTGTGAGTGATTGGAGGGTGACCTTATGGTGGACAGTGGCCGTGGTGATTGTCAGAGAGCTGAAATGTCTATTAAGGGCTGGTGAGTCATCTTTTGACCCCTGTCAGCAGCCATAGCTCTCACAGCTCATCAGGACACAAAAGTCAGCAAATTAGAGAGCAGAGTTTCTTCCTGCAGCAATAATGACCAAATCTGACATGAGGCTGAAAACCACAGACCCACTGAGTCCATACTCAGTTAAGTTTCTCTAATATTATATGTATAGATTTTTTTTTAAATATGATATTGACATGATTTTTGTCTTTCTTTTTGGTGTGTTCTTTGCATTTGATGTTGTTTTGGGAAATTCCCCACAGCTGTGACACATTTTGAACAAATGTTTTCAAGTTTCTCTCTCAGCATTGTAGATGTAGCCATAGATGAATTTGACCGCCATTAATAAAGACAGATCCACCTGATGAAACGAAAGGCTCGAGTACATTTCGCTAGATAGGTTATCCAGCCATGTTAATGAGTCTTTTCAGATTGTCATTACAGCCTCCTTAGCAAACTCCAACTCCTCTGACTGACATGGCCACAAATGATTTAGTGGAGCATGATTAGTCACTGTATTTACACACGTCTGTGTTTGGATTAATAATTAGTGACAACAGAGATGAGCTGATCTCACGACTGCCCCAGCCAAACTATGCCATTAGACACTAACTTATCAATCAACTTGAAAGAATTACAGCTACGGTTATTACTAAAGCATGGAAAGCGATAGATCATTTCATGATAAATGCATAATTGGCAGGTCTATACTGACCAAATCTGAAAGCTGAATTTTTACTGGAAAAATCAAACGAAAAACTCCACAATGAAATATAGTTTATTTTTTTACTGCTGAACAATAAGTGGAAGTTGCTCTTTAACTTTTAAACAAGTAAATGATCAACTTAATAAAAAATGTTGCTGATACTTAGCTTGTGGTTTAAATGACATATATAACTTTATTAGTTCTGAGATGACACCAAAGGTTATACATTTTTGATATGACTTCATGGTCCATTCAGGAAAAAGAAAATTGATTTATTGCACTTGTTTTTGCTTACAATAAAAGAGGTTCAGAGCTTCATTGAGATGCTGCTCAGTACAAAACTAATGCAAATGATGTACTGTATATATTAACGTCACAAACTCTTTTTAATGCTCTTTGAATCTCAAATAAAATGAGGAATGAGTCTATACAAACTAAAGTCAGAGCATGTGAAGTATTATTTTCAAGCCAAGTTTACCTCAGCCCTCTCTGTTTGTCAGATTTTGCTCATATTCCAACATCCTCACCTCAGGAGGGATCATAACTGTACACTGACCGGAGTTGTATCTCCTGTAACCCAGGCAACAAGACTTCTAAAAATAACGTGGGAAGCAATGTAGATCAGCCATTTTCACCGTGTACTGCGATTCCTCCCTTCTGAAGAGGAATGTGTTTAAACCGCTCGACGATGACAGGCATTGTCGTCGTCTTCAGCTTTTGTCTTAAGACTATTATAAACCTGCATTTTTGAAGGTGTGACCACACCTGGTCGTAAGACATGTAGAGTTTTACTGGCATTACCGTTCATAAGCGCATCAATAAAGATCCAAAAACAGGGAAATTACTCATTTAAATCAATGTTTGAACATCAGAGTTGAGAGCATATCCAGGATCAGACTGCAGTATTGTTAAACCTTCAGTGGTTACATATGGAGGCTGTCACTGAATGGCATGTAATGTTCTTACTTACTGTTGTGTGGCCCAAATTTTTGAAATTGGCACAATTTCCCCACGTTTCCCCCCCCCCACAGTGTGCCTGACTCAATGACGTTCACTTTATTCTAATGAAATAGAAATCAGCTGTCATGTCATTTTTAGGGGGATTAATCCAAATGATATGTTGTCAACAGATTTCATGAGGACTATTTTTTTCAGTAGAAAGCAGCTTAAAGGAAAACATTTTTTTCTGAATTTTTTGAATCATGACCCAAACCAAAGACTCTAATCAAACTTTTTCAAGGCCCCCTGATTTCTCCTGTCGGGAAATATACGGATCGAAGCTTTACAATGAAGTGGATTCATTTCCAAATGACACGTTACATCACGGTTATCATATTACTGAAGTGTTTATCATAAGCTGTGTATGTCATATGTAGTAATGTGATACAACTGACATGATACAGTAATGGAGATACAGTGATGAAAAATTTACCATCTTGAACCTCGTGGTTAGTATTTCAGATGCAGATCACTTAACATATCAGGGTTGTAGTTACAATACAGACTGGCTTCGGAATGATCAATATGTCGTCCACTTACTTGTGCAGGACTGCGATCTCGTTCTCAATGCTGTTTTCTTTGCCTTCTAGCGCCTTCTTGGGGATGCATTTGATGGCTACCAATCTCTGGGTCCTCTTCTCCTCGGCCAGGACCACCTCAGAGAAAGCTCCCCTGAAACACAAACACATCATTCAGTCTGTCAGACCTCTGTTTATTAATCGCTCTCTGTTTAGGCAGAGCTCTGTGGAGGGCTATAGAAGAAATTACAGCTTTAATGTTAAATCTGTAAAAATTTTGTTATGTAAACGCTGGTAGCGGTTCAACCCTACTGATGCCAGATTCTGTTTATTTTTAACTTCCTCTTCCTCAGAAAGCCTTTAGGGTGCCTCTGAGGGAATCACTCTGTATATATCTAAATGACAAAATCTGATATGTCCCAAAAGATAACATCTAAAGTTCTGTCATGTAATGCTCTTGTAGTTTTTTTTCACTTAATCTACGAAAGGCAATAAACTCAAAATACATTCACAGTAATGTGTGTCGCCAGATGTGAGCACAGAGCACTGAGAAACAACTCCATACTAGGTTGTGACATACTGAAGCACGCACAGCAACAAGATCTGCCCCTGCCTGCATCCTCTTAAGTAAACAGTTACACTTCCTTCTCTTTTTCTCTGTCAGCCTATCAGTTAAAATCAATAATTGAAAACAGGCCAGGAACCAGAACTCCAACTCCATAAAGAAATGTGGAGTATTTTCCCATGACTCACTAGCAGTAGACACAGACGTCTCATGAGCACTGGCATATTGGCTGAGCTCCAGAGATTTTTCACTGAGATCTAAAGCAGTGAAATAATTATGAGGAGCCACAATTTAGGGTTATGTGTGAGCGTTACACCACCACTGTTTTACTGCAAGGATATATGGCCCAGTAAGGGAGGGAAACAAACGTTCGTTAACAAACATACTCAGGACAGTGAGAGCACAAATAGCTGTGAAAAAAAAGCTGCCAAAAGTAACGCTGCTGATATTGTTCAGCTTTTTCAAACAGACCACGGTGATTTCTATATTACCAGCTATTAGGGATAGGCAATAAGTTATCGTTCACGAAAATTCGTCAGAAAATTCCACCACGATAAATATCAGCCATCTCATGATAAATGCAAGTTGATGACGTAAGCAATCAGGTATACCTTACTTTGGACAGTGGATCTGCTGCTGTTCACTCTGTGCAATAAGAGTTGAGATTGAAAATGTTTTCACATGTCATTTGTTTTCCCTATAATCTACCGCTTAAACTTGTAGTTAAGTATCTTATTTAACTTTTCTAACTGGTGTCCTCAAGACAGAATGAGTCAAAAACATTGATAGGAATTATAATATTTTTTATCCGGATTTTTATCATTATCGCCACAATGGCAAAACTTGTCGTGATACGTTTTTTAGCCCATATCGCCCATCCCTACCTACTATGCTGTGTGACATTCATACAGCTTCATACAGTCAACTTGATAATTGATGAGGTTGAGTCTGCATTGTTTCTGCAGTTACAAAAAGAGCTTTGTTTACAGATAATATGACCTAAAGCAACAGTAAACCCTGCAAATCATGCTCTTACTGCTCTGAGTGAGGCAACAGCAGACTTCAACACAATGGAAAATCATTTTGATTTGTGGGGCCATTTTCCTCTGACTAAGACCAGCCTCCCGTATTTCATTTCATACACTTTCGGTCAAAGACCCAGGGCATACGGAGCAAACAGAGAATGAAGGACCACTCGCTTGTTTACTGCAATTAGCTCAGATGCAAAACATCTGTGTATCAGGAAAATGAGATCTCATGTTGTGATCATGGCCTTGGGTAAAGATTTGGAGTTTCCAACAAGTTGTTTACACTTTGCAGGTGTTCACTTTAGAGTTGCCCATGTGACGGTTTCAATAACTATAAATTGTCTGACGTGAAAGATCCACATTATGATACAAACTACAGAGAAGGATATAGCTGAGCTTTCAGATAATCTAAAACATACGATGATGCTGTCATAGTGAAAAGAAGTTTGTAATAAACTTTCATGGTGGGCCAACAACCTCTGTCTTTTAGACTTCAGATTTGGATGCACAGTTTCTGTTTTTACAAGGATGTTAACCCGTCATACTATACTCACGCTTCCTCCATTGTTTTCTCATTTACTCTCCATTAACTCATTGTGAACAAGTGTTTACTTTGGAATAGCCGTTATCTCGTAAAAGACCTGCCAATAAATGTTGGCAGTATTCCAAAAACATGTGGTAAACATTATAAGGGTGGGACTCACCAGTGGCCTCATGGTACGATATTATCACGATACTTGGGCTATGATATGATATTATTGTGATTTTTGTCATTTTGCAATACAGTGAGTATTGCGATACAATATATTGCGATTTATACATTTTTTTCAACTGTTAAGCTAATTTAGCATTTGTCTCTCCTTTATGTTTGTCTTATTTATGCTGTATTTTATCTTCATGTAGCACATCTTGCAAACCTTATTTGTCGTACTAACTTTCTCCTGCTCTATGATGGCACCTCTGCCAACCTCACTGGACAGAGTGTTGATTTCATTTTTCCATTATCATAGATCTGACTTCATATGAGAAATTAATTTGAAAAGTGGATCTTTGGTTAATAAGACGATTCGATATATGGACCAGAAAAAATATTGCGATGACTATGCTGTTTCAATTTTTTCTACCACCCCTAAAACATTGATGGAAAAGATTTTGAGTGTCACCAATCAAAAAAAATAAAGTTATGTAGGTCGAAGTTAGAGTTGTTGGGGGACAAAGACATGATGAGACAAAGACATGGCGAAAAAGAAGGCTGTAACCATGATGTGTTGGTATCTGCACATGTGATGTCTGTGTATGTGTGAGAGTAGCTGGATGAATGTCAGCTTTCAGTTCCTCAGATGCATGTAGCTGTGTGTGTGTGTTTGTGTGAGTGAGTGAATGAGTGGAGAGGAACCATCACTATCCAGTCACGAGGTTTGCAGATAGATACTTTATCAGCTCTGCGTAGAAGGTGTGAATAGTTTCGTGCCAGTGTGACAAAAAAAGAAAGTGACACAGAGATCACAACTTCCCAGTGAACAATGTCCTCTTCAGGCTGTAAAAGCGTCTGGGTACGTACAACTTCAGCCACTCATTTGGGTACATTTGTTTGTTGATTCTTATCTTCTAAGCAGCACATGCAGACTGGCGTACTGGAATATTACTAAGGCACTGATCTGTAGCGCGCTCAGACTGATACTCAAGCTGCTTTTTAGGAAAACACGTGTATTTTCTGAAGCGTCCAGTGCACACAAGATGAGTTTACTTACTGACAAAAGTTCATTAAAGTGTCAACATTAAAGCGTTACCCTTGTGTACTCTTGCTGCTTTGTTTACATTACTCCCTGAGCAAACAACCAAGGTGGGTTTGGTTGCTCAATCAATCAACATGCAAACATCTACAGTTGTGTTTAGTGTAGCTTTGTGCACTGCCTTTGCATCATTTTGGATATCATTCAGAAGGGAACAATAATACCCAAGAGAATGATGCGTGAGTCTTTAAAATGCCCAGTAGCAGTTATTGAGAAGTCCCACTGGGCGTCCCAACCTGGAGATTAGAAATCTCAAACCATGCTTTCAAGGTGTCATTTAAGAATTCACTAAGAATGATAGGACGAAAGATACACTAGCTCATAGTGTATCTCTTTGGTGTTATTAATGTCCCAGCGGTAACACAACACTGTGTTCCTTGATTAAAGTAACATTTATCCTCAGAACGAGGCCTCATGGTTCAATCACAACAAGACAGTAAAAACTGCCCCGGAGAGAAAGGCCATTAGCTTTGGCAAAGATCCAGCTGTGTCGAGGAGGATGTCAGTGCAGCAAATTCCTCTGCAGCATCTGGAGGATTTCGTTGACATTCTCCATGCACCCACTGACAGACTACAAGGCTCTGGGGAAGTGTCACACAGTAGTTTGCACAAACACTGGGAAAATCCAAGAACACTTATGTGTCTATGAATGTGGATGGACAGGCTGTTTCGTAACCACGACCCTAAAAGTGGAACATGTTTGTCTTATGATGTAATACCATACTGTGGCTAATCTGATCATTTTTTATGATCTAAGATAACTTATTCAAAGTATTTAGGAGTATTATAAATTATTACATTCAGTTGAAACTTTGACAAAACTTTTTGTTTGCTCGCATTTGTAAATCAGTTGAATATTATAGGCAACAAGCCTTGGTCAAATGTAATTGAAGTATGTTCCAAAATGTTTTTTGCTTCATCTCACATTTCCTTATTTCCTTCTGTAGGCCAACACTTTAATGTACTTGATTGTATCTAGTTAATGAAGACAGGATTATTCTGAATACTGTGGACTATTCACAGTATTCATTACAATGCAGTTCTTTTTGCCAGAGATGTTTAATCAGGGTTATATTAAACACAATTTTTATGTGACTACTGGCTAGTTGATAAACCTCTTTGCTCTAATGCTTGATTTATCCTTGGGATAAATTTTAAGGGTAGACATTTATATATATGTTGATACTGTTACAGAGGCAGGAGATGCTGCCCCTCTTGGGACTGCAAGGGTGGTGTTTTTTTTTTAAACTCTTTTCATTTATATAATTTAAATTACTGTGGATATAACTACTCCATGCTTTGACCTGTGGTTATCTGTAATAAACCCTCACAAAGTTGTCCAACAGCTAAAATATGAGTACTTGGGGGTATTTAAGCTCACTGTTAAGGTTCGGCTCTTCCAAATCACTAGAAAGCATCAACTTATCTAAAACAACAACAACAAACAGCAAAACTTGTGAATACTTGCATAGATTTAGCAGCTAAATGACCAGATGTTTCCACTATGAGATGGTAAACACTGAAAAAAAGGCTAAAAGCAAAGTAAATATTTAAATATTAGACTTTGAGCAATTTGTGTAATCAACTATGTGTTTGCATCTGTTTGTGCTGCCCCTCTTGTAGTTTTGTTGTGTCCCTTCTTTCACAAGCAGCATAGGGAAGCCAAACTACATGGCAGGAAGCTATTGCACCACTGACCCTCTGAGGCCTACTGTGTGTTCAGCTATAGGATGAATGTTACAGCAAACCCTGACAAAATTTGTTCAAAAATGTCATCATAGCCACTGAAAAATCAGGGCAAAAACCACCCTCTAATTGAGGAAAAATCAACAGGCTACTCTGAGCTTGTCAAAGACAAGGGTCAGAAACCCTGAAGAGTGTTATTCTGATTAATGTTTGATGGTTGGCTGGATGAGAGGTGTGCTGGGTTTGCCGAGGGTTTAATCCCAGCAAAGGTTTTGGACTGATAGATAAAGTACACAACCGTGTTTACAGAGCCGTTCCTGCTCCTAACAGGACATTCTTATCACCACCATGGGACCCGGGTCCAGGAAGTGTAAGCACCAACAGTCAAACTCAAACACACAAACACCACTGCACAGCTATTAACCACTGAACTCCCAATAAAGACACGCTTACTGCCACTATCCAAACAGTGGGTGTGACCTTAGAAATCCACTGTGCAAATTCTTTACACAATGTTTAAACATAGAAAGGCGTGGCAACATCCTTTACATGTGTGCAGCCTGAAACAGTGAGTAACTATTTACCTGACGATTAAACAACATATGTTTCAATGCCCCACTCTGTGCAATTTTGGAAATTCTGATCAAAACTCTCTTCTTTCCCTTACTAAATGTCCGTCTTTCTCATCTATCCTCAAAGAAGCTGCTTGCTTAAAATACACAGGTAGTGTTGCTTGGTCTGTCTCTGTGAGCAACCTTTCCATGCGAGCATCACAATGTTTCACTCAGTGCATCAAAGGAATTAAAACCGAGAAATGCAGTCATTTGTGCTCACGCTCATAAACAAAACACACACAAACACACACATGCACACAGCCCAAAAGTATTCATTCTTATATTTGATAGCAGATTGACATAAGTCTTAAAAAAAAACACTGTAAAACCATTAATATTGCTGTCACACTTTTACATGCAGTCCTCACATTTTCATTTGTAGCTTGATTAAGATTTTAGATTAAAATTTCGTCTCACTTTCCTTTCTCTTCCTGTTAACAGAGATGCTATCCTTGTGTGACGAGTGGTTTTATGGGAAAACAGACCTCCCCTGACTAATTTCTCCACCATTATTGTTTTCACATATTAATCCCACGTTTCTCCGACTTCCAACAATTGTGCCATCTGTCCTGCTGAGACACTGATGAAGAAGGTATAAAAGCTGGTGACAAAATGGTAACTGTGGAAAGGTCAGTGAGACATAGGGAAGGACCATCTGGTCCAATCAAAAGCTGAGAGATGCCCAACTGAGAATCTGGCCCAAAAACAGGAAAAGACCATCTTTGCGCTGTGGGCTGCCCAAATACAGTGAAGTGTAAACCTAACCTAGGTTTAGTGCTCCAGTGGACACTCCTTCCTTTAATTTTTAATTTAATCTTTCCTTTAAAAATTTGACTGCAAGGGTGGTGTTTTGTTTCTTTTAAACTCTTTTCATTTATATATTTTAAATTACCATGGATATAACTACTCCTTTGACTTGTGGCTATCTGTAATAAACCCTCACAAAGTTGTCCAACAGCTTAAATATGAGTACTTAGGGGTATTTAAGCTCACTGTTCAGGTTCGGCTCTTCCAAATCACTAGAAAGCATCACCTTATCTAAAACAGTTAAAGGACACCTGCTAAACAACAAACAGCAAAACTTGTGAATACTTGCACAGATTTAGCAGCTAAATGACCAGATATTTCCACTATGAGATGGTAAACACTGAAAAAAAAAAGAAAAAAGAAAAGCTAAGTAAATATTAGACTTTGAACAATTTATGTGATCAACTATGTGTTTGCATCTGTTTGTGTTCCCCAAGTGAGAAATTAATTACTTAATGAGCTGTTCTATTTAGTATTTAGTTATGATTTTGTTTTGATTGGGGCAACAAAGTAGTGACATTTTTTTTTTAATGTGAGAAGAGATAACAGGAAAAGTGACTTGGGGCACAACCTGATCACAAAAGACAAACTAAAATCAATGACCAAAATATCGGTTTTCTTGTGTATTATGAATTAGTCCACATTGTAGTAAAATTCATCAGTTTACATCTCAGGTTGGTCTTGAGGGTGTGGAAATAATGACAGTTTTTAGGCACAAACGTGAGAGCAGCCTAATGAGGAGAAGCACAGATAGATCCTGTCCTTCACCCAAGCAACAGCAGCGGAGCATGTGAGCACAGCTTCAAGACGCAGATTCTATATAAAAGTGAGCTCCTTTCTGTGATGATAAACATTCCTGTGCCATTGATGGTTGCACTAGTTATACTGAAATATGCTGAAATATAATGTTGATAGCTGGTACTTTTGTAAACAATGAAAAGATATGTCTAGTTTACCTTTATGTCATAACCAGTAAATTCAGCTAGTCCCATCAGTTCTTTTTTCGTTTTCATCTTAATTATACCGTCTTATGAATGTTGCCATGGTGCTGCTATGACTCACTGCCAGTAACTGTTCTCTGGCTGCAGACCTCAGCGCACTTAAAAACATGTCTCAGAAGGAAAAAAAAAAGACTGGATCAAAGAAAGAAGTATGAGCAGCATAGAGATATTTTGGCAGGAGTGAATACCTTAAAGGGATATTCTGGCATAAATTTAAGTTAGGGTCAAACACACTGTAACACCTAGTTAGACACCCCCTTGAGAGATGAATATTGCCGACCGCTTTCTTCTCTAGTTATACCAACTTCAGCAAAGACCGCACGATAGCAATACACAGCGGTCTACGTCTCCCACACAAACCTCAACCAAAACGACACTCGTAGCCACAAATAATACTCTGAACAGCACCTAACTTCATCAACAGTACATAAAGGGTCCCTGCCATAGTACCAGCCATCAAACATCTTTTTAGCTTTGCCTGGTTTCTTTAGCAAAGGGACTAAACACAACCCACCTAGTCTCCTCCAGCAGCCGCTTGTTTGTGGGGGAGCCCTGATTAGTCGATCACAGAGTGCAGAGGAAAATCTATGATTATTACTTCATGGAAATGCAATCAGACCGAGGCGCTAAGGGAGAAGAACTACAGCGCCTGCAGTGCACATACAAGATACACGAGAACTCTGATTGCATTTCCATGAAGAAATAATCATAAATGTTCTTCCTTGAGATAGGTGTTAAGTGCTGTTCTGAGCATTATTTATATAGAGTGGCTTTTTAGTTGAAGTTTGCGTGTGGAGATGTAGACCGCTGCGTGTTGCTATCGTGTGGTCGTTGCTGAAGTTTGTTTAACTAGAGAAGCAGGCAGTCATCTCTCATCGAGGGGGTGTCTAACTCGGTGTTATGGTGTGTTTAACCGTAACTTAAATTTATGCCGGAATATCCCTTTAAGAGAAAAAAAAAGCCCTTTGTATGCGTGTACACGGTTTTAGTTTTGGGGATAAAATTTACCATTAAAACTGGAACGGTGCATGAGCATACAAAAGGGCAAAGTTTGAGATAGAGTAACACTCAATTTGCACCTTCCATCATGACCTTCATCAATAATAATATCCTAGAAATTTAAGTGTTGTTATGACCATCAATCACACAAGTGTTGGAATATTTTGACTGTGTTCATGGCCATTATGTGACATAGTTGTACAGTGATTTTGCGTCAAAGCTCAATACAATGTAAAGTACATCTGAAGAGTAGAGGTTGCTCAAGATTGTTTGCATTACTCTGATGGCCAGTTTTAATAGAGGCTATCAGTAAGGCAACTCAAATAAAGCATTCCCAATAGAGTGTCACTGTCAACCATATTTAGAGTATTGATGTATTATGATGGTCTGCAAGGCAGTACTATTTCAGTCCTTAACTGGTTAAATCTCACAGCTGTCACTCAGTTTCCAACAGAGGACCAGACTTCAAGCAAAAACAGAAACAACAAGAACAAAAACAACAAAAAAACCTACTAAAACCACAGTAATCCCTGACAGACCTACTTAACAACAAGCTGCTAAAAATATTTTTAAAAAACTACAGAGCTAAATACAGCTGTACAAATATTCCCTTTGGGAGATGGTAGCAACAAAAATGTAGCTTAAATACAGAGTAATTGCTGAACCTAAAACCTGTCAGGTGGCTGGAAACATGACTCGAATGAACGGATACTGTTACACCGTGGTGGCTGTAAGCAATTGTGTGCCAACAAATTAGCCGTTTAGCGGCCTTAATTCAGTTAATGCCATTCGGAGTGCTCCAGAATAGAACCCACTTTCCACTGCTGTGAGTCCAAAACACTGGAAATGAGGGAGGAATTACATCGGAAACACACAGTTGAAATGAAACACTGGGACAAAATCGATAATGCTTGGTAATTAGCTTCAAAGCCAAAGAAAATTAATGCTCCCTTGATGACTCTTGAAACAGTAGATAAAAATACAATACAAGTGTTCATGACTCGCTTTGCTGATATGTAGACAGTCTGAAACTTTTAATCGTGGGGGGAATACGGGCAATAAGGGATTATAATGAGAAAGACTGTGGGAAGATGTGCATGACAAGCCTGCAAGTGCACTTCATATTGTTAGAGGGGATACACTGCTGAGAGTAGATGAAGATTCATAAGTGGGCCAGGCAGTGGTCATACATGTGCTTGAGTTAGTGTGTGCATGTGTGTGTATTCCAGGAACGGCAGGGTATGCTATGCTGAGCTGCTCTGTGCTGAGATGAGAGCTTCTGTTTGAATTAGGTCAGACCGGGGCTGAAGGGCTAAGGGTGCTATAAGCGGGGATGAATTTTCAGGATTGGGTGGGGAGTTGGAAATGGTCCCGGGCTATCACTTTTCAAAAGAACAGATATACTCTCTTTGTTATGACTGCCAAAGTTCAAGAATCAATCTGATAACGTCTCTAAATGAAACAATGACTGACCTCATTTTTGTCCTTCAAACGTATTTCATATTTTCAGACAACCCAAAAGTTGATTTGGAGGGCATTTATACACAGAGGATATTCAGCAGCTGAATTATAAAAGATACAGAGAAGACCGGTGTGGATGGATTAAGGGATAGACAGAGGCAGAGTATCGTGCCACAGGCCTTGCTCATTACTCCTATACGGTCTTAGCAGTGGCTGAGACAGAATTACAAGGGCAGACACAGCAACATGTTGTCCTGTGCTTTGAGGGCCACAGGGCTCTTTATAACGAAGTAAGGTCTTAGCTCTATGTTTTACCGCAGCTTAGTCACAACCCAGCCGAACTACAAAAGAAAAGAAAAGAAAAGCAAGAACAAAGACAGATTAAAACTGAATACAAGGGGATAAAAATGATGAGTAGTAGTAAATGATGAGGAGTGAGGGAGAGTTAGTACAGAGAGAGCAAAAGAGAAGCATGGAGAGAGATGAAAAATAGATGAAGTGGGACAGCTATCATGCTGGGGGACTCATCTGCTCTATAAAGGTGGCTGTTTCCTTTTCTCTGAACCACTTTGTTTATCATCATTTTAAATTCAATTGATTCTGGCTCTGCATACAAACACTGATTATCAAAAAAGCCATCCAAAATAGCTACCCAAAATGTGGTCTACACTACAATTCACGCAAGCTCCAGTTCTGCTTTCCTCACTGTCTGCACATCAATTAACTTTTTAGATTTGCAAGATGACATTGAAGAGTGATGACTGAGGGATGTGTAGGCTGCCTACTCACTATCTTGAGATTGGGGAGATACACATCATAGCAATGAAGTGAATAACAACATGGACTCAGAATCATCTGCAGTTTTTTAGATGCTGCTCTTCTTAATCACACGCTAATGTTGGAGCAAACTGGGAGATGAGCTTGTTTGATCGTAAGCAGCCTATATTTTGTGGTGAGCAGAATGTCCACAGAGGTCTCCATCTCTCTAAATGAATGAATGAATGAATGAATGAATGAATAAGACCTAGAAATGGAAATGATAAAAGCAGATACTGTGCCCTCTTGTGTCATGTGGTATAGAGCGAGACAGACACATGGTTGGTAACCAAGACTTGTATCCTGTACCTCGGATAAAATGATTCATGAAGAGATTTAGGAGACGGACACCGTCAAGTGTTTTGTCACTTTCAAACAAAAAATTTCCCCCGACATTAAGGTAGAGCCTAAGTGACAAATTTTCCCACATATCTTACTGTCTCCACACACCAAGTGCGAGTAAAACCATTCGCGTGAATGAATTACATGCTAAGTCAATGCAAAGACGCAATTAAACACTCCTACTACTCTGGCGGCGCGAATGACGCGAATTGGGCGTGAGCTGGAAATGTCTCAAGTTGAGTGGATATCTGCATTGTAATAACAAGCACAAAGGTTGCCAGGTAATGTATGAAAACGGACGATTGTTTACTGGTTCCTAAAATGGAGGACAAACTGATCGTGTGTCGTTGTGTGGGTGCCCCGAATTATATGATACCCTTTCTTCTAATTACTGAATCCGTAATAAAAAGGAGCTCGTCTGGAGGCAAGTGAGTGTGGAGGTCAGACTACCTGGTAAATTGTAAAAGTTGAATTGGCAGGGATTACCGTTGAAATTACCGTTGGTGCGCGAATGAAGCGAGTAAGTGCTCGCCTCCGCTGAGTGACGATGCCACTCGTCTTTAAATTATAATTTTGGAACAATTCTTACAGTACCTTACGATTTCATCATCGCGGCCGTTTAATATCGCATATCGCAATTAAATGGTATATCGGCACATCCTTAGTTTCAGGTCTGGAAAACGAGGGGGCAAGTCAATAGCCTTCTTAATATAGGAACTGCTGACTCTGGTCACTTGTCATGCAGCAGAAGGAAGCCAGGGTTCACTGCAGTTACATATAGTCCGTCAGTGGGTCTGAAGATCTCATCCAGGTACCCAACAGCAGTCAGGGTGCCTCTGGCGAGCATGTGGAGATCTGTTTGGTCTGCTCGTTAAATATAAAAGGCCTATATGATTTGTTGTTGTTGATGTTCTCAGTCCCCGACTGACACATGAACCCCTTTTTCCAAATCAATTGTAGCCCACAGCTGTACACATGATCACCAGAGTAGACAGGGAATAGGGTGACTGTTTCGACCTGGGTGACAGAAACAGGCCAGGGCTAATCCATCAGCCATAATGATTTTTACTGACTACATCATTCTCTCTTATCCTCACTCCCCACTTCCCCAATCCACTCTGTGTTTTGCAGAGTATTCTAGGCTGTAATGTAGAGTGTTTCCCATTGCTGCTCATGGCTTGAGATCTTGCCCCGACTTTCAAATGCCAGTAAAGGGAACATGGCCCATGAGCAATTGGTCATCATGTTAAACATCTGGGTGTGGGAACGATGGAAAAAACACTTAAGTGAGGATGCCAAAGGAGGATTTTCAGTTCATTTTAACAATTTAAAACAAAGTTCGGTAGTATTTCACAAGGTTTTAAAAATAAAATGATCATCAGTCATAGAACTGCAAACTACTTTAAATGGGCACGAATGAAAATGTCGTACAATGCTAAAAATAGTCCCTGATGTCACAGTGCAGGACTGCTGTGTTTTCCAAGAAACCAATAAAAATGTTCCAAAATGTGACCGGTGAACCTAAATTAGACGGCTTTGACTGATGACACACTGAACAACAAATGCGGGAGAGCGCAAGGAAAAATCAATATTTGAAACCCAGCCAAGGAAAATACTGTGAAAGCCGAGGGAACCCAAACATTTAAAGTAATGCTGTCATGCTGCCTCTGTGGAATGGAAAAAAGATGATTTTGTTATGGTTTTTAAATAGATTGGGGTTCAGATTTTTAATTTCACTAAGAATTTAAATGTAGGAACAAACAGTAATTTGGCTTTTGAAATTTCTCATCAGGACTGCACTTTTAGGCTTATCGTGTGGATTCCAATAAAGCCAGAGAACATCCAGGGAGCAGGTGACAGGGCTGGAGAGCTGAAATGGAGCTTTCTTTGTGACAGCGGGGATTTGTCTTTGGGTGGATTGGGCGGATAAAAATAAAAACAGAAAAACAAGAGTGAAAGAAAGAGGTTGAGTGGGGGGAATAGATTAACATAAGTCACAGAAATGAGAAAAGAAAGACAGCTAAAGAGGATTTGAGTTGATTGCAGTGAAAGTGCTGTTGCCTGCGTGTGCATTATTAATTCCCATCTGTTTTGATTACAAATACAGGAGGCAGCTGCTAGGGATTCGATTCACAAACCAACACATGCTGCTGCTACAAGTCCCCATTTGGTCTAAGTAATTCGATATGGGAACTAGCTATCCTGTTCACATGCAACTAAAACTATCTTTATGATATCTTGACAAAGAACCAATAACCAGTTAAATAGTTCGCATGCAATTTTTTTTAGTCAAACCTTTATTTAACCAGTGAGATCAACAACTCTTTTGCAAGATTGACATAAAGAACACAAAACTGTATTTACTCAGCGTTAAGACAATTCACAGCACCTACATTCACTTTCTATCTAAAGATGCATTAAATTTGAGCTCATCTTTGGAGAACTGTCATGAGGTTTGCTTTGTTTTCTTGTTAAAATAAGCAGGGAGGGAGAGAGAAAGAGAGAGTGTGTTTAAGTCTTGTACAGTGCACACAGGACATAGACCCGGTGGATTATTAATAGCAAATCAAAAAACTTAGTTTCCATCGTGACTAAGTCCATTATGGAAAGTGTTTCCTTTTGTTACCTAGACAACAATCAAGCAATGACAAATGAATATGGCACGCAGATGAGTGATGTGACAGAGGGCAGGTGGAAAACTGGAGAGGAGACAATGGAAGGGTAGAAGGCTGGAAAACTATTTCTGTTTGCACCCATCATCAGTCCTCTTTATACATTCTTACATTTTGACTTGAGCTTCATTTTGCTTCTTGTAGATATCTCATGGTTTTTTGTATACAGAGACTGTTGGCAAAATAATGGGAATATTTCATCCTGACTTGGAGGTATTATAGAAATTCATATGAGCAGTTACAAAGTCCAAGTTATGATCTTGGTCCTCTTCATGGCCATGTTTACGGTAGAGAAGAGATTAAGACCAAAAGGAGGTGGAGTAGCCATCCAGCTGTTACAACTGACTTTATTGCACTGTTTCCTACTGTGTTTGAAATTCCGGAGATTTAAGTTCTCTTTTTTCGGTGCATAAGTATTTTTGACTTCCTTTGCATTTGTGCCTATGGCCTAGGGAGGCTTTATGAACTCACTTAACGAGCTTGGATTTCTTCTTGGATTCCCACGGCTTAATCCCAACCAACAAGGATGTGGGTGTGTGCAAAAAGTGGCACGCCTTGGATAAATATCCTGTCTCATGACACCTAGCATCCATGATGATGGATCATGTTACAAAGAGTACCAGGATTAAAAGTAATATGTAGCTGCTGGTCACTCCAAGGGATTTAGTTTCAGGAACAAACACAGGCCCACGGTTCTTCTGCTAGTTTAGGAGTAGGGGTGGGAATCACAAGTGGCCCCACGATACGATATTATCATGATACTCTGGCAACAAAACGATATTATTGCAATTTTCAACATTTTGCAGTACAGTGACTATAACCCTATAACTATAACTATAGCCCATTGGGCTAGAATCTGGCATATTTACAGTTACTGCTGTGCATGTTCATTAATATGCATGTTCTGACTTCTAAATAAATATATAAACAAAATAAAATAAAATAAATAACAATACAATATAATACGATTTATACAAAATTTTCAACTGTTTAGCTATTTTAGCATTTGTCTTTCTTTTATGTTTGTCTTATTTATGCTGTATTTCTTTTCATGTAGCACATCTTGCAAACTTTTTATATATTTGTTGTACTAACTTTCTCCTGCTCTATGATGTCACCTCTGCCAACCTCACTGGACAAACAGTTGATTTCATTTTTCCATTATCATAGATTTGACTTTATACTAACAATTATTTTGTAAAATCAATACTTGGTCAACGAGAAAATACAATATATCACCATGTAAAATATTGTGATGCTACGCTGTATCGATTTTTTCTCCCAACCCTATTTAGGAGAGTTCAAAAGGTTTGACTTGAGGATGGAAAACAGACTGATTAAGACAGGAGGACATTGTCAATCCATGGGGGCATTTTGGAAGACAAAAATGGTCTTGTCTCTGTGATGGAATATGTGCAATTTCCGTGAAGAAAAAAATATGTCGGTGCTAACGCTAATAGTTTTCCTCCTCGCTTGCACAAACACAAAACAGACTGAGTCAAGCTTAAGAAGTGCAAATGAGTTACGGGTCTACAAACGATGAGTGAGGGGAAGGCCATCTGCTCACAAGAAACCAAACAACTCCATTTTGAGACAAATAGATAGCACCCACCCACACATACAGACACTCACTCACAGAAACAAACATGCACACAGTGTCCTAAAAAGTTAAGAGGTTTAAAAAAAGGATTTCAAAAAGAAAAGTAGAACGGCAAACAATGAGGCGCTGTCTGACAGAAGTCAAGACAAAATACAGAAACAGTATTCAGGATCATTTTCCAGCCCGTGACCACCTCGTACCCTTAAGCTAGCTAATACAGGTGCAGATACCTTCACTCACACAGACACAGCTGTATGTGAAACAGGCCAGTTCTTTCAATGAATACTGCCTTCATCTCTTACAGTTTTAAAGCAGCCAAGCCCCTCTTCAAATGTCTTACACTCACCAACTATGTAGATATTAACACTGAAAAGGTCCAAGGATACAGTGAAGTCCTTGGTAAGAGCAGATGACTAAAACCTAATACTGTTAATATTTTTTGTGTTTCTACTTATAAAATACTGGAAATAAGCAGAAAAAGAACATGTATTTGAGAAGAAATCAAATGAGTTTGACCTTAGTCAAGGAATTACTTTCTTGTCCTCAGGTTGAAGACAAGCCATGGTAGGAGAAGATGTATTTTTTCAGAAGATTCACACTTTAAGCTTTAATGGAATTCTTCACTGTTGTTTCATGTTATATTTAGCTGCATGTCAACTTTTTAAGCCCACTGGGAAATTCTTAAGAGAGTTACAAGTTTCTCATCACAGTCCTCAAATCTATGTAATCCAATCCAGCAGCCAGGCTGTAAACTCCTCTTTGTGAAGGGATAATGTTGGTTTATTGTGTCAGAGGTGTTGACTTGAATCCAGCTTTTTTTTTAATGACTGCTACATATGTAGTGCTGCGTTTTCTTAAGAAGTGTTCAGTGAAAGACCATTTGCATGCTGAGTTTACTGCCTCTGTGTAAAGCTTGGTTTGTGACAGTGTCTTGAGAGGTAATTCTACTGTTGAAACAAACAAAAATAAGGATCTTTATAAACACATACCCTAAAACTTTTCTATCACACAAAAAACACATCATTATTGAATTGAAATAAATTAGACTATACACACTGACCTCTTATAATTTCTCCTTTTCACTTCATGGACAACATCCTTTTTGCCATCCAGAGAAATGGTTGTTGGACTTTTGCCCACACAAACATGTCACAGACCTGTAATGGTGCTCAGGTCACATCCTACAGACACAGTCTGCACTCAAATGATTCACTGGATAAATGTTTGCCAGCGCCTGCCTCTGTTACTTTCACTGTGTGCTGAGCAATGTTTCAGGCCAAAACAAATACTGAACCTTGCTGCGTCATCTTATCTGCTATAATACAAACTCTCCTGTGCCTCTCAGCCTAGTGTGTCATTAGAAGATTCATTTGAAGCCTATTCACTGATAAAGGTGCTAAAAATGGCCCCAGGAACCTGCATCTACACAGTCACAAATACCTGATCAAATACCTTTGCAGCTTGTGTCCTATCTAGATTGTGTTAGAGCCTGTCATGTGTAATGAGGCATAAATCCTATTTAAATTGGATGCTGACCAAAACAGCATTACATCGGTTTACTTAAAGCGATGACACATTGACAGAGCAAACAGAAACCCGGTCATGAGGTGAGTTTCACAATCATAAATTCATATCTCCTTTGCAAATATCCAGTCATCACACAGCATCAGTTTTCTTTGCAAAATCGGGCGCAATGAATAAAAGTTAATCCATGCTACCAGGCTTCAAAAGAACTGCAAACTTGTGGTTTTGTCCACCTAACTAAAAGGCGATTCTTTCTTAAAGCAGCATTAGAGCGCAAGAACAAATACCAAGGTAAGCTGAAATGCAAGGTACTTAAAACTGCTAGCAGTGACACACTTACGTTCCGAGGACTTCTTTGAAGTCGAACTGATCCCTTACATCAGTGGTCTTCTTTTTCCAGGCATGGCAGTCGTCACCAAGAGGCATCTTCTTGTTGTTACGGTCAGAAACAATGCTAGGGGAAGGGAAAAGAGGAAATAATTGTAAATACCAAGAGTTCAGCAGTCGCTTTTCTATTTTGGAAAACAGTCCTCACTTACAGGAAAAACAGAACTGACCTGACTTTTGTTACATTGTTGATAGTGTGATGACCAATTATAGTAAAAGAAATGTCAAGACTTGATTTACTAAAATCTGTTTCAATATTTGCTACACGTGACAACACAGTTATATCATTTATATGATTCCCGTTGGGTACACTGAGGTCCATAAAGAAAAATCTCGAGTAGATCTTAATAAGCCAAGTACTTTATATTTTGTTAAGTTCCATTCAAAAATAGAAGGACTTCAAATAATTTCAATTATACCATGTAAAAAACATCAACAACAACACGTGGAGGGGAGTCTCATCATTGTCACTATATTAGCTCGTTCATTTTTATTATATATTTTTATGTGCTGTGCATGTTTCATTTCTGGGTCTTAACTGAAGAGGTTTTGGGAATGTTTGTGTGAAGAGGGTAGGAAGTGTGCAGAAGGAAACAGAGACAAGTGTTCAAATAGCCAGACAAACAGGCTGTTGCATAATCTGACCAGTTGTTGCAAAGGCAATTTCTTGTGTCTCAAATGCCTAAAGAATGCAGTACACACAGCTTCTTCTCTCAAACCATTTTCACCCACAAAACATCATTAAAGGTATTGAACATTAGACCAGGCTAGACTTGATCCATGCTTATTTTTAAAGTTGTTGAAGATATGCATCTACAACAACAGGGTGTTTGGGTATTGCAACAATGCAATTACTGTGAAGGTTTAATATGCCACACAGTGTAGATCCGGCCTGAACGTATGGTGTTTAGTTTTATTGTGCACAAAGGTTATCCAGAGTTTTGTCATGTTCAAGAACTGTTATGATCAGCTAAAGCGGAATTTATGGTGAAGCAGGTTAAAAGTCAAATCTTTCAGGTTAATAAGTAGACAAAGTTCATTCAAGGAACAAATACAATGCTCTCAATTCTTACACCACACTACAGCAGAGCTGTCAGCCCTGCTGGAAACACTGGTTGTGTGCTTGGCTGTGGATGCTGGTCGTATAACCAGAGTTGACAAAACCCAAATGACACGAGGCAAAGACTTTCTCCTGGTGCTCACTTTGGTCTCGAAATGGTTTTGTTAAACAAACAGTGGTGAGACAGAAACTTAAATATTTGTCTGAAAGGAAGTCTGTCAAGAAGAACCAAAATCCATTAGCATCTCAGTCTATGTCAGCACATGTGTAATGTGAGCTTGAGTGAAGTGATGAGAACAGGCTTTACAAGCTGAGCCCCATTAAATATCAAGATACAAAGTACAGAAATACTGTCGTCGACACCAAAGAGTCAGAAATAGTTCATTCTCTGTTCTCTTTCTCAGCAGAAGCTATAGATTTTAGTCTTTATGGTCATAGAGGATCTGGCTGTTGTATTTTTCTTCATCTAAACTGTCAGAGTCCCCATAACTCAAGACCTGAAGTACTAAAATAGCCACGTTCATATCTGCATGCCTCCTCTTCCTCTTTTGTCTCTGCTGCCTGTCTGGCAACTTCGCAGTCTGTATCAGATGATGTAACCTTTTGTTCTGGATTAAACAGGAGCTATTTTTTAACAATATGAAAGCAAAATTAATCACCTTATAAGCAGAAAGACAGAAAATTGTAAGCTCATTAAAATATGTCTATGTGAAACATTAAGCGTTAGATAAAAGGCCTGACTGAACACTGGTCTTATCTTAGAATAAATGTCAGTAGAACATGGCCTCTTCCAGCTACATTGATTGATGCACGCACACACGCACAAAGTACCCCACATGCAGTGACATTCTCACACACACAGACACACAAATACCTGGTGCTAGGCTGTCTTCACTAATGTTAGAAGTCTGCTTCATACTTGTTGTCATGGGAAACCTAAAGGAGCTGATATGGTATCTGGGAGACTCTAAATTGCTTTCCTATCTAATGGTAGGTGGGAGCTCTGTTTGAACTCATCCTGGTCACTTTGCTGTTCATTTGGCTTTTGAGTGTGGATTAGGAGAAGATATCACACTTATGGGGAAACAACATAATCAGGTACAGGAAAGGTACTGTCTGAACACCTTTTCATTTCACAGACACTCTTCAGACTTCAAGTCTAAAAAGATTATATTCATTAGATGTGAAGCATTGTGTGCATGTCATCAGCTAACCATGACACAGCAGTACAACCTGAAGTCCTGTGAACAGTTTGAAATTTAAATTATCTAAAAAATTCCCCACTTCCTCCATTGCAATTTGCATACCGCTGGAACCAGATGAAGCAAAGGGAAGTGGCACTAAATTAGCCACGAAAAAGCTGCATGTAAAGTAATGTGCTTTGGGGAAGCAGTAAGGAGGAAGTTAAGTGAAATTTGTGTAAAAGCTTTGCTGGTAAATCGGTCACATTCACCTTCTCTTTCTCAAGTCTAACAACTACTATGGTGAACAAACAAACAATACACAGCAGACTGTAACTCTATTCCTAAGCACATCTTTAACTTGACACCAGTCTCTTTCTTTGGAAATTGAGGTTCTGTTACAGAGCATGATTTATCCCCTCTCAATGTTGTCATTGTAAAATGACTGGGAGTAGGTTTACAAAATGTACACCTCAACACTTTGTCTACCATGAAAAAAAAAGGACGTATAATTCTTTTATAAATCTAATGATAGGTTTCAAAGACAGGACTTTGACAGCCTCTTGAGAAATGCTCAACACTGCAGTACCTTGGACGTCCACTTGAGGCTGTTTCAATAAGGCCCAGAAGCCACATACACACTCATTTTAAAACCATTCTCAACAGCAATAATAAACATGTTAACAGCCTGGAACAAAAAACAAACAAACAAACAGACAAAAGTTAGATCTGCTTGTTTTGCTCTGATTTGCTCATTCATCTATTTGTAGCCACTGTATGGTAAGGTTCGTCAGTTCAGTTAGAAATTCCATACTTTTCCATACCCTACTTTTCAGAATTATTTTTGGAAATACCTACTTTTCTATTTTGGAAAACAGTATTTTTAAGACCTGGAAATTGATCGAATTTATTTCTATACACTCTATACTTCCCATTCTTGCATAGGAACCCTGTCAGCTATAGTTTTAAAAATATAGAAGTTAACAAAGTACAGACACTGCATAACAGTGTGACTGACTTGATTGAGAGGTTGGCAGACTTGAGCTCACAGAGGTAGTCAGACTAAAGGCCCATTAAACTTCACCTCTCGGTCACCGAAAGTTAGCTTGAGTCAGCATTTGCAATCTGGTGACAGTCATCACTGGGCTTTAAAACTTAACTTTGAAAACCATTGGGCGATGTCTTATGTCTTATACTGTCTATGGTTGTAACTGATTAGCTCAGTGGTGTCATGATTTTTGGCATTCATAGTTTAACTGATAGGCCTATTCTTGTCTTTCAGCTAACACTTGATAGATAATTTCATTGTCATGTTTAAATTAACTGCAGGAGAACATGTATAGTTTTGAGGGCACTAAGTATGAAAAAAAAGAGTGAAAACACCTCTCACACTGCTTGATTGTGGCATCTCATCTTGCTCACATGGAGATTCATGGAGATTCATGGTAATTCATGCATTGAGAATATTCAACATCAAAGTCGCCGAAAACCCATGAACACAAAAACCTTTGCTTTTTTGCTGGTTGTGTTCATATTGCAACTTAACATTTAGCAACCCAGAAAACAGCAACATGCAACGAAGTATGCTATATAACACCTGGGTACATTTTTTATTGTGTATCCTCACATCACATTTTAAATAACACATTTCAATTATGAGAGCTGTTGATGACATTGTGGAAGGAAGACTGTTGTATGTCAAAAAGGAATAAACAGCTTTAAACCGTAGATTCGGGTTCAAGTGTAAAACACGTAGGGGCAGGTGAGGGCACAGTTTTAAAATGTGGGAGAGTAGAGGAGAGCAACATGCGGGTATCTGGTGAGCATGTAGAGGGCGAACACAGCCCCTCCATGTCCACTGATGACATGATTGTTGACTAGTGGGTGAAGATAAGCTGCTGAAAAGTAAAATAAAACAAGAAGCGACAGGATTGAAGAGGCTTGAGCTAGGGAGACGCACTCTACCGGAATCATCACATTCCCTGAGTATAGTATGTGACATGCAACATTCACCCTTGTTTAAGGTTTACACAGAAGAGAGCCGCTGTACTCACTGGTTTCCCATTCCTGTGATGTGCAGTGGACAGAAGAAACACATAAACACATTCACATACAGGTACACACAACCAGAGTTAACATGTGACGAATGACATACAGTTAGGCTTTCTGAGTATGAAATTTCATTTGCAATGGTGTGAAAACCTTAGCAACACTTATACACATGTGCACAAACAAATTCAAACAAGACACATTTCAAATTAAAACCAGACACATGAACAAATAAAAACAGAAAAAACTGAGTCATTAAACACGTCGCGAAACAAACCCACTCATCATCTTGAAACTGGATAGTTTGTGTCTCAAAGTAACAAACTGGTTCTCTTGTTTTACACAACAACAGCACACACTGATCTCAGCTTCTCTTTACTGTCAGCTTCACACTGTGAGGAATACTGCTACCAAGCTATGAGTGCTGACTCAAGCCTTGCCGGAGGATGCATTCTCATCAAACCAGATTCTCTACTTATATTAGGAAGCAAATTGTTTTTGGAATAATTACATCTTCCTGTGTTAAGGGCTTTGGAAGGTCAGGCGCTTGCATGTCTGCATCACTTGTCTATTTTTGCCGTCAGAGCTGCAGAAGGATCCTAATGAATTTGATTTGTGATACAGCATTATTTGGTTTTCACAGACAGTAAGCACTTTTCCCCTGGCACACATTTTTTATTTAGGACCTCTTGGGGTTGATCAGGAAACTAATGAGTACTGAAATTAGGGCTGGGCGATTTGTGAAAAAGTTTATCACAATTTTTTTTTCCGATATCGATATATATATCACAATATAAAGAATGAAATTGAACAGTGCTTATTGGTAGAATGTCTTTTACAGTTCAATAAGCTACTGCATCTGTGAGGTCTTTGTGTCTCTTCGACGTTTTGTCGTAAGACGGTGCGCTAGAAAAAGCAGACTGAATGGTCGGCTGTTTTGGATGCACAGGCGCCACGGGCTCCTTGCTCTGCTCGGGGTTTGTGACCTTTTTCATTGCGTGTACTCTGCTGCATGGCACTGCTTCAGGTGGTGGAAAAGATTTGAGGTATTCCACGACTTTGTGAGAACATGTACTCGACATAATTTGCAGTGCACATTACTCTGCTTTATGTCCGACCTAAAAAAAAAAAAAACCTCCACACCATCGATGTTATCATGCCAGTGTGGTTGACGATGTCATCATCTGTTGAGCCTTCATCTGCATTTCTGTCGCGGGGTAGCACTCATTTTCTTTTTTTCTCACCAACAGTGCTGTCGGCTTTACGTGTTAAAGTGCTATAGTTGCTGCACCCTGCTACAACACAGTTGTTTGCTATTTGGTTCTAATTCAGCGCATGATTGATTCAGCGCAAAACGGACCCGGAGCAACTCCCCTTTTTATCCGCTATTCGTATAGTCTACCAAAACACGGCAAAATGCTGACTATTAAAAGGGATATTGACCATGTTTTATATTGATACTGAGGGAAATTAATTTTCGATATATATCGGTACGGTTGTATCGCCCAGCCCTGACCGAAATGCAGCTAAAAAAATAACAAATCCAATATAACTAATACATTAAGTACAGTAATCAGCAATAAATCACAGTGCAGGCTCTTGCAGTGGCGGGTGAACACAAATGCATTTTAACAGAGGAAGCACTTTGTAATTCCCTGATTTTTCCTCTATAGTCTTTTGACATTAGCTACTAAAGGAATCAGAATCCTATCCAAATATCTGCCTAATCCATCCAAACCTGCAGCCCCCCCCAGCAATCAACTTCTCTGTAGCTTCTCAGTGGCAGACAGGCAAACACAAAGATGTTAGCAGACACTGTGATTGGTCAGGTGGTGTCAATGACGCACAACAAATCTCCTCTCCAAGTGGGTTTATTAAGTGATCAGCAGACTAACTTCTCCTTACATCATCTCATTGACAGAGAAGTTGGAGGAGCGTATATATTAAAGAGAAAGGGAAAGAGAAAGAGGAGGGGGAGAGGGCGGAGAGTAGAGGTGTGGTGAGAGAGTCAGTCAGAGAAGGATAGAGAGAGAAGAGGTGTGAAACAGAATTTGGGGACCAAATAAAAAAGAGTTAAAAACAAAAAAAGGTTAAGCAGTGGAAAACAACACACCCTTGCATGTTAAATGAGAAAACCTTCCCGCCATTTCTGATGTATGAACTGAAACACCGTCAGGGCTCCCTGAAAACACAACACCGACAAACTGAAAGGGCTTGCTATGTTTTTCTTTTGACAAAAATTCAGCATCTCCGAAACTGCAGCTTCACTAGAGGTCCTCTTAATGTGAATGGGGTTAAACATACGCCTGACAAAAACGGCAACTTCAGCATTTCGCCCCATCTTTTAAAAAGACTCACGGTAGTCTATCAAAGTCACTCACCCGTCCACCTACAGTTCATCTTCAGCAGACGGTGAATTGACGTTAAAGCGACCGTTAACGTAAACTGAACGTTTGCTTCAACACGAGCTCTAACGCTGCCTTTTTTCAGAGAGACTAGGTTAAAAGTTTTGTTTCCTAGCAGTGTGAAGGGATATGGACGTACCTGAAATGTGGCAGTGAGGTCCAGCGTCCGTGTCCTGTGTCGCTCCGTCCCTCTGTCTCCTCAACTCAAAGCGCTCTCACCGGAATCTGGACTTGGCAACCTCAACAGCAGAAGCGCTCCTCCTTACGTCATCTCGGGGCGGGACTAGAATGGCTGATGGACCAATAGGAGCCCGGTTGACGCTTGCAGGTAAACACTCCTGCAACATGATTGGCCTCCTCTCTCTTTACCCGGTGACTACCATGCTGTGCTGTGAGGAAAAATGCTTGGAGTTCTTTCAGCGAACAGCTTTGACAGGTTATAACAAATTACACCTGCTGAAAACGGAACATGCAGGTAACAACTAAAAGCAGCTGTAGGTGCTATATGTAGGGCACATTAAATCATTTCTTGTTGTTCACAGTTGTTTATACTGTTCCTGGAACATATTAGCCTACAGTAAGTACAGTGATAAACATCACTTTCAAAACTAAGGTATCAGAATCTAACAAGGTAGGGTAACAGAAACATTATCCTGGCTTATGCAAGCTACATGCAAGTAGACATTGAAACAATAGTTACAAATGCATGTCAAATTTGAAGCCACCGTAATTACCAGCTCATCACTTCATATTGCCAAGGTTTGTGTACATGTTGATGTTATACATAGTTCCAGAAATAAGGGGAAATACTAAGGACTAATAAGTAGTGTATAAAAAAATTTATAGTAATCGCAGTAAAATTAAGAGTGTTAATGGATTAGTTGCCTATCATGTGCCAAAACACCAGATAAGCAGCTATAAATAGCTTGAAATGCACAAATACTGGGGGTTGCAATTATTTATAGTGGAAAAACATATTAAAGTTTGGAACTAATTTTTCAACAACAAAAAACAAAAAATGCTCATTTTGAATTGATGCCAGTTTTGATTTTTTAGGCCAACCCTCACATACTGTTCAAATCCTGTACCCTCACAGTATGTTCCGTCAAAATTGACCCAGCCCAAGAATTGCCCATGTAGCAAGTATTTTCACCAAATTTCTAACCACAAACCTATTCATAATGTTTAAAAAGACCTATGCTACTTCAAAAAATTATTGATTAGTCCTTCCTCAATGTTTCAAAGAGCAGGGAAAGTGTATTTTTTCAGTTTTAACACCACTCGTTTTTTGGTGAAATATATATATTTTGGAGAAGAATATCTATTACACAAGATAATTCAATTCAATTCAATATAGCTTTATTCATCCCCTAGGGGCAATTGAAAAGCAGCAGCTGAGCAAACATTAAAATAGAATAGAATAGAAAAGGAGAAAAAAGTATAAAATCAGTATAAACGTCATCAGTATACATCAACGTCGTAAATATAATGTCATCTAATATTATGTAAGAAATAAAAGAATATAAAAGTCATAATGATTTGAACATATTTTTATGAACAACAAACTTCATATTGAACACTGTTCTCACTGTTTTTCACTGTCCTCACTGCTAGTCTCTGCATTCAAAGCAAAGGTAGGACACTACATGTGTGGAGCTTGCACGTGTTTTCCACTGAAATGGCAGCTCTCTCTACTGTCATAATGTTACAACTCCCACCGCCTCCCTCCCAATCAAAACTGATTTCAATTAGTTACTTTGTACATTATATTGCAGGAGCAGGTGCACATGTTACATCTGTGTCAAGGCACACTCTGACCTCCGGATGACTTCTAATCCCTTTGTGCACCATTTATGATCACTCATGTGTTGTTTGTTTACTATTTCTTTATTTTAGGATACCTTATATTTTAGGACCCCTTCAAAGAGCTCAAAGAGCAGCTTTCAGTCATAGAAGGTTCTCTTGACTGGTAAGGTCATCTTGACCTCTGTCTAGGTGTGTCTGTGTGACTGTATGTCTGTGTGTGTGTGCGTGTGTGTGTGTGTGTTTCTGTCAAGGTAATAATAGTTTCATAATGATTTGAATATATTTTTTTGAACAACAAACCTTATATTGAACACTGTTGTTACTGCTTGTAACGATCCATCGAAATAGATACGGGTCAAATGAAAACAATGAAAAAAGTGTAGCACATATACAAAAATACACAGGAATATTTTTTAATTAATGTCATGTATTTTGGGCCACTTCAGGAAAAGTCATCAAGTTTCAGGCTTAAAAAATTACGTTTAGGGTAATTTTAATGCTGTTAAAAGTCAAAACGGGTCAAATTTGACCCGAACAGTATGTGAGGGTTAAGAAAAACTGGTCACTTCTCTGCTATCCATCTCAAACAGGATCAGGTCCAGAGAAGTCACATTTTTAGATCATGTTATACATGGTTCCTCTCTTTGCATGGTACAGTTGTAACCTTTTATTGTGGATGCATTGACAAACTATACACAGACAATGGTCTTTATATGCGTATGTATCAGGTCCCTGTATTCAGTTTCTTGTCCATTTCTGATACATGCCATGATAGCAGTGTCATCTGAGTATTTCTGGATGTGTCAGGACTGGAGTCAGGACTATACAGTGTGAACAGGAATGGAGCAAGGACTGTCCCTTGTGGAGCCCCTGCACTGCTTATTTATGTCCCAGAAGTCCAGTTCCCCAGCCTGACAAACTGTGGTCTTCCTGTCAGGTAATCTGTGATCATGTAGAGGACGGCATCATCCACTCAATGTGTTCTTTGTATGCAAACTGCAGGGGATAGAATTGGTATGACCTCTGACCTCAGTAGGCATAGAATCAGCTGTTTCAGAGTTTTCATTATGTGTGAAGTGAGGGCCACTGGTGTGTGGTCATTTAGTACCGCAGGACATTTAGTTTCTCTGTACTGGTACAAGATGTTTTCCACAGAGCAGGTACCCGACCCAACTGTAGACTTAGGTTGAAGATCCTGTGAAGAGGTTGACACGGTTGTGCAGCACAGTCTTTAAGCAGACTTGGACACACATTATCTGGACCAGCTGCCTTGCCAGGACAAAGTCTTTCAAGCTCCAACCTCATCCCTGTTTCTGTGACAGGCAAGGGCAAATGTAGGAGGGAGGTAGTTGAATGAGATGGAAGAGGAAGGACAGAAGTTGTAATGGAGTTTTCTATATGTTCAAGAGAGGAAGGTGGAACAGTAGTGGAAATAGGAGTGTCAGCCGTGTCAAATCTGTTGAAGAACAGGTTGAGTTCATCAGCTCTTTCCAAATCATCCACTATTGGCTGCCTTTTCTTTTCATTGCTGTGTTCACAGATGGTACTGATTCCTCTCCACACTTTAAGGATATTGCTGTGTTGTAAATTCTTCCAATCTTCTTTTTGCATTCCAGCTTTGCCATCTTCAGTCTCCTCTACAACTCATGTTGCACTTGTTTGAGCCGTTCTTTGTCACCATCTCTAAAAGCTTTCTTTTCTGGTTGAGGATTGCTTTTATGTCACTTGTGATCCAGAGTTTTTTTATTGGGGAAAAAGCGAGCGGTCTTTGCACTCAAGAAAATTCTTCTGTAGTATTTTAATGTTTTGTTGTCTGTGCTCCAACTGATTCGAAACCAGATATCGCTGGCTTCAAAGTAAAAATGAGCATAATCCTGTCATAAAACAATTATCTTTAGTTTCAGCATTTGATATGTTGTCCTTGCTCTATTTCCAATCCAAAGTAAAAAGTTTTGAATTATTTAAAAAACCATCATATTCTGTTTTCATCAACATTTACAAAATTGGATTTTGGATTGTGGGCCCCACTCAACTTCTTTTTCCCCCCATTCTGACAGTCCTGGTTATTGTAACTACTATCAGCTTGTCAAAGTTAAAGACTACAAGCAGCAGGCCAGTTGTTTAGAAAAATTTGCTTCAGGACACAGTGAGAGTTTAAAATGTAAAGATCCTTCTTGTCTTATTATCTTATCTTATTTTAATCTTTGCATATTTATTAGGTGACATACCTTCAATTTAAGTACAACATCTTTTCTCTCTTGAACCAGACTTATCTTGTACTGCATTGCTCTGAGATTTGACTTTAAATTACATGTGCTTGTTATTTCATCCACATGTCTACTTGACTTTATTTTCTGTGTTCTGTTCAGGTTTTACCTTTGGACACATGAGTTGTTGTAATTTACAACAAAAGTAATTTTGATATTGATTTAAATGAAGGCTGAAATGTAAGCCACACAAGACCCTAGTGCTCTATCTTGTTGACTACATGACTGAAAACAGCAAAGTTGAAGTACACAGAAAGCTCACTGGAATTCTGCAACCCAGTATCAATTTTGTAACTGGCAATGGGTGTGATAATAATAAATGATTTTTTTAACATTTATTCTCCCTGAAAGTGAACTAGAAATACTGATCCTTCTCTCTAACAAAATGTAGAATAGAGGAGATACAATTTCCCTTTGTAGTTTAAATACAGTTTATCTCTGGTTACAAAATAAACATGAGGGGAGCCTTTACAGAGTGGAGAAATTGGCATCAATACAATCATTTGTCTGTTAGGCATATAAAAAATTGATTGTATGGTTATAAATGTGGCTATATTATGAGTTTGAGGTCTTTTTAGGGCTCTTTTTGGGAGGAACAACAGCACTCCCTACTGACTGTGAAGAGAACTGGCCAAGGTTGCAGCACCTGGTATTCCTAAGAAAAGATAATATCCAAGTTTAACTAGGCTGGAACCTGCTAAGCCAAGATCTGATTGGAAATGTTCAGACCACACAGTCCATTGTTCAGACTGGTATGACTGCAAGCAAGCAAAGGGTGGCTACTTTAAAGAAACTAGAATATCAAACATGTTTTCAGTTATTTCACACTTTTTTTTACAAAATTCTACATGTGTTCATTCATAGTTTTGATGCCTTCAGTGATAATCTACAATGTAAATAGTCATATAAAAAGATAAAGAAAAGACATTGAATGAGAAGGTGTGTCCAAACTTTTGGCCTGTACTGTATGTATATATGCATCTACACAAATTTGCATATAGATATAACTCTTTTTTTTGTCTTTTAAATTTCCCTCCTTTTATTTATTTATTTATCCTTTTTTTTTTCAAATCTTCCTTTTCTTCTCCTTTTTTTATTGAAATAAAGTTAGTTAGATTTTTGGAGTTCCAACCATACATTTTCACAAGTTATAAAGTATTTTCAGTCCCCTTCTACACAGACCAGAACCTAAATTCAGAACAAAAATGAATCTTTCTTTTGTTTTCTTTTCTCTTCTCTTCTCTTGGCTCAAGAGAACACTATTTTAAGGTAGCCTTAGTCATACTCATAGACTGCATAACATTGTCAAACCTGCCGTGTCTTAGTCCACTCGCTTGGTGGCGCTGTAAATTAGACCGAGCTGTATTTAGGTCTTAGTAGACCCCTCTCATCATCATCGTTGGCAGCGAGTTGCCAGTTGCCTAGTGACGACAAACTCTCGACTGCAGTTTATTTCCTGCGTTTTGAAAATCTCTTCGCTGGCACTGAACTGGAGCTAAGTTACTGAAGAGATTTCACGTCTTTGTCTTGTCTCTAAAGCTGCTCCATGGGACGTAATATAACCTTTAGCCTTGCTGGAGATGTCTGGTAACGCAACAACAGTGCAGGATAATGGTTTAGGACGCGCTCTGGAGAATGATGAATAATTATATTTTCATCAGGGTCGTTGGGAAAGGCAGCTACGGGGAAGTGAACTTAGTCAAACACAAAACAGACCGAAAACAGGTAAGAAACACAAGTATAACATATTGCGGTATTTCCCAATAGTTCACAGGCACTTAAATAAGCATCGTATGGTGTTAGCAGTAGTGTTTGCCAGACTTTGAGGTGCAATGTTCCCCTTGACTTAGCTTTAAGTTGCTATAGTAGGCTAAAGATTCACAGATGAGTCCATATATGTGTGTTATTTTTAAATAAATGTAGTGATTATTAGTATTATTAGTAAAGATGAGTTATGTCGGTGTTTTCATGCAAATAACACACACTTAGCATGTGTTGTGTAAGTGTGCTGAGATTTTTTATCAACTTCTTTGTAACGATGTCAACTCTAACTATAATATCTGCTGAGCTCCACTGTGGCTGCTATTGAGAGGAGGTTTTTAAGTTTGAGTTATAGTTTGATTGTTTGAGTATTATTATTATTATTATTATTATTATTATTATTAAACCAGGTTTGTCCCACTGAGATCCAAGATCTCTTGCAAGAGAGACCTGGCCAAGAATGTCAGCACATACAGTTTTAATACAATAATCACATTAATCATACAGAATGCAAGGAATACATATGATAATATTTTCAAAATTAGTGAAAACAATTTACAAGATCGGTCAAACATTTGCACTCAAATAAAATAATTGCACTCCTGAAGCCTGGATGTAATGAAATTTATCATGGATACCAAGATGGCCAATTTACTTTACTGTATAAGGCACAATGAAGAGTTAGAGCTCCACAGTTTGGAATAAACCTCAGAGCACCATGATACACACTATCCAGCATGTGGAGGCATTGAACAGAGGCATTCATATAACACATCACCGTAATCAATAATCAGAAGATAGGTTGACTCCACTAGTTTCTGTTTCACTCATAGTCTGTAGAGTATACAGTACTATATATTCTATATACACAATACTGTATATAGTATATACAGTCTATAGTTTCACCCTAAAAGAGAAGCAAGACTTATTTCTAAAGTAAAATCTAAGTAAAAGCTTCAGCTTCTTTATAGTGTACTGAATATGTGCCTTAAAGTCAAGTGGTCGTCAATCAAGAACCCCAGGTATTTAAAAGTAGATACAAGTTCAATTTGTTGACCATTACTGGTGACAATGACACACTGACTTGATCTTGCTGATATAGAGGTCTGGTTTTGTAGTCAGAGCAGAAAGCAAAGATCAGCTCAGAGAGTAATAATCATATTTTGATCAGCAGTCTTGACAAGATCTGTGAACTCATGTGTTCCCCTAAGTAACTCCAACCAACACAGTACTGTAATAATATTTAAAAAGGATCATCTTAAAGTTCTTTGCAGTCTGGTTAAAATGCGGAAGTTCCTTTAAATACACATTTGATGTTCAGAGTTTTTCATCTCTGAACTAGTACATTCCCACTTATTCACCTTCTTTATTCAACAGTATGTTATCAAGAAGCTGAACTTAACCACCTCTTCCAAGCGGGAGCGTCGAGCTGCAGAGCAAGAGGCGCAGCTTCTGTCCCAGCTGCACCATCCCAACATTGTGACTTACAGAGAGTCTTGGGAGGGAGATGACTGCCAGCTCTATATAGTGATGGGCTTCTGTGAAGGCGGAGACCTTTATCATCGACTCAAACAGCAAAAAGGGGAACTCTTACCTGAGAGGCAGGTGGTGGAGTGGTTTGTCCAGATAGCGATGGCACTCCAGGTACAATGAAAGATTAAAAACAATGGCTGTGATGGCATCTGACATCATTTGTTTCTTTGTAAAATTAAAGGCATTCAATAATTCTGGTCTTGCTTTGCTTTGCAGTACCTGCATGAGAGGAATATTCTCCACCGGGACCTCAAAACACAGAACATCTTCCTGACCAAGACGAACATCATCAAAGTAGGAGACCTGGGCATTGCACGAGTATTAGAGAACCAGAATGATATGGCCAGCACACTCATAGGGACCCCATACTACATGAGTCCAGAGCTCTTCTCTAATAAACCATATAACTACAAGGTAATTCAGATATATCTTTATCGGTGTAGTTAATTCACAAATAATTATAGGAGCTGCTTTACAAATGATGCTTTTTTCCTCCAGTCGGATGTGTGGGCCTTGGGCTGCTGTGTGTATGAAATGTCCACACTGAAACATGCCTTTAATGCCAAGGACATGAACTCACTAGTCTATCGCATTGTGGAAGGAAAGGTAGGTTTTACCTCTTTGTCATGTCATCTACAAGACAACAATATAATTCAGTTCAGCAAATCAGTTTCTGGAGTTTGTTGTTTCTTAGTGTCAAAAAAGTGGCATAATTTTATTTAAAAATAACTTATAATATCTCTCTCTGGTTTCCTCATCAGCTGCCACAAATGCCCAGCAGGTATGATCCCCAGCTGGGAGAGCTGATCAAGAGCATGCTGTGCAAGAGACCTGAGGACAGGCCTGATGTCAAACTCATTCTCCGGCAGCCATACATCAAAAAACAAATTGCCATGTTCCTTGAAGCCACTAAAGAGTAGGTAGCATTGGTAGTAGATATCTGAAGTGATTTGTTTTATAATAAAAATCTTTGCAATTTGTTTCCTTTTGTTATTATTTCATTTGCATACTTCTCATTTTCAGTAAGTGTGAACACAATTCTGTCCCTCTATCAATAGGCCAAGTGATGAGCACCGTTTATAAGCTGAGTGATCTATTTTTTCTCAGATGTTTACATGTTTTGTTATTCCAACCAGAAAAACTGCTAAGTCAAGAAAGAAAGCTGTGGATGGCAGCGGTGATTGTAAGGGAAACAGTGCATCAACCCCTGCAGCATCATCTCAGTCAAAACCGAAGAAGAGCCCCCAGCATGAACCTCCAACCAGAGTGAAACGGGTGAGTGGCTAGAAGAAAGTGGGGCTACTTTGATATGAACAACCCCAATTTGATATTTTTGGTTATTTCTACAGCTTCGAAGTCTTTTGGTTCTGAACAAGAATTAGTAGAACATTGTGGATATGCATAGGTCTATATCAATGTTGAGCCTCCCTCCCTCAATCAGTGGAGGGGGAGGTTAAAGAAGGTGTACATGATGGAAAAGATAACAGCAAAACTCAAATTGAGAATGGAGGAGTTTCATATTGTATGGGCACCTGCCATTTCCTATTTAAAAATACCAGCACAGTGAGACCAAGAAAGTTGTGATTATGGAGTATGACCTCCTTTTCCTGCATGGGTGTATATATTTCCAATAGAGCTACTCATTTTTATATTGGTCAATTTATGAAGTGTATGTGACGTAAGAGAGACTGGGCAGGAGGGTATCCATGGGGAGAAGAAAATAAGTCTAGAGGGAGGTATAACGGGATAGTTCTTACTTCACCCTCAAACCTTATTTAATTTAATTTTTCGTCACTTGTATTTTATATCATTTTATGTATTTTATCATTATCATCATTATTTTTTCATGCCATGCAAATAACAATGTAGATGTGTTTGCCAAGTGTAAATAGTTGAGTTAATAAAATTGTTCAAATCGCCATGATGATTCTCGTAGTTTACTTTTTAAATTGTTTTTTCTTCATCCTCAGAAAGAAGAGAAATCACAACAACATAAAGTGCAGAATGGTGTCCCAGACTGTACCCATGTACACTCACCTCAACCACCCAAACCCTCCTCCCCTGATGCTCTTAAATCCAGCATCGTATCAATGGCAACAGTCAGCAACATTGACATTGATATCAAACAACCACAACAAGAAGAGGAGGATTTGCTCAAGAGACAGACACAGGAGTCCCAGTCAGTTTCGTCACATCACAAGTCAGGTAATGAGCCTTTGACTCACAGTGTGCACACAGACCGCAAGACAAGAGGAAAACCAGATCCATCTCCCCCTCTGAAATCTGTATCGGGTGTCGGCAGTAGAGGGATTGAAGAGAAGGGGTCATCCAGTGAGCTGCCAGACATTCACTCAAAGGCCAAATCCAATCACGGGGATACCTTCTCTCTCTGTGCAGAGAGGAAACTGTCACCAGAGGAGGATAAGGATGATACTATGGAGTTACTCAAAGAGGCTGACAAACAAAACCCAAAGGTCGAAGTGGAGAAAGAGGCTGCATACTCAGTCCCTGTGAGGAGAGCAGCACAAAAATCCAACATGGCTGATATTGGGATAACTGTAGAGATGATTTTGGACAATAACAATGACACTATCACGCTTCTTAAGGGAGCTCAGACACAGCACCATACCTCAGCCACACAAGTAAGCACTCTTAGTCAAAGATCAGCATTTGTGTTGTCTAAATATTTCTCTGTCAATGTGTAATCATTTTTTTATTGACAGGAAAACCTAGAAAATACTGAGAAGCTGTTAGAGCCGTTCCCTCCAATTTTGGTAAGCATCTAAACTCTTATTGTCACTCTGTAAGTTCTTGCCAGCATTAAGACTATTTGTTTCCTGTTTAAACCCAGCATCACAAAATACAGTTTTTTATTTCTGAAGAGGAAAGATCCGGAGCGCACTACATCTCCTTTTGTTGCAGTTTTTTATTGTTGTTGTTGTGTGGGAAGATTTTTGCTTAAGTTTGAAAAGTGTCAATATGTCGGTTCAGGAGGAATCTATGCAACCAGCCAGCAAGCAGGTTTTGGCCACTACATGCCAAACTCCTCTATCTTCACCATCAGAGCCATTTGTATCTGCACAGTTCAGAGGCAGACGGGCGCTTGGAGAGCAGGATCAGGTAGGGTCACATCTGCTTCTGTTGCAGAACTGATCATTCATGGCCAGTTATGATAGTAGATTCTATGACAGACATGAGACTAAAAAACAACATCACTGTGATCAGTCAAATCTTCGTTAATATTTTATCAATAATAATCTTTTTTGTCCATTGTTTTAGTCCAAAGTAGCTGCTCCCAGACCTTTACCTCCACCTCCTGTTGTGAACACAGCTGCAGAGGGGAGGAGGAGGACTAAGAGGAGCATAGAGAGCAAAAGAGCTGGTGGAGATGCTATCTCTTCATCAGTCAGTTCCATTAAGGATGGAGTCTTACCACTGGTAGGAATGTTCCTCCTTTCACATATACAGGGACTGAGAGCAGATACATCACTGCTGAGATGTTTGTTTCTTTTCAAAATGTCCACCCTAAAGCATACTGTTCTAGATCATTATTTGTATTCATGTTAATGCAATCTTAAGACATGGGGTTCTAATATTTTTTGAATGTTTACACATTGCTAATTGATATTGGGAATGAATTAACTGACAAAACAGTTAAAAATAAATCATTTTGTGCTCTAAACTTATCCCCATGTCAGCCTTCACTTTTTTAAACCTGCAATTTCACGTAAATAAACCCAGAGAATTAAATTTATGTTTTTAGGATCGTCCTCTGTCTGCCAGAGAAAGACGAAGGCTTAGACAATCGCAGGAGAGTGCCAGCCAATCAGGTATTTTGTGCTTGTTTTCCTTACTGGGCCATGATATTGTGCTTTCAAATAAACTGGAGACTGAAATTTAAGGAAAATCATTTGGAAATTGGCTTGATCAGCATTATTTCTTTGCTACTCCTTCCTCAGTTAATGCTGTCAGAAGGGCATCTTATGATGTCACCTCTACCAGGGATGAGAACCACAATAACCCAGTTTCCAGATCTGTGTCTGATCTTCACACTGAGACCAAAGGACAGGTGCTTGAACCCCATACTTGTACCTGATTTAATTATTTTACACATGAACGTAATAGAAGTCAACTTTTACTCCTTTAAGAAAGTGGGATATGTTTCATTGCAGCAGAATAAGATACAAGAGCAAAGGTCAGATGAAGACGAGTGCAGCTCATCTACAAGTTCCACAGAGCGCTCAGAGGGGGACTACAGGGACAGGTGGGAACATCTGTTGTTAAATTGTATTGTTATTTATATAATAAGCTCTGGAAAGTATGCATAAACTAATTTGATATAATTAACAGTTCTTGTTTTATCTGCAGGAAGTCTGAACCCAATGATATGCAGGATTTAGTCCACATGATGACTCAAACTTTAAGAATGGATATCAGAGACGGTGTGAGCGATGTGGACAACAAAGACAGATTTGGCTCAACTTCACTTCCAGAATTCAAACTGAACAGGAAGTACAGGGACACCCTGGTGCTTCACGGGAAAGCTCGAGGGGAAGCAGAGGACCTGTCACTTGGTGAAATCCCAACAGGTTGGATACTTGAAGTTATCTCTGCTGTCTTCGGTCTACCGGGCTCAAGTGTGTTTATGTAAAACCATCTTATGTCTCCAACAGGCTTCACATCAGGTCCAGCTAAAGTCAGGAGAGCCATAGAGAACCTGAGGACAGATGTGGTGAAGGGGCTGGGGGTCAAGCTGCTGGACAAGGCTCTGGAAATCATGGAGGAAGAGGACGACACCAAACGAGAAGTAAGATCGTAGGATAATTTTCCTGCAAAGTTTGAAAAGTAGGTAACCTGTCCTTGGTTTACAAAATAATCACAACTTGTCTTTCTTGTCACTGCAGCTGCGCCTGCGTGACCAGATGGGGGATGAAAAGTACCATGCCTATGCTGTGATGGTGAGGCAGCTGAAGTTTTTCGAGGATATTGCCCTCAAGGTTTAAAGAAAGCACTGTATAATAATCAAGGAGTGATTGTATTTTCACACATCACGGCTCATGTGTCCTCTAGAGGAAAGCTTCTTGACGGATCTTTGAGAAGAGAAAATTCAGTGATATGTCCATGTCCTGCTGCTTGTGGCATTGTCACATTTTCTCTCCTGCTTGTATGTAAATGATCATTTATGCATGCAGGCTCTGTGAACTAATGCATCCTTTTTTATACATTATTTGAACTCAATCTGTTATTTTGAATGCAAGAGTTCTGTTAGGTCAAAGCACTACTTTTTTTCCCTTTCTGTTGTTGAAAGTTTCTTAATTTATAATGTGAGTCAGACTTTTAATAGTTGTTTTTTCTTTTCCGATGCTGTATTCTATTCTCATACATAAAATAATGTAGATGCACTGTAGATATTAACATTTGAAATTTTTTAATAAACCCTGAATTTCTTTCATTTTTTCATAATTATTGACTGCAAAAAAGGAGTGCTCAATAAGAAATCCATCTCTTATCATGTTCTCACGTCACAGAAGGATAACAGCATTAATAATACAAGTGAAAGACAATTTGAAAAACACAAAGTATCAGCAGTTTATTATTTGGGCACAGAATTGTTTTATTCACTTTTAAATGCTAGAACAATATTTCTGAAATGGTTCAAATGTGAACTGTGAGAAAAAAATCCAAATAATCTAAGTACAAAACGATTCATAAACTGAGAGGCAGGTGGGGTTTGATGAGAGTTACTTGTGCTTCTTCTTCTTGAGACTTTCTTGAGGTTTTTGGCTGGGCTCGCCGCTGCTCTCTGGAATAAGTGGCTGCCAGGATAATGGATTCTGTCTGTACATGGGCCATGGAGGAAGGGTCAACTGAAGTGAAAGAAAGAGACACGATGAATTAATAGAAAGATGAAAGTTCTTCATTAGCGCCCTGAAGAAGTAAGCACACATGTAATGCTACACTCCAGTAGCTGTGATCAGTGTCTTCTGTTCACACATATGTGTACAATGTGATGCTGGGTACACATTCTATCTCTCTGTGTATTTTTCCTTCCTTACAAACAAACAAAACAATTTTGGAAACCAAACTTACCACACAAGACACAGCAAAACCACCCAACACTATGTACACTGTCCACCCAAACTGTTCGATGATCAGACCGTACACAAATCCAATCACCTGCAAAGAGAATATACATGATTTTAGTGAATCAGTCAAAGTCAAAGTCTCAATGATACACCTTTGAGATGTTTTTGAAAGTGGTGGGCCACCCGTGTTAAAGGGATATTCCGGCGTCATTATTTTCTCTAATGGTTTATTATTCTGTGTCTCTCTGACTTTTTATTTTGTTTTGTGCTTTCGTTGTTTCAGTTCCTTGTTCTATTATCTATAACTCTGTATTCTTTTATACCTTTTCATTCGTATGATATGTTTATCATTGTCCTAATTGTAAAAAGTATATCCTACATGTAATTTTCTTGGAGAATGCCATTTCTCAAGCCCCTGGAGAGTTTTCAGGCACTCTCCTTCACATAATCATTGAATCTTGTAACCTATGATTTTAAACTCTTTTGTATGTGAAAATAAACAAACCAAACCAAACCAAACCAAGTTAGGGTCAAATGCACCATAACACCGAGTTAGACACCCTGTCGAGAGATTAATGTTGTGGACCGCTTGCTTGTCTAGTTATACCAACTTTAGTAATGACCACAGGATAGCAATACAGAGAGCCACGTGCTCAACAAATAAGCCACTCTATAGCCACAAATATATTAATTTAAAATATTAATTTAGGGTTATCCCTTTAAGGTTACTTACCGCTGAGATGAGAATTATTCCCTGGAAAATCTGCTCAGCCAACTTCTGCCCCTTGTAGTCCTAAAATCACAAGGGATAAAGAACCATCATTTAGACCGAAACACTGTCAACACTGACATAAAGAGCATAGAATAAAGGTGATGAGGAAAGATGGCTAAACATGCAAAACAAGTATATGAGGGATAGATTGGTTTAATGGGAATACTATCGGGGATATTATATATAGATAGAGTAATATGGAGACCAGTCCCGGAAATATCGAAATATCAGGAAATACTAGTTTAAATTGGCATTTAGCGAGTTGTTTAATTTATTTACACCTTGCAGTGGACCACAAACATAGGATACATCTTCAGATATTGGCACAAAATGAGCGAGCAGCTGCTTCCTAACCATTGGCCAGCTCGGGACAAACGGAAATACAAGGTGAAAATAAAACTACATATAACAACAGGATAAAACAATAATATCTTACCATATGCGTCGGAATTGTCTTAAATATAGACAGCATCTTTGCACTTTTTGAAGAACAGGAGTAAATGGACAGATTTAAGATATAACAGAAGCCGTTAAATTTCCGGTCTGAAAACGATACGTCGTGTTGTGAAGGACCCTCGGATCGTCAGCAGAGCAGGTTCATAGATCTATAAAACACAGGGATCGGGTAAAACGCCTCCTGCTGGTGACAAGTTTAATGTCATATCAGTGCAAATCTTTGGTTGTCTAAGTAACTGCCTGCCATTAGTTTCGTAATCAAAGCGATCCAATTTTATCAGTTCATAATTTACAGCATGCGTTTATTAATTTATAAAAAAAATTGAATACTATTTTAACAGCAGTCGTTTTAAACTGACCAGAATCTGGATAATTATTTAGTTTTATATCAGGCTCGTATAAGGGCACCTATGACTACGTGCAGAGCGGATAAAGTTGTTGATGTTGAGTTGGCAGTTTGGCTCTAGCGTAGGTTTCTTTAGCTGTAATATTGCCTCCATTTGGTGGCTTTGCTGATGCTTTATGCATTTTAAATTCCAAATCAAGGTTACGCGTTTGAAGCTCACAGGTTTCTGATGCTAATATGGTGTGTTAAGCGGTCGCCAAGCAGTGGTGTAGCCGCAGTTTGGGTTCACCTCAGTCCATTAGCTTGCACGCTTATCCATATTAGGCTGCACTCGGACTAACTTTAAACTTTGGACGTTTTTTGTAACAATAATTAAGTTTATTTTATTTTATTTTTTTCATAAGGAGAGCGAATGAAGTTGTCGTCATGACAATGCGGAGAGGTGAGTCATTTTTGGATTAAATTTGGCTAATTTGCATTTGCAATTCATTGTTGCTGTTAAGTCTGGGTGGAGTACGCAGAGGGATCCCTTTAGTCTGCAGCAGCCGTCTGTTATCACACACAACAAACGTGTGGCTTTCACACTTCAACAGCTGACGGTGAGGTTACCGTGTGAATCTCGTTTGCTTTTAACATTTAACTCTCTATGGTGCCTTTCAGTAAACGTGGTCATCCTTGTGCTGCTGGCTGTGGCCTTTCTGATCATAGTTCAACGTAATCTTCTCAACCTCAGTGACTTTTTACACAAGGAACATCCAGGTATCTTTGTATTTGGAGATGGTAAAAGTACACTGAAAATTGTCTCTATAATTAAATGAAACCATGGAAGTAATGTGTCAAACCCTTCTCATGTTAATGTCCAGATGCAGGGATGATTCTGCCCTTTGAGTCTGAGCTGTCTCCAGACATCAAACTGGAGCTTGTGAGGAAAGGAGAGGAGATCCCTGTTCTCATCACAGCATCAGAGGAGAGGCTGGGCGCTGTGGTTGCTGCCATGAACAGCATCTACCAGAACAGTAAAGCCAATGTCGTCTTCACCATTGTGACCCTAAACGACACAGCAGATCACCTACAGTAAGAAAACAAAGCAAGTGTGTTGGCCACTTATCTTGCCAACATCTTGACTTTGGCATGTTTATTTAAGAGCTGCTTATCAGGACTGAGAGGAATCTATGCTATTGCCATTCGTGATGGGCACGGCAGTTCTTTTAGATGTACTGAATCACCGAGATCAAGTTGTTGTGGTGGCAATTTAGCAGTAAAAAAAAAAAAAAAGGTAGTTTTGTCTGACAAACATGATTCCAGAGAGTGTAGTTCAATGCGTGATTTGTTCACCAAGTGATTCAGGCATCAGTGTATGTGCATGGTTCCTCGTTTGCCGGCTGCTGGCCTGGCAATGCTGTTTCTCACTTCAGCTCAACTGAAGTATATTCACTTAAAAGATTTGGTTTTTTTGAACGACTCGTTCGCGAACGACTCAACACTAATTGCCATTGTTTCCCCTGCTTATAGTTTGACAACACTTTTTATCTTTTTTTGCCTACAGATTGTGGCTGAGTAAGACAAAGCTAAAAAATGTCAATTACAAGATAGTTATATTCCAGCCAGAGCTCCTCAACGGAAAGATATCCAAAGATCCCCAGATACTGGAAGCTACAAAACCGGTGAGACAACTGTGTGTAATGTTGCTGTACCTGAAAAAACATTTGCATGCAACCGTTGACTTTCGATCCTCTCTTGCAAACTTCTTTTAATTGTTTTTTTGCAGTTGACTTTTGCCAGATTTTATCTACCTGCATACTTGCCAGAGGCAGAAAAAGCAATCTATCTGGATGATGATATCATTGTACAAGGTAAGACTCTATGCACGACATATCTCATTAACTGTATAAATTTCTATGTAATGCCAGATAGAGAAAGGGTTTATGCGTGGGTATCTTGTTTGTTGGATCACAGGGGACATCCAGGATCTTTTTGAAACTCACATCAAACCAGGACATGCAGCTGCTTTTTCAGATGACTGTGATTCAGCATCTGCCAAGGGTATCATTAGAGGAGCTGGAAATCAGGTAGGCATATCTTGCAGGAGTTGTCAATGAGTTGTCAGTTATTATGAGACTATCAGAATCTGCATTGTTTCCTTATAGTGACTCTTGGCTTAACATCAAATCTTTCCTAGAATAACTACATAGGTTTCCTGGATTTTAAGAAGGAGGCAGTCAAGAAGCTGGGGATGAGAGCAACCACATGCTCCTTTAACCCCGGACTCATTGTCGCCAACCTGACCGAGTGGAGGTACCAGAACATCACCAAGCAGCTGGAGCACTGGATGGAGCTCAACACACAGTACGTTACAGAAAGTTGTAAAAATATGGGTAAATAAGAGGTGGTTTTTCCTGCTAAAAATTTGAAAGTAAGGCAAAATAGATTCTAATTCTGAATATTACAGATCAACTGGACTTTTTCAGATTGTATTCATCAAAATCTGTTGTGTTTTTTATTTCAGAGCTGATCTGTATAGTAAGACACTAGCAGAAAGTATCACCACCCCTCCTCTTCTCATAGTTTTCTACAAACGTCACTCCAGCATCGATCCCATGTGGCATGTCAGGCACCTAGGTAAGTTCTATTTAGCTACTAAAAGGGAACAGAAAGCAATACTTTTTGATTAATCTGTCCGTACATGGGGTGCTCAGCTGGTAGAGTCAGCAACCCCTGTACAGAGGCTGCAGTTCTGATTGCACTGGTTGTAAAAACAGTTTCAGGCATGGCTGGTACATGTCATTCCCGTTATCTCTCCCCACATTACTCTAGCTATCATATCAAAATAAGGGCAAAAGCCCCCCTAAAAATGTTTTAAAAAAGCAGTTTTATCACGTTGTCAACTCAAATATTCCTGCGAGGTTTGTTTAATACTACCAAACATCTGTAACCACAGTTTTGGTTATAGGATGTTTTATCAAAAACTTGCCTCAGGTGTAAGTGCCATCCATCCTATGGATATACTATTTATTTTTATAAGAAAGCCACAAGCTTAATTTTCTAGTGTTGATCAATTCCTTCATGTTATTTTATGTCTTTTTGTTTGTTTAAGAGCATGTATTCAGTCTAAATGTACTAGTAATAGTGACTTAGCAAGCTCCTGCTGACCATATATTTCTTCAGTATGTTAAAACAATCAAGTTTGATGTACAGCACAACCTTGTTTTTCAGGCACTACAGGCGCTGGGAACCGTTACTCCACTCAGTTTGTGAAAGCTGCCAAACTCCTCCACTGGAACGGACACTATAAACCATGGGGGAGAACTTCTTCTTTTACTGATGTTTGGGATAAATGGTTCATCCCAGACCCCACGGGAAAATTCCACCCCGTGAGAAGACACACAGACTGAAAATTTGGATTCAATAATTTTTAATTTTTTAAATTTTTTACCAGCAGACCCAGCCCTGTACCAGGAACACTCCTGTGATATCTCAGGAACTCAGTAAGGCCTTTTCACTTCAGATCTTTCCTCCTCATAGCGTGTACGCCTGTGTGCGCCTCACATTCCCTCAAATGCACAGATATGTTTTTATTCCACTTATTTAGCTTAATATAGCCGAGAGCAAACAAATACTCAACATTCCTTCTGTCAACATTTTATGACCCGCACTTCTCAAAGTTTCAGAGAACTGTTTTACTTAAGAGGCCAAGACTGTTTTCCCCAGCATGCATTCAGTGTCACTGAGCTTATGTTACAGTGTGCCAAACAACCTTGAACATCTTAAGCTATTGTCATGGCTACAGTGGGTTTGTTTATACTTTATGTTATATTTATTTACTTTGCAACCACAAGCAGTTTCCAGAGTAACCTCAGCTATTGTGCTGTAGCGCAGTTGGACCTATGAACTGTTACACTAAAAAAACATCTGTTTGGTGTGTTTTCATTACATTAAATGTGCATAAGTCTTTTCTTGTTACCTCACTTCAAACCATCCTGTGGAAAAAGGAACTATACAGAAAAGACAAGAGATCCTGCAGTCTGTGTCCTTGTCATCTGACTGAAAATGTTCAGATCTGAGGTTTACAAGTATGAACCAGTCATCTATTGACATAATCATGATTTGTACCGTTTATCATTGAAGTATGCCATAAGTAACTTATTCTGTATTGTGCTGCCTCTCATACCGACCTGGCTGTTGAACTGTTTTTAATGATCATTTTTATTGCATGGACCACTGAGCAAACTTTTCTACAAAACTCATTAGTCTCCAGCTCTGCCTGTCAAGTTTTCCCGTTGTCCAAAACGGTTCACCTTGCTGGTGTAAATATTTGTATTTTTTTAATTGAACGTAAAATAAAATTTTTATTGTTTTAATGGTGTTTTTTTTTTTAAAGTTGGCCTTTCTCAAAAAGTAATGTTTTTTAAAAATCGTCACCCTATTAAAATAATGGACTAAATAATTTTTTGACCTAAGTCATCTCTTAATAATGCCGGCCATCTCTGGTAGAATCGCCTAAGGATCATGGCATGATCCTTTCAACTAAGGAATTAGGCAATTTTACCATTTTGTCAAAAAATGACTTGGGCCATTTTTTTTTTAATAGGATGACAATTTCCTTCGAGGAGAAGTAGTAAAACATAAAAGCCACAAACAAAATGGGCTTGTAATTTCTAGAGAAGTCAACTGTTGAAGTAATGCAATTCTTTTTTTTAAACTAGTAAAAGAAATAAGCAAACATATGAAGTCTTCATAGAGGTTTATTACATATGCGATCTATTTACAGTTTTCTGTGCCGACAGATAGATTACAGGTAACCTTTAGACATTTAAAATCATGCTTCCCCTCCAGTAACATCAGAGGGAAAGAAATCACTGGATTTATACAAAACCACTGAATGGATGAAATCCATTTCCTAGGTGGGAGCTACTCTTCTTGAGTGAAAAATGTAGTCCATGACAAAAGGTGAGTCCAGGCCTAGGAGCTTAGCCAATGATGCTTTTTACACTAATTTTGAACTCTGGCACATCCAGGTATGCAAGCCAACCAAACAGTGAGTACAATTCCACAATATTGAGGCAAGGCTCATTTAAAGTCTGTGTTGAAGTCATAGGCGTCATCTGATGAAGCTGCAGGGAGACTGATGTTGATGGGGGCTGAATGGAACTGCACACGGGCTGTTTTTTCTGGAAGACAAAAAAAGATGTAAAAATAGGGCAGGTATTATCGATGAAAACATTTTTGGACGCTATGAATAAAACTTACTTTCGGGTGACTTATTCTGTGGTCTCTCTGCCTCCAAATCATTTTCATCCACAGTATCTTCTTCAGGCTGGAAGAAAAGCAGATATTTTGACAATTAAAATACAAGAATCCTTTAGATAGATATGGTGGTTATCGATCAGGTTAAGTCCAGCCGTCAGGATCAGAGTTGGATTAGAAGTCTTCATTAAAAAAATTCCAGACTTAAAAGTTTGTCCTCATTTCCAGGAGACCGGACTTCAACCATTACATAAAGCAGCTAGAGCTGCGCCATTAATGAAACTTCAGATCTGATTACGAGTCCCCACAATCACAAGACTGAATAATTACTGTGCAGTCTGCGCTCGCTCTATCCCATCCTAAGACAAGTAAGCACAAAAATTCAGCCTAAAGTTACCTCATTATTCTCATCGTTTTGCTCCTCTTCTGCATCTGTTGTAGTAGCACCGGCGCTCCCCTCGGCAGGGTCGCTGACACTCAGCAGTCCTGCAGTAGGGCCTTTAGAGGTAAAGCTTATACTGCTAGCTGGGTTTGGGAATTTGACCCCTTAAAAAACAACAAGAAAATAACAGAGATAACTGTTAATGGCAAAACAGAAAGGAATGTTTTAGTGCTTTAAGAAAAACAGAAACACATTAAAAGTCGAGAGTTTAAAAACTCTCATTCCAACTCTCCTGGGGTGCTACTGTGATTTCCAGTGCTCTCAGATTTATTGGCAAGAAAGGACTGTATGAACTAAGAACAGTTCATAGGGACTCATTCAAGGGCTATGGGAACAATGCAGTGACAGTTTAGTGTGTTGTCATCATAGACACCCTTTTTAAGCAAAACAAGAGTAAGTGGAGGATAATGAGTTGATAATCAGTTCATCTCATTTCTGTGAAAAGAAAATAATCAGGGATAAACTTGGTTTAAAAAAAATCTCTGACCTCTCAAAGTTTCCTCGTTGCTCTTTTTTAGAAAGTTCAAATCCCAGCCACTCTTCATCTCCGTGACCACAGCATCAGACATGTAGGCAGGGAGGCTGGGGTTCTCTGGTGCTTTACAGTGGTAACTCAACTTGGCCCTGAGGAGACATCAAACCAGAGACACATTTATCTGTTAGCTCAGGACATCTTTGGTTGATTAATTCAAATAGCTAGAGGCAGTCCAGTACAGAGTAAGGATCAGAGTTGGATTAGAAGTCTTCATGATGAAATCCAGACTTGCGTTTTTGTCCTCATTTCCTTATAAAATCATTATAGCAGCCCAGCTTCCATTGGAAGAACACCCAAACTCACCCTGTCCAGTCATTCAGAAAAACTGTGGCTGCTTGCTCGGCATTAGGACCTCCCCCTTTCTGCAGATATCCACGCTTTTTGGCCAACAGAGTTAAAAACTCCAGTGAGTTTCTGTAGTCTGGGATGCTGTACTGAAGCATGATCTGAAACACCAAGAACAGGGGCGCCAAAATGATGAAAACACTCAGATCTATCCAGCAGTGCAGCACAATGCATGCCATAGCACTACACACGTATCTCCTGTGATAACTCCTCGTACCTGAGTCTTGCTACACTGATTGAGTAAAGTCCTGGTGGCCTCCAGCACACTCTCCTGACCCTCTTCCACCTGTAGGCTCCTCAGCGCCATGGTGGCAGGTGAGTTGGACGATGATGCCAAGACTCCTGGACTGTCAATTAGCTTCACGTTCTTCAGGATGTGCACCTCCTGCATGAATCTGGTGGGTGTAAACAGGAGGCATATGACTTTAAGGGGAAGCTAAATATAAACACCTCAAGAAATATGTGAAACAGTACAGTAATCTTGTTTTAGAGAGGGTCTTTATGCTCACTTTGTGATGCCTCTCTTCATTCCTGCATTGCACGCAAGGATCCCTTTCAAGCTGTTGATAAGACTGCTCTTTCCAACATTAGGAAAACCTGAAGGTAGAGGAGTAACAAGGATTAAAGAACCAATCATACACATGTACAGCCATAGGTCAGAGCTGATCAAGACAAATTAAAAATCTTAATTCCCCACAGAACTCATTCATCTACTTGGCTGAAATGACTTTTTGTAAAATGACCAGTCGTACTTACCAACTACACCCACTTTGAGAGTAGCGTCATTCTGTAAGCTTGTAGCGAACCGTGTTAGGAGTTCAGTGAGACTACCGTTTCCAAAGCAGGCTGCTCCTCTGGATTTGTCCAGGACCTCATTAGAGGCCACTCTCCGGCTTTTCTTGGCTTGCTGATGAAGACAGAACCAAACACTTAAAACATAAAAAAAACCCCTCTTCAAATCAACACTTCCCCATTCTTTGTTTGTTTCTTAGATGACGAGGGATCAAACTCTACACAATTTACTCACAATTCAATTCTAAACCACGAAAACAAAATCGATTTAATTATAATAACATTTGTTCACAAACACAAAAATCAGCTCTGATAGAGACAGAACCAAGTACAAAGTTGTTTGTTTGTCTGTTGCTGTTGGAGGCTATAACCAGTTATAACAGCACAGTACAGGCTGCTCAACCTTCTCAGTCCTCCATATTAGTGGTTGCATTTCTTACATTACATTTCTTTAACACACAAAAACATGAGTAAAGTGGTCCCTACATTTCTAAAGCATTTCAAACCTATAAAAGACCCAGGCCCTGTTTATGCAAGCTCTAGGTATTGGAATTGCTTATACTACCTCCCATAACAGTTACCCATTTTCTATAACCAATGTAAATAAATTAAGTCTATAAAGAGACACTTATAATTGGGTTTAAGGGCAAGATGGTCAAGGATTACAGTACAGTTGAAAAAAATATAACAAGTGTCATTAAAATGCACCTACTCCCACTGTTCTGTCCTTGATCTGTGTTGATGCTTTGAATGCCACAACTGGAGCCTCCAGCTGCAAACACTTCATCCACCTCTCCACATTTTCTTTTGGTACTAGATCTGCAACACAAAAGTATCCAAAACATCTCAAAACCTGTTTTTAACATTTAATTTTGGGTCGGGTTAAAACCCCAGTTTTTTTTTCTGTGATGATTGTCAAAACTCTCTTATCAATTTACCTATTTTGCTCAAAACAAAAAGCAGTTTCTTTTTGTCATCACTCTGTAGCACAGCCTCCTCCAGCTGTGGACATCTGCAGCCTGATGGATCACGAGCATCAAGGACTTCTATCACTATGTCTGATGCTTTTATTACCTGACAAGTAAAAGGAAAGAGGTAGGTCAGTGTAAACAAGAGTATCAGGTCAGTCACTTTCTTATATGGTGGCTGAGAACCGCCACTGCTGCAAGTAAAAAAAGAATGCATGAATGAATGATTTAGCTTCAGTTTAACTTCATATCGACTCAGGCGCTACATGGCCTAAACAAATGACACATTAAAAAGTTCACGAAGCGAAATTAAACAACCTTTTCACTTACTTCTAAGCTCATCTTCTGTGCCTAGATCGTAAAACACTGTGCACTCCCGTTGTGGCTTTTTTTAAATTTGCATCCTTTTATTTTCGCAGTAAGTAACTTTTTTTTTTTGCATTGCCACTTTTTTTTGTGTCATTAACTTCTGTTGTGGCTTTTTAAGACTAACTAGATATCGTTTTACCTTGTTTAATTCAGAGCAAAGGTACTGCTTTGAGCTTCTGTCTGGGCCGCTCTTTTTCTGTGAATGGATATCATCTTCATCCTAAACAAACAAAAAAAATTGAAGTAAGTCAACCACAGAGTGATTATTAACTGGTGATTTTAGCGTTTTCCTACTCACCTGCCGAGCCCTCTTGGCTTTAGGCTCTTTCTTTGCATCCTCCTTCTCTTGTTTCCTTTTCTGGGCTCGCTCTTCTTTCTTGGCTTGGCGTTGTCTCTCTTTTTCCTCTTCAATCTGTCAGACAAAAACCATGAATAGTGTTTTGCACTGCAAAAAAATCTACCATATTAAAGGAAGGCCCGATTTAGAGGTAAAGTGTGGTGTCTGACCTGTTGTCTCCTCTGCTCTGCCTCTCTCAGGACCTCTTCTTTGAAGGGGGCACTGCTGGGCACCCCGGGATCCTTCTTCGGCCGTTTGCTCACTCCTTTCTTCTTGGCCTCTTTTCTCTGTTTTCTATTGTGCTCCCGAACCTAAACATACCACACCGTGTTACTAATTTTATAAATGAACTTAGAAATCGTGAGATAAACTTTGATTTTGAGCACAAAATGTTCATACAGCCCCCTTCTTCTTCACAGTACCAAGTGACAAACTCTGACACTTACCTTCTTTTGTATTTTATACCGTTTGGCGCAGGAAACACGCTTACTTGCTTTTTTAAGCTCTGTAAACAAGAGAAAAAAATTAAAACGTGATGTTAGCTGGATTGTGTAGTTGAGTTTAAGGCGAAGCTCAAGTAAACTGACAAAACGTGACTGTTGCCACCGTTGGATGGTCATCTGGAGTTATCCAATTAAAGCCACCAAGATTCCCCTAAAGTATAAATTAACAGCATCGGGAGTAGACAGAGTGGTTAACTTGTAAACGCTGCTGACTTACTTGGTCGCTTCATCGTGAAGTCGTGGATCTGCCAATGTGCTATCTAGCCTCTCACACGTGCAAGAACGAATCTACTCGTTTTCTAATTTCCGGTTTCGATAGTGCAGGTAGCGCCACCTGCTGAGCTGGAGGCTTTGTGCCTCTCCTGCTTGTGATCATTAATACATCATTTCTGTCATGAACTCTTGTGATGGTTTTAGAAACAATGACATTTGCGAAAAACTTGACGTAAGTTGACAAATTTTGATGATTTTAATTGGTCTGAACAGTTTCATATCTTGTCAAATACATACTTTTAAATCACGTCATAAAAATCATTTTTATTCTTCAGCTTTTAGCACAGCATGAGAGTTGTGTGATCTCTGTCCTTTTATGTCTTTTTATGGTCCCTTTGTCACTTTTATTTCTGTTATGCTTTTGTTCTTTTAATTCATTTATTTTATTTTAAATGTTTTTTACCTGCTTTTATTTATTTCCTTGTGATGTTTTCTGTAGTGTTTGTTCAGTTTCCATACAGTCTTGTTAAAAAAAAAAAAAAAATATATATATATATATATATATATATATATGTATTCCAGATGCCCCCTTACCCCCCAGACCTACCTACCTACACACACACACACACACACATGCACGCACACACGCCTAGCACGCACCCGCACATACACACATTAAAAGAATGGGCATGAGGCTGAGTACAGATGGACCAGTTGAGAAGGCGCCATCAGAGGAGCCGTCAGCACCAGGAGCAGAGAGCCGCCCGCAGCCACAGGACACCAACACAGGGCCAGCGGAGGGATGTGTCAGACAGCAACCTCCACCAGGAACCCCGTGGCCGGCCCCTGCAACCACAAGCAACCACTGCTCCCGGTGCCGAGGGCTCCCTCAGAGGAAACACTGGGGGTCCTAAAAATGATAAAAGGATAAAAACAAGTAAAAAGTAAAATATGAATAAAACACAGAAACACAGATCTAAAATAAACTTAGGCTAACTACAAACAAACCGCTACAAACAAGCGGCTGCTGGAGGAGAGTGGGTGGGTTGTGTTTAGTCTCTTTGCTAAAGAAATTAGGCAAAGTTAAAAAGATGTTTGGTAGCTGGTACTATGGCTGGGACCCTAAAGTTAGGTGCTGTTATGAGCAGTATTTGTGGCTATAGAGTGGCTGCTTGGTTGAGTGCGGGCCCCTGGCTCCTGAGGCCGTTGTGTATTGCTGTCCTGCGGTCGTAACTAAAGTTAGTATAACTAGAGAAGCAAGCAGTCGGCAACATTCATCCCTTGAGGGGGTGTCTAACTCGGTGTAACGGTGTGTTTGACCCTAAATTAGTTTTATGTCTGAATATCCCTTTAATGAGAGAGGTGTTGTTTGTGGGGGCTCACTCAGGTTGGGTATTTCAGAAGCTGCATAGTGAGGATCAGAGTAATGCCATAATCACTGACTGGACTCAACCATTGGTTGTTGTATTTTGTGGTTTGGAGTTGTGTTTCATGATTTGTAGCCATTTTCGATTTCCTAATTTGCCTTTAAGACATTTTTTACACCAGGGCCACCGTAACTCAACTCATGCTTGGGCTGACTTGAGACGCACTCGAAGAAGAAACTCCAGGTCACGTGATCAGGTCGAGCGTCTTTTTTTTTTGGTCCATTTTGGATGGTAGCAAGACCACCGCGTACGCCAGGAAAATGACCAAACTGCAGTTTTTAAACGTCTTTCTGACTGAGCGGCTCATGCTCGCTGCACAGGAAATCTACAAATCTGTCGAGGACACGATTTTGGAGTACCAGGAGGAGATAGCGATCAGGGAGCGAGAGAATGACCATCTGAGACGCAGACTGAGAGACGCAGGGATTGAGATATGGCCAGGTTAGCTCTGCTCAACACTAACTGTGATGCTGTGCCTCTTCATACACACACAAAAAACATAGTACGTGAGATGAAATTGAAATGCCTGCATGCTTGAAATAGGAAAGCAGCAATAGACCCCTAAATATCCCCCCATTTCCACTCAACCCTGAGCTGTTAGCATGTTAGCTGCTGTTAGCTGATGTTGCGCTGCAGCGGCTAGCGCGTTAGCAACCTTTGTTCGTTAGCCAACAAGCTGGATCTGCTTGCACCGGGTTAGCACCATTAACATGGATATGATAGTACCTTTCATGTGGTCACTGTACTAATTAACTGTTTATATGTCAGGTACAGTAACATGGGGCAGTTTGACATCAGCCCAAAGGCTCTTGTTGTGCTACATTTTGGCACACCTGCTTATTTCAGTACAAACTTCTCACTTACACTGATCACAGAGTTGCCCAAGCTGAATTTTCATGAATATGCTCTTAATTTCAACCAATCTGTAAAGAACAAATTCAAACATATCAGTATAGGATCACTATTTTATTGTTAGCATTGACAAATACCTTTATTACCTTCAGCCTGATTTATTGTTTTAGAGTTTCTGTAGGTGTCCTGTAGTATTAAATATGAGTTTAACTTATGATTATTGGGACTGTTTAAAGTGAATTGAAGCCAAACTGCATGTCATCTGCTAGACTGATGATTAAAGAGCATAATTCAAGATGTGAATGTTGTCACTTTCAGGTATTTTCATAACATGTGCGTCTGTTGACATGTTATTTTGGATTTGTTGTACCTCTACAGCATACATGGGTCTATTTTATACATTTTCTTTCTGGTAAACAAGTTGTCCTATATAGGTAGGGCTGGGCGATAAGACGGTAATGACATATATCAAAAATGAATTTCCCTCAATATCTAGGGATGGGAATTGATACGATTTTCTCAATATCGTTGCCTTTAAAGGTTCTGCTTATCAATTCAATTCTTTAATCATTCCCTTATCAATGCCTTTCTTTGATTTACAAGTCTCTGTTCTCCTTCGCGTAGGCTCCCACTCACAAGACCGTTTTCCAAAGCAACCGGGAGAAAGGAATCGTTAAGGGAATCATTAAAATGAAATTTAAATGATGTCAATGGATTGAACCATTTCGATTCCCACCCCTATCAATATCAATATAAATCATGGTCAATATATTTTTCAATAGTCGTCATTCTGCCATATTTTGGTAGACTATATGAGTAGACAATGGGGAGTTGTTCCAGGTCCGCTTCACACTGAACCAGTCATGTGCTAAATTAGAACCAAATAGCAAACAACTGCATAGTAGCAGGCTGCAGCTACACTTAACCTCACTTTAACTTGTGAAGCCGACAGCACTGTTGGTGAGAAGAAAAGAAAATGAGTGCTGCCCCCGGCAGAAATGCAGATAAAGGCTCAACAGATGACGACATCGTCAACAACACTGACACAAAAACGTCGGTGGTGTGGAGGTATTTTGTTGTTTGAGGTTGGACATGAAGCAGAGTAATGTGCACTGCAAATTATGTCGAGTACATGTTCTCACAAAGTCGGGGAATACCTCAAATCTTTTTCACCACCTGAAGCAGTGCCACGCAGCAGAGCATACGCAATGCAAAAGGTTACAAACCCCGAGCTGAGCAAGGCCCCGTGGCGCCTGTGCAGCCAAAACAGCCAACCATTCAGTCCACTTCCTCTAGCACAACGCCTTACGACAAAACGTTGAAGAGACACAAAGACCTCACAGATACAGTAGCTTATTGTATTGCAAAATACATGCTACCAATAAGCACTGGTAAATTCCGTTTTTTATATTGTGATATATATTGATATCAGCTGATATTAAAAAAAAAAATACTGTGATAAACTCTTTCCCATATCGCCCAGCCCTGTGTATAGGTATGTGAATGAGAAGAGTCAGTGGTTATCATGTCTGTGTCTTGTTTCTCTCTTTTTGAGCTTTTTAAGTCTCACAAATTTCTGTAATAATCTCAGATCGCCCATCTATGGCACTGCTGGATGAGGAGGACGGTGAGCATCCTCGCAGAGAATGGAGTCCCAGCATGGGGCACGAGGAGCGCATCCCCATTCAGATTAAAGATAAACGGGATCTGCGGGGTAACCAAGGAGACGATCCTCTTCGAGGCCATGGTTCTTGTAGCACACCAGAGAACATGTTTACTCCTCCACGTGTTGGAAACGAATACCCTCAAGACGGCCCCCACACGTCCAACCTTCCCCAGAGCCAAGGTGTAGAGAACAGGGAGAGGGACCCTGGATCCCGAGGGTCCTCAAGACATGTGAAGGTAGAGAGTGGAGGAGGCCACCGAGGCTCTGCTTCTGCTAACACCGGTGCTCAGCCTCTCGCACCGGTCAACCCAAACTGCCCAAATGAGAACAACATTGACATTATCGGGGTGGAGAATGGTGGACAGATGGTTGGTGCAAAGGGGGCTGGAAATGCAGCAAACAGAGGACAGGCTTCTCACATGCGAAACCAAGCAGCCAATGCTGTGGACTGCCCCCATCAAAAATCCCCACTACAGGCCCATATGTCGTCATTTTGCTGCAAAGTTTGTGGAGAGGCTTTTAGTCACATTGGCCACCTGCATGTGCACGTCCAAGTGCACACTCGAGAAAAACCGTACCGCTGTGGTGTGTGTGGGAAATGCTGCAGCTCCTCTGGCAGACTCCAGGAGCACCAACGTAGCCACACAGGAGAAAAACCATTTCGCTGCCAGATTTGTGGAAAGGGCTTTACACAGATGGCTCACTTGAAGGTACACATGAGGATCCACACTGGAGAGAAGCCGTATAGTTGTCCTGTGTGTGGCAAATGTTTCAGCCGCTCTGACAAAATCAAAAGGCATCTCCAGACCCACAGCCGTGAGGGGACTTATTTCTCAGGACAATGATGAAAGTGTTTTGTCCAAATAACTCAGCTTGTGAATCACATTGATGTTTTCAACTTTCTTACAAAAAGCTAAAACTCCTGCCATTAGGACGTGTCTTTTTTCTACTTTTCAAGAACTAGGGATTCTGTTATTCGAAGGGTTTATCTAACACTTCTCCAGAACAAAGTCCCTCATTAGAAATTATATTAGCCAGTTTAGTAAGTCACTTACCTAATTTTGTATTTGTCACTGAGCATTTTAACGTCTAAGACACATTTTTAGTCTTTAGCAAACCTTTCTGAATAATCTAGCCTTTCTTTAGTTATAATTAGCATGATGAAGTCTTCCACACATGCCTTGACGGTTAAATGCATCAAGAATTGCAACACTGTCCAGCACAGTCATTGACTTATTAACCTGTATGTTCATGTTCACATTTTAACATTTGAGTTACACATCTGCTCATTCGACATTACTCTTTTTGTCCATTAAAGATGAATCTAAAATGAGGATGAGGGGTCAGTATGTGTTAAATTAATATACATATACTAACTGGTTTAAGACCTACTCTGATGAAAATCATGTTTTTCTTGTTGTTCACATGTTCACATGGCATTTTTCTAATGCTAGAGGACATATCATGAGAAAACTAAGTGCAAAATTGCGTTTCTGCATCCAAATGACTGCAAACTTCTTGCAGACCCCAACAGCAGGTTCAGACACAGTGGGATTTTCTATGTCCATGCTCTGCCCCCGGCGCCCTCCCCTCAGACTTTCATTACCAGTGCTTTTTAATGTATCCATGGAAAAAGGAAAAAACAGAAGCAAGACTACACAAATGTTCCTGTAAACTGTGGCCTCCACAGACTTTTAAGAAACAAGTCTGTGATTCACAATGGAGAGGTAATTTCGCACATCTATAATTCAGGACTGGTGCGTCGGAGAGCGAGGGATTCAGCAAGACAAACAAAGGGAAAACACGTGCACACTGTCCAACTTTCTCTGCAAGTTGGACAGTGTGCGCATGTTTCCTCTTTGTTTGAATTGCAAGATACAAGTCTGACCAAGCACTTATCTCAATTTTACTCTGTCAAAGAGCTTTTTGCTCTGTATTCTGTTACATTGCTGCAGAGCTAAACACTGCCATCTCACAGTTTCAGTGTTTCATGTCGTCCATTAAAATATGGACCAGTTCATTGTGAGGCTGCTCCACTGCTTTGTGAAAAAAACAGACTTTGTAAATTACCACTTTTCTTGATCTTACATGCATTTAGGAGTTTTTTAAGTGTCCTCTTTCTTCATGCACTATAGCATCGATCTAATATGATGCAGAGATTCCCTCTCTTATGGGGCCACACAGTATTAGCTGATCCCAGTCTTATTTTATCAGGGGTTTTAGTCTGCAAAGATTTACATTCTGTTTTGCACCTCAACAGTTATTCACACATGAAGTATTTTAAGAGCGGCTTTAGTTGTGGTTGATTTTTGAGACGGGATTGTGTATCATGATACCAAGTTCTTCTTCCATTTTGGACTGAACCCCCCCCCCTGAACAGTCGATCCTTCAGTTCCCCTTCACCTCTCAGGACCACTGCTGCATTCATGACATTAGGGCACAACAGAACTATTAATTCTGACTTTAACAGCTGATCAGTCAGAAACTCAGGGTTTATGGGTTTTCCTGTTTGATTTTACTCTGCCTTTTTTGTAGGGAAAGAACGTGAAAATAAAAATGAACAAAAGATTACAATTTCCATCTGAATGTCCTGCAAAAAAAAAAACGGAAGAGATGTAAAACTCAAAGAGTGTTGTGACGCTAAAATGTTGCGATTGAAGATACACCAGCGATACGTTAGTGTGATGAATGCAGCATCAAATACCCACATGTCCTCACAGCTGACCAGCAGCCCTTCACTCCAAGTCTTCTCTGGGACTCCTCTGCTCCCTCTGCGCACACTCTACTGTACAGTGTTGTATCATTGCATATTAAATGTTATTTTTTAATAAAGTAGTAATTGAGTATTCATTGTTCGTGTATTATATTTTTTCAAAAATAAGATTTTAAAAAATGTTGCTGAAGATCAGGGACATTTAACTTAAGTTAACACAGAGGTTAACTTACAAGCTGATGATTTTACATTATGTGTTAAAAGTACAACAGTGGTACAAAAAAGACTAGTCTAGTTTGAAGTGGGACATTATATGTGTAACCCTTAGATTTACATCCTTTCTTAACGCTCAGTGGCTAAAAAGAGCAACTGACATTGACTGCTGTAAAAACATATTGGATGGAGAAAATCATATTTTTTCCAGATTTGTTTTCATATATCTCTAATATCAGTGACATGATGTTTTGAATGGACCCTCAAAGGGTAAATGTTTCATTAAGAAACAAATGTTTAGTTTTGATCAAAGCAGAAGTTAAAACATTAAAGTCACTAATATGGGGAAAAAAAATGGAGGAAAATGACAGATTTTTATTAGATTTTTTTCTACCATATCAGTGACATGATGTTTTGAATGGACCCTCAAAGGGTAAAAAAAATTTTTTTAGATGAAACATGTACTAGTTTTGATCAAAGCAGAAGTTGATTAAGAGATATATGAAAAAAATATTAACCCAATATATTTTTACAGCAGTCGAAGTTAGTGGCTGTTTTTGCCCCTAGTGGCAGATTTTAGCCACAGCGTTACGGTTATGCTAAAATTACATTGGCTTTTCTGATAAGGTGAAATCTAGTTTTGATAGCTTTTTAGGAGGCTTTTTGATGAAAGTATTGACAGGTCACTTCAAGAATAGAACAGGGTTAAAACAATATCCTGGAATAGATAGTGAGAGCTGGGTCTATGTGCTGCAGCCAATATGAGAGGGGTCTGGCTTCAGACCTCCACACGGAGGACCCGAGGTGACGTTTTTTGCTCACGTGCTCCAGTTTGTTTAAAGTAGTCATCCTGTTTTATATTTTGTCTTTGTTGAACACATGAAGACACAAAAAAATCATATCAACATTATAAACACAAAATAAAGCCCCAAGAAAACAATTATATTCAGACGAGACAAAAAAATGCTAACCTCCCGGTATAATCGGTTTTCATTTCAAAGGCTTTAAATCAAATTTTGACGTCAAAAAAAGAAATGTACTCCCGGTACTCAGTGGAAGTGGGTCCTCTCAGTGGAAGTCTGCAGCTGGACTGTCTTGACCAATTCTGTAACTACTGCTGCCTCTGCATCTTTGGCAAAGGTCATAATTGATCCAGCACATAGTAACCGCTCTGTAGGCCTAGTTGTGACAAATAAAGACATTTGTACAGTCTAACTAAAGTTTTGTTGCCAATTCTCATGCAGTTTGGAGATTTACCAGGACAGACTGATGGCAGAGATCTGTTGCTGATTTCAACATGTGGTTTTCCAAGTAAGTATGAGTGAAAATGTCCTCTGTTCAAGTCCTCTGTTGAAGAACACAGTCCCCCAAAAGGTTGATATTTCCTTTATCCTGCCAATGTGATTTATATGAGGATCCTCTGATTTATTTTGTAGTAACAGATATGCAACACCTGGTGGGGTACTTTCCATTCCAGTGTATTTCTTGCTCGGGCAAGATTATATGAAGTGTTTAACAGGCAAGAGATGCAACCAAACTGTAATTTATTCAAGGGCCAGGGTCAAGGATTAGTTTCAGGTAGTTTCACATATAGCTAATGAACTCACTTCATTCTGTTCAGTAGAATGTATAATGTTTTATACATATGGAGGTGGTGGGTTATGTACTTGTGTATGGGAAGTAAATATTTACATAATTAAAGACAGTCACAGGAAACACCAAGCATCAGTTTTAGAGCTCTTATTTAGATTTACAGTCACAATGGTTCAGGACCCTTGAGATGTGATGGATGGTCCCTCATATCCATGATGGTAATCACAGTTATGACACTGTACTCTGTGTTATATACTGACACTACATGTCCACCGTCTGCTGCAGCCATAAATATCGATATTTAAACTAATTAAGAAAATCAAGGAGGCTGCAGGAAGCCTTGAACGCACCCTTGTAATTAGCAGAGAGATACCATATCCTAGGGTGCGAACAGACGGTACGTGTCAAATCCTTGCAGCAGGAAAGCTGAATTAACCAAGGCCAGGACACACAGAGAGATGTAGCCGTTGAAACTATGCACTTCATTTCCTCACATCAGATTTCATTAATCAGACGTTATTGAAGTGAGCTACTCCTCCGTCATCGTCTGAATACTTCATACACTTACAGGTAATAGAATCAAACCTCCAGTAATCTCAAACCTCTTTATACTTTCATTGTTTGAAAAAGAGAAATTACAAAAGGCCATTGTAGCTTGCTTTTGTCCTACAATTTTATCCTGAAATAGATCTGAGAACAGTTGTAATTTGAACTCACCGACTAAAGAGACAGTTTGATCAATAACCAAAGACCCTTACGAGTAGAAATAGCAGTCGGCATTAATTTTGCATGAACTTTGGAGGTTTCATTGTCTGACAGCCACTGACTGATTGAGAGAGTGGTGGGTGGAGATTGTTCTCCGGGGATCACTTTCAAATGTTGATGGATGTCTACTTTCAGCTTTTGGTGAAAAGCTACTTCATAAGTGGCACGTCTGGCATAAATAATGTGCGTCGTGAGTATGGTTTGCGGCCAGTAGCAGCATACATGTTTGAAGCAAAGGCTACATAAGATGAATGTGAAAGAAGGCGTCCATGAAACTGCATAATGTGACTGTCTGGCTGCAGATGGAACACATCAAGAAACGTTACCACATTTACAAATAGATCATAATAAAGATTCAAAACTTTCTAAACTAAAAAGTGATGGTTTGTTGTTAAATAAAACAGTGTTATCGGACAGAGAAAAATAGATTTTTGTCATCCTGTGTTATACTTGGATTCTGATTTGAGTTGTAGATTCATTTGTCCTCTGCTGAGAAACTTGACTTTGAGCGTTGACATTGAACGGCAGACTGGGCTCGATGTTGTTTGATGCATGCTGTGTGAGCCAATTGTTGTGTTACTCTGTGTGTCAGTTACACAAGTCTTCTGGACATGTATTGATTTTTTTCTGTCACATCAGGGAAGCAGTATTCATCTCTGTTGAGCAGCCGACGGGGAGCTTGTACTTTATTCTTTTCTTGCTGCAATGTAGGATGCCACTTAAGAAGAGAGGAGCCTAGCATCTGAGCTGTTTTGTAGACAGAGAGGATACACTATCTGTAAAATGTCAAGATCACCCAGAAAGTAGTTTAACTTATTTAGAGTTATTACGTTACATTGTCGTGTTTTGTCAATCTCAGTGAATGATTCAATTTGGCAACACATGATGCCTCAAAAAAAAGAAAAAAAAGAGAGACAGTTATTAAATCTATTTCTATTTTTGATGCATTTCTGAACAGAGGCAGTGTACACCATGGAGACTGCTAGTTCTGTCTTCAAAATGTCAAACAGCCTTAGAGGTAAAATGTGTTCATTTTATTTGGTATGCTTTTTCACTTCCATCAATGTAAAGTTGCCAAGCAACCAGAGATCAGACAGCCAGACATCAATATATGTGGTCAAGAAGGTGTGTGCGTCTGAAAACTGTCCTTTGTGCACAAGTTATCGACTTGACTTGTGCACACAAACCAATAAGTCATTTTGGATGTGCACTCTCTTAGCATGTGTAAGAACTGTGTCATTAATTGCTACTCTTAGCTTCAGCATGTTGGTCATTTTGAAAACAACAGGAGCATCAAGTCCCTCACAGCGACCTTTGTAGTAGTAGTAAAGCTAACAGTTAGATCATGTTACTACACCACAGAGAATAATGTAGCTGGTAAAGCATAATGAGGTGCTCCACTATTAGCTTAGAGTTGATCAATTTCACTGCAAAAGTGTCTGAGGTTAAATTCAGAGGTTCTCTCAAACATTTTTAAGGGGTTAAACTCTTTTACAAAGAAAAAACAGGCTGGATTTAACTCCTTTTAGTGGAGCTTATTACAAATCAACACAACATGGGGCGCACCCCTCAACCTCGCCCAGCAGAGTGCATTGTCAAATACAAGAACAACCAATTGTGTTCACACAATAAAATGGACAAATTGGGGTCCCAAAAAATGGCATTTAGTCTTTTTTTTTTTAAATCTTTTTTATTGATTTTTTTGAGCAACAACACATATTAACAATCAGTAGTACATTGTAAAAAAGAGTGAGTGTGAAATTAGATGTAAAGTGTATAATAACCCCTCCTCCCTCACTCATTCCCTACCCTTCCTACCCCGCCTAACCCCACCCTACGTTGGCCACAACATCACAAAGACAAGAAATTAGGATACGCATACAAATATACAAATGAAGTAAATTAAAGGATGAGATATAATAAAATATATAATAAAATATGTATACACACTCACATAAATAAAAATAAATAAATGAAATAAAATAAATAATTAATCAAAACTAAATAAATCAATGAAAAGGGAATATCTCAAGGAGCAGTGGTGTCATCTTCAGGTATTAGGTCGAGGTTGGCATTTATTCTTATGACTAATAAAGATGGTTAAAGGCAAGTGGAATCATCACCAAAGCTGTATCAGTAAATGCTGTGCACAAGGTTATTCACTAATTAATAGTTATTAGCTTGTGCTTATATTATTATAATACAAGATAAATAAACAGCAAAATTTCCATCTAACAAAATACAGAACAGTGGTGCCAATCATCTCGACATCACCCCTTAGACAATGACAAAATTAATGTCTAAGTGACCTGAAACACTCAATAAACTGAACTTCCTTTAAAAAAAACAACTCATACTGCAAAAACACCTCTGCTTGTATAACAACAGACCGTACTCTTATTGTCATGTCAATAAAACAAAGCTTGAAAAGCACCCTATCATGATACCGCACAGTTTCGATTATTCTAGATATGTTATTTGGATGGTGTCTTATCACTGCATGATGGCTTAGCATTTATGGCATTGTGTTCAGTAAATGTCAACAATTTTCCTTCAATCAATACAA